ATCATGGCGGTTTGCTTCATCGAAATTACTTTGGCATTCTGTGCAAGGATTCTAGCCCTGAGACCTCCACCCTGCACTCACCGTTCTCATAGCCCTGAACACCTAGCAAGGTTCAACCACCTCGACGCCCTACGCCCTGCGCACAAGCATGCTACCACCTCACATTTTCTGAGAAACATAGGAGGAACAGCCGCAGGACAGGTAGGCCTTGGCAAGCCCCTCATGCCGACTGCCCCTCCACCTCCGCTTCCATACCTTGGGGTTTTCAGCAGGCATGAAAAGCTTCAAAACGTCAACACAAGTTTCGATAGCATTGGGATATCCACTGTCTTGCAAAGTGCTGCAAGGTCTCTCAGAGCTCAAGGGTATCTTGAGAGTCTTGGTCTTGTAGTGTGACACCAAAGAAAATTCAGAGACTAAAGGCCCCTCGGCCTAGCTGTTTGAAATCGAGTGCGGATTCTCTGTGGGGACTTGCTTGGGGAACTCTGAGCTTTAAGATTTGGAGCGTTGTGCGGGCCGAGCCACCCTTGGCGGGACCTTGCTAACTTTACCACATTCTACCGCAAAACGGGATTAATACCGCCAGAAGGGCACCCTGCATCATGAGCCCCGTGACTTCAAAGCATCAATGAAGCCCGGCCAAGCTTCGACAGCGCTAACGTGGCGTCCACGGCACCGTCCCAGGGCACCTGATCTAACGAAAGGAAACACTGCAGCTGCGATTTCGGACTCGTTTCTGGGAGGTATGCTTTCCAAGTGATGGGTTTGCGGTAAGTAATTCTGGTCCAGCATACACAAAGGGCAGCAGGAATTGGGATCTACAGGCGTGTATGCTGGCCATTGCTGGCTACTCCTGTTCTTGATCATATGTTGTACTTAACGGGAAGCATGGTCTGAGAAGGCAGAGAAGCGGACAATCATTTGACTTTCTTGAAGCCCGCGCAAACATTGCCCCATGGCCTGCCATCCGGTCGTCGGCGGCAGGTGCGAGGTCTTCGAAGGATTGTAGGCCCAGACCTGGTCCCCGCCCACCTGGCAATGCGGAGCCAAAGGATCCTGCGCTACAACCCGGAGATTTAAGTCTCAACAGCGGCCTTGGGTCCAAACCACCAGCCATTGAAGCTGGGTCCGTCCCGCTCATCCCAGTAGTAGATGAGCACCTAAGGGGTCGGATGAGACAGGCGACGACTGATGACTTTTTTGATTGCAAACTCAGCCGAAACCGCGCTTCAGCAAACGACCCTCTTGGATTCGCAAGGGAGCGGATTGGCTTCAGCAGATTTGCAGTGGATTGGCATCGGTAACATTATGCAGGAAATTTGAGGGAGTGTCAGTCGCCAGACAAACGGGAGAAAAATCACTGCTTGGCATTTTGGGCCCACTGGAAAGGACGATGCATTCGAGAATGAGGGACTTGGCTGGGGACTGCAGGGCCAAATTGTGACATTTTTTCAACAAACAAAGGGCCGCGAAACTCCCCCACGCCTCGGATCCTGGACTCCAAGCTTCTCCGGGGGGGGGGGGGGTGGTCAAACGCTAGCCTGTCGACTAGCTTACAGAAGTGTAAAGAAGCACATATACACAAGCTGCTATATATCATATATATATATATACACACACACCTCCTTCATGTCTAAGCCAGCTCACCAACATTCATATTTCAAGCCGCATTTTCAACAATTGGGGGCTCGGATCCTGTAGCTTGGCAGCAATAGCTGTAATTCTCATGATTATACGAGAGCTCAGGAAACCGAAAAAACCCTGCGCCATAAACAAGACATTTTTGGGCCGCTGAAACTCAACCCCGAACCGGGCACTTCCTGATCCAGATTTGGGCGTGGCTTCAGTCGCGTCTATAAAGGGTATTGATTGGTCGGAGGGCTGGAGCCTCGGGCTATAGGGATGCAAGATGATACTCTGATACAAGGCTGATTTCTCACCGCTGCGCTTACCAACCGCAGCTTTGGATGCAACTGAGCACAGCACGATCACGTTTCCGGTAGCGTTGTCCTGTGGGGCAGACTTGCAAACACTCTGTGGTCTATCTTCCAGGCCATGGACACTTGGGTTCTGATAAATTTGTGTGGAGCATGTCACCGTGTGTCAGTTTGTGGGTTCAGATGGTTTGGGCTGCAGGGCTTCGGCTTGACTTGGGCATGGATTCCCCGGCACCGATTCCGCGAACCATCCGGTTCCTCCTCATGGTTGAAGGAATGTGGGTCATTTAGGGCTGACCGCTCTATGTCCTAAACAAAACCCCAACCACGAAAGAAAACAACTGAGAGTCAAAGGTCGCGAGATGGTATGCGGACAGAAGGTGGCAACAGTGTTCAGAGCCTTGAATTTGAGGTTGTCCGAAACAAGCTCCTTTGTTTTTGGGGTTTCGTGTTTGGGGCTGCCGGCCAAGATCTTTAGGGCTCACAGATGCTCGCGTTGTTCCACAAAATGGCCTTCTTGTACACCGGCTTGCCGTGGTTCATTTCTGATGAGGAGTATGACCTGTGAACTCGGCGGCTCTCAGCTGAGAATGTGAAGCCCAAAAGGAGGGTCCAGTATTGCTTTTGCCGCATGGGTTGAGAAACCGATCCGACATGTAGCTCGGACGTTGGGAAACTGGGGCACGGGACAAATGCAGGGGGCGGCACTTCAAACCTCGAAGCTAGCCAACGCGATCGCAAAGCTGCACATGCACACCCTAAACATCCCTCAACCATGAACATGTTCTAAGCCTCTCCGGAGCAAGAAGCCAAGCCTAGAGGGACGTCCCAACAAAAACAGTCAGAACAGCCTATGAAACCGACTTGCTGGCTGGCAAGAGGCCCCCGGATGATGTTCGAAATCGTTACGTTGTTGCAGCCGCCTGAGCAGGTCTTGGAGATATTGTGAATCAGACGCTTCAATCATAGCTTTTGTACTGTGGAGCCTGCACGTCCCTCACATTCCTTGTGTAAGAATCAGGCCCGGCCCCTACCAAAAATTGAAACCAGGGCAACATCATGCAATCAGCTTCTTTCGGTCAATGAGTCAATGGCAGTATCGGGCTCTTGGGACTCCTCCCATGTACACAAACACAATACATCCCCATACTACCCTGTTAAGTCTCCAAAGCTACAGGGATCGTCGCAACCACACTGATGGGATTCGTGTCTTGGACTGCCGGGTGTAGTGGGGATCTGGGCCCTTGGTATTTATGCATTTCGGATATTCAGCGCCGAGTCCTGCTGTGCCAACACGCCGAATCTGACATGGGGCTTGCCTGCCTCTCTTTCAATGGCACGGTGCTGGTCAAAGTCTGGGTTGGTGCGTTTCCGATCAGTCTCAAGTTTCCTGCTTGAGCCCAGAAAGCTCAAGCCAAAACCCCTAAAGAGAACGTCTCTCGGCCCCGGGCTCACGGCGATGGTGGGTGTGGCTGCCGCCGCCATCGCCGCAGCGGGCCGCGGCGCCAGGCCGACGGGCCGGGGGCTGAGGCATGCAAAGGTTTGCGACGTTCGGAAAGTCCGAAGATTTGGTTGTCCGGAGGCCATTTCAATGCTTAATAAGGCTTACGATTCTTGAGAGGGCAGGCCTTTGTGCGTCCCGTGTGAAGCACTGGAGTCTGTGCTTTGCCGGTGGCTTCTCTTTGGAGCCCTCGACCACAACCCTTCTTTCCGGCCTCTTGGGACTCTTGGGACTTGCGCACCATCCCAAGGCGAGTCCATTTTCCACTGAAACCCAAACAGAAAGCCCACAGTAGAAAAGCCTTGTCAGACTCGCAATTCTCGAAGCCCGACAAGGCTCAACCCGAAACTCGGAGAAAAAAAACGAAACCCATCAACCCGAAATGCTGAACCTCAAGGCCTGGAAACCTATACTGCAGTCAGTAGTCACTGCAGTCTCACAAACACCAACCCTGAAGCGGAAGCCTCACAGCGGGCCGCACGCCCCCGCCAAATGCTGCCTCGGTTGAGGGCTGTCATTTGGGAGCAATTGGGGTTAAATCGGGGACTCATGACAGAGAGCCAAGCTCTAAACTGCAGCTCTAACCTGCAGCTCAAGCGTGCTTTTGTGATGCTTGGCATGCATCCAAACGCGTACCGTTTATAGGATACAGACGACCCCCTCCCAACATGTGCAAGCTGCCGGGCCCTTGCCGCCCCGTTGATAGTTCTGATTCCAGGCCATGGCTTGATAGGGCAGAAGGGGATTTATCGGAAGATTTATAGGCGGTTTTGAAGCCTTTTTCGGTCCTTTTCTGGGCTTAGCTCTAGCTCAACTCTTGTAACTTGTAGTGGCTTGGGATCTTTGAGGTTCTTCAAGGTTGGGGGCTCGGGGTGCGTGGGAGTGGGCTGAAGTCGGGGTTTCAAGCTAGTGGAGTGCAGGGTTCGGGGCGTGAGCCTGAGTGGACAGGTCTTATCTTCTGGTTTGCTCACAAACTTTCATGTTCAACAAAAACAGCCAGAGAACCGGCGCCAGAGCTGGGAGCCACCCCGGCTCTCAAGCTGTCTTGAGCCGGCGTGCAGTCGACTATGGTTAGGCGGCTAGACGCAGGTGCAGCGTCGGAAGCCACACCTGGAACACTGAACTAGGACATGCAATAAAACCTTGAACTGGAAAGCGAGATTTGGGCCTCTCAACCATGGGTTGGGGCCCTGCATGCTATATGGAGTACAAGCCCACATGCTGATAAGCCACGTGTATCAAGCGTATCAAGCGCATGCACGGGGCTGGAAGTTTCCGATTAAGGCTTGGTGAGGTCAGGATGTAAGACACTTCTATGCTTGCCTCAGTAGCAAGGCGCTCGCAATTGCTAGTCAAAGCCATGCCCTTGCGTAAGGTAGCAGGGAAGGGTGTCCAGAATTGTGGTGAGCTTCCCCTACCCCGTGTGGTTGGTTTAGGTTCAGGGTTTGGGGTGGAGAGGGAGCACCCATCACAAATAGGGCTGATAAGGATCTTGGCGTGTGAGAGTCCGGGACGCAAGGTCGAGATGACAATGGGAAATGGAGATTCAGGGCCGCCAAAGCCTGCCACCACAACCTCCCGCACGTCTTCGTCGCACGGCTGTGGCCTCGGGGCGAGGGAGGTGTGGCGAGGTAGGGGCGGGGGTTGCGCAGGCTTCGTGGGCCGTAGACACGCCAAAGATAAGCTACAAAAGCAATGGCTTGATGAGCCAACCGTTCGTTACGCATCGGGGTTTCGATTATTCAGTTGCTCCAGCTTCAATCGACTGGGGTACGGGGTTTGGACCGAACGCAACCTTGATGGTGAAAATGCTGTGGGCATTCTCGAATGCATGTCGTCAACCGAACGAATTGCCATTATGTTGGACCTGGAGGAGCACCCCCTGCTAACTGCCCGCAAAATATTTGCCCAGCCCCCCAGGCAAATAACGCACTCTCACACAGCTAGGTGACCCATGGTTTTGCTGGAGCGTGAATGAGTCTTTTGAACATGGGAAACATAGCCAGTGCTATTGCCTGAGAAGTCAAGCACCGACTATCCTAATGAAGCTGTCCGCTAGCTCTTCGACACTTCCGTGTGCTTGGCGGAACAACATGTGCTTAGCAGAAGCGCCTGGCTTTATTTTCAAGAGACATCTGCAAAAGATCATTTCCTGAGGAAACACAACACATCTGTTTCCGCGGGCGGCGTGCAGAACAACAACCAGCCGTCTCTGGGTGTGAGCACCTGTGCACTGACTTCTGCCGATCTTAGTGAGGTCGGGTACCCACATCCACCTCTACGGGAGTCGAGAAACCAATAATCAGCACGCCATCTGCCCCCGAGCAACTCAGCCCTTGGATCCGACAGTCTGGAGACTGAGGCAGTAAACCTTCAACTCAAAATCTGTGCTTGAGGGTTGGGCTTCGGGCTCCCCTCGTTGATCTGAACACTTATAAGGCTCACCATTTATAGGCCACGTTCCAGTGGTGCTGAGCTCTTTGAGATCGAGATCCCGGCACGCACGAGCCACCATCCACAACGAACTCCCCGAGGTAGCAGGTTGTGTTGATGACCTCAGGGGACAGCAGTCGGGATCGAAGCACAACAGAGCCTACACAGTTTTGAGACATAAAGTTCATTACGCTTGCGTGAAATTGCAGGGGGCTCCTGAAAGCAAAACCAAGCAGACATCAAGCGTTCTTCGCTTTGCTCTTCGAGCCTGTCTGCACCAGCTTTGGCCCCGAACCCCCCACGGAAACCATGGTACCCCCTATTGAATGCCTCAAACTCTGAACCTAAACCCTACAATTCACCGTAAGACATCCTAAGACCAAGCCCTCAAACTCTCAGCCCTAAAGCCCTATACACACTAAAAGCCCGTACAACCCGAGAACTTCCAGACCATGCAAGTCCCAAAGAAACCTCAGACCCGCTAAGCAAGAAATAAGTAAGGGAAGACACTCTCTAAGACCCTGAGCAAGAAGAACACAGAAGCTCCACAACATTCTGGTCGGGGCAGGGGGGGGGGGGGGTGTGGGAGAGGGTCGTGACGGTGCACAATGTACAAATGAAGCAGAGCGATGATTTTTATGTGCATCCGGGGAAATTGGATTCTCGAACCCTGCAGTCCGTAAAGCCCCTGTCCAAAGGTGTGAGACGTACTGTCGGGTTCTACGGGGCTATCCTCGAGGCTTCGGTTCCGGGAACTCCAAAGTGGACCTTGTTGAGGGGTCAAATTGTGGAAGTCTCTAGAGTTTTGTATGGTTTTTGAGTCGAGTGCTTCTTGGATAAAATCCTGACAAGCACGCAGCCGGATGCCTGTAGAGACTTGCGGAGCTTTGGAAAGGAGCTCAGACAATGCAACCCTAACACCTCCTTGGGCGCGCACGCCCTTGTAACCGGTGTCCAGGCTGGAACAGTTGTCCCAAACGAAGTGCTCGGTGTGAAGAAGCTCCTACCACGGAGTCTGTGCCCTCGTTGAGATGAACTCTGAGTTTGGGCTTCGAGACGTAGAGACTTAGAGCTCAGACTTTGCCAGGTCTGAAAAATCTGATGCCCAGCCGGGCTTCGGGCTTGATCGGATGAGAAGCGGTGTTGAAGAAATTGGATGGTCTCAAGTGCTGTGGATTCGTGGGTCGTATACCCAGTTGCGGCTGCAAGGGTGGGGCTACTTGGCTACTTGGTTCGATGCGGATTTTGGCTTTCGCAATGTCCAGGTTCAGAAGTCGAGTCTGCAGCTTCTCGGAGCGACGTAGCCAGAAGCCTTTGACTCTCGGCCGTGCGTTGTTGCTCTGTTCTGACAGTCTACGTTTAGTCAGAGAAATAGCTTCAAACCCGAGAAGCCGCATATCTTGAGCTGCGTGGTCGAGTTCCTGAAGCACTCGTCTCAGCTACCTCAAAGACGGTGTGATGAAAAGTAAGTGTCTTGCAGGGCAAAGCACTGCATGAAACCACTCCATATCCCATCTTCAGGCTGAAGCCCTGCAACAGGGCCCGAAAGATGCAACAATTTGGACGCAAAGTTGAGGGGAGCTTCGAGCTAAGAAAGGGCAACGATCTTCGGGTGACCGTAGGGGGAATGCCGAAGTCACGACTACTGTTGCGCTTCTGTCATCAAGTACGGAGGTGAATCGCTTACCTGTTTCTCGGCGGGTTCAAGACAGTGGAAAGATCTCCTGATCTGTTGTCACTGCACCAGTGGCTCCGCCGACGATGACCTTCATCAATACGGAGCTTCAATGGGTTGACATTTCTTCTGGCGGCCTATACCAGCCTCCGCCCAAGGTCAACTATCCCGAAGCTCTGAGTCTTTAAGCAGAACTACGTAGTTTCTCAGACCCTCAACACACTCATGCCGGGCTCTGCGCTTTGAGTTTTGGGGCAAGGGCATTGTCGCTTCGGGCTTTATATCCAGTACCATATTATGAGCCCTTCTCACGGTACTAGTAGTCCTGACAGCGCTGCCGAAGCAGCACAGCTCTGGCCTGCTGTGCTGGAGTTGAGGACGAGCATCCACGCCTCAGAATGCGCTTGGTCGCAAGCGGGCTAGGGTGAGGACGTGCGAGGTCCATGCGAGCTTGCAGAAAAGCCAAAGCGTCTTTCATTCTCCCCCCTACATCAACGTATAGTATAGCTCTCCTGCACTTCGTGGAGCCCACACAAGAAGACCCCGAAAAATCCAGAAGCCAACTTACGTGTGCTTTGATTCAATTGAACTCCGCCCAGCGTCGCTGCGCAAGCGCTGGAGTTTGCCTTCAGGATGCCTGGGAGGCCGAGGCAGAGAAGCTGCATCTTGTGACGTGTGTTGTGTTTCGGCGCACGCCGAAATCGTTGAGCCCAAAGCCCATGTACCCTCTCCTGATTATACCGCATATACGCCTCAAGCCCAGGGGCTTGCAAAGAACCGCATTGGGGCGGCTTTTCGTGAATTTGTTCGTCACATTCTTGTTACGTGGTGTTGCGCTGAGCCTCGCTTGAGGGTGTCAGGCTTAGTGAAGTCACTAGCGGGGCCTCCTAGCCACCACATTGACAATGCTGCGGCCTACACTCGCCTTACCAGTCCTTGCCCATGAAGTTATGACAGTTCTGCCATGCCCTTAGTGGACGAAGTTTAAAAATCTCAATGGACGAATCGTGGTTCCACAATCATGCATCATGCGCTTTCAGCTGTCGAGGAGGGGATCATGGTTCCTGAATGCACTTGACGACCAGCTCCCTTTCCCCTCTCCCCGAAAAACTGAAAACCAAAACCCTGGCCGACATGATACCGTGCTTGCCAGACCTGAAAGCCGTGCAGCCGCTCAGATACCCCTGAACCACCGCCTCCAGTGCACAACACCGTCACGTTTCCATCGTGGCCAGGCACCACCTGGCAGGATTTACATTGAGGGGTTTGAGGGTGCAATTTTGACGTAAACATTGAACATGGTATGTTTTCTGGAGATCCTGGAGTTGCACTTCTACACAATACGCAATCGATGTGCTTTCGAACATGTTGCGCACAGATGTTGTGCAACCCGAGCTGCATCGACTTGAAATGCCTATCAGTTGTATGGTCGATTACTAAATGGGCGGGTTGAGGGTTCGGAAGTCAGCTTGAGTTCCAAAGGGTGAACTTTCCGATTTCTGCTTGCAGCGTTTGTGCCCGTCAAGGCGTGGAAGCCGACAGCTGAGAAAACCCCACAAGCCACCCAAACTCAAAAGGCTCCCCGCCCTGCACCGCCCAACATGGCAAGTTGTGGCAAGCCTAGATACTGCGCGCCTATGAGCGGTAGTCCCTGCTAGTTGATATATTGCTCCCTACCCCTACGTACCCAAAGGCAAAATATAGGGAACGGGTGGAAAACTTGTTTGGAATTTGGTGGGTCTGTGATTAAGGACTGCAATCAAGCAATTGATCTCATCCGACCTAGCTTGGTCCGTCGCGCCCAAGTAGAAAACAAGCTGTCAAGAGTCAACACCCATGCTGACCGCGGATGCCGCAATCCTTACAGCCCTGCACTCTAAACAAACCACCCAACCCCGAAACTTCCGTTTGCATGGGCACCCTCAACCTCCGGGCACCCCCACGGCGTCACAGGTCAACACAGTGGAGTTCCTCGATCTCACAAAATCGTACACTCCAAAAGCCCATGCCCTCTTATTTAGTTGGTACCTAAGGCAGCTATATGGACCGAGTTACAAAGTTGCAGCATCTGAGAAAAAGACATTTCAGGCCTAGCGGAGGGCTTGTTACGACGAAAGATGATTGCCTATGTTTGTTTGCCTCATTCCAGGTGTCAGCTCTGCGGACTCACGAGCTTCAAGTATTTAATAGGGCTTAATTACCCAGTTTGTATCGTTGATATCCGCTGACCTCCACGCCCCATCCACCCCGCTCATGTCCTTGACATCGCCAACTATAGACTTGACATCCCATGGAACCACAAAACTTTATTCAAAGCGCGCTTGGCATCCCTCCCGGAAAGTGCTGGTGGCACTAATGACAGCCAAGGGTCAAGGCACCCAAGGTTTCTGTCATAGCGTGCTCCTTGCGAATTCCTGACCTGGGGAACGCAGACTTGACATGGAGTCTTTCATGGAGGGTTCCAGGTTTCCAGGGCTTCTGGGTTCAACAATCAGGGATGCTCTGGCAGTGCAACAGTGCAAGCGGTACACCATGATTTGAAAAGAAGGCCTATCCCTGTCCATGATTTGAGGTCTCCTTCGAAAGCTCACGTCGATTTAACTATACAACACAGCGTTTCGCCTGCGAGATGCTTTTAACCCATCAAATGGCTGACGCTTCACTGTTCTCAGAAATTTCAGGGATGTCGTAGTGCATACCGAAAACCGTAGTTCCCGCTCAAACTTACCCATGTTGCCTTGGCAGCTTCGCGATGCCAGGTTGCAGAGGACTTCGGCTTGCTGCCGGACTCCACAGTGCATCCGACTGTACGGCTCAGCGAGGCACGACGATTACAGTAGCTTCTTTGCATCTGCGTCACCCTGCCTGCGCCTTCCATGTCACCAAAAGTATCAGCCGGCTCTGTGCGAGATTGTGTTCTTGGAGCCCAAGTGAAGTGGCGCACCTAGATCGGATTCCCAGCGTTTCTGTGCAGAGTTCCGCGCTCTGCAACTGCATCGGGCGGACTGGCAGCTGTATGCAGCTGTTGACGACTCAGAACGTGGGAATGCAAGCGAATGCAAGTTTAGGCCCCTGTGCCTTCTTGGAGGAGTGGTTGGCGAATTGGCACTTCTGTGTGGCTTTGGGCGCTGCCGCAACTTCTGCGCACGGTCACACCCTGAGTCACTAACAGCTGTGGTCCCGGCAGGTCCACCACAAAGGTGTCCCCAGTCTGGCACGGAGCCGTGCTGCAGGATTGATCCTTCGCACACGGAGTGCTTCATGCTTTTGAAGCTTGGACTTCAATTTTGTAGGCCTGGGGGCCCAGCTGAGGGCGTGTGGAACTTGACTTCTGGCGTGCACATTGCTTGTGAATGAGGCGGAGCCCGGTTCAAAGCAAAAACAGCCATATCCTCGTTGCAAAACACTACCAACCTTACCCTCCTTCAAGCGCAATCGGCATTACTAAACATAATACATATATATATATATCTATCCATTTATTGAATTATTTACCGGCCTCTAATGCTGAAATGCTAATTGGTACTACATGAGAGCAATTGGAGCACTTTTGGGCCCTGGAGCCGGCAATCCTGGCACACGCATCCCCCGATGTCCACGGTCATCGCCTCGATAGGGCTTCCCTTGCAAACTCACTGAACATAGTGAACGTCCGCAGACTCTTCGGTTGATGACGTTCTGAGGTTCCCAAACGTACTCAATAAACTGGGAATATGATGTCGGCTTACGTGATTTGGCATTGAGGGTGCTTGAGGAGCACAGACAGACATATACCCACAACTCGCAGTTCCCATGACCTCCTGAAGCCTGACATCGTCGAACCCAATCAATTCTGTTTTGAACTTTTCCGGAACAAGCCATCTAGGTGACCTCACAAGCCCCACGAGGGACACTGGTACTGTTGTATCCTGATTAGTGTGGTCCCCGGAATTGTTGAAAAATCCGAATATTTTTCAGCGGGGTCAATTTGAGGAGGCCCCCCGGAATTGTGAAAAAAAACTTCGGGCGATGCAAAACTTCGGCGAGGCTGTTGAATGGCGTTGTTGTCAAGAAATCGCTTCTGAACTGAGCTTGAGAGACCAAAGATCTGAGCCTGAGCAAAGGCTTAAAGCCTGAAACCTTGAGGCCTGAGGTTGTCGGGCCCTGAAATCTTTAGTTCCCAGGCCAGCCCAAAGCTAAGACTTCCTTATAAGTTGCTTTGTGCCGAGGCCAGGCAATCAAATTTCAAAGGGGGTAGTCCAGCAACTGCCCGAATGCCGTATAACATAAAACGTTTGGTCCCATAGTTACATTTCTTTGCGGGCTGGCTTGGTTGGGATAGATGGATCCCCTTTAAACTCATAAAAACTCATCCGTGTTAAAACCATATGGTTCCTTTTAAAATTCCTGTAAGCTCATCCCTTTTAAAATCATATGAATCCTGTTTAAACTCATATATACATATACATGTATATATATATATATATGCTCACCCCCCCCCCAATGGACCCACCGCGGGTAGCAGCCGAGTCCTAGCCAGATCAAGGGAAAAACAACAAAACAAGAAACTAACAAAAGCCAAAAAACAAAAAAAACAAAACACCAAAAAACCAAAAAAAAAAAAAACACCAAAAACAACATCTTTTCCAAAACTATGGGGCTGGGGCCTCCAAAAGATTGTTTTTTTTGGTTTTCTGGAGAAAAAGATGGTTTTTTGGTTTGGAACCATCTTTTTCTCGAGAAAAAGATGGTTTTTCGAAGGATGGTTGCTCAAAACCATCTTTTTCTCGAGAAAACCAAAAAACCAAAAACAAAAAAAAACATCTTTTGGAGGCCCCAGCCCCATAGTTTTGGAAAAGATGTTTTTTTTTGGTTGTTTTTTTGGTTGTTTTTGGTTTTTCTTGGTTTTGTTGGTTTTCTCGAGATCCTTCGAAAAACCATCTTTTTCTCGAGAAGAAGATGGTTTTACCAGGGGAAGACCTCCAAAAACCATCTTTTTCTCGAGAAAAAGATGGTTCCGAACCAAAAAAAACCATCTTTTTCTCGAGAAAACCAAAAAAAACCATCTTTTGGAGGCCCCAGCCCCATAGTTTTGGAAAAAATGGCATTTTGGTTTTTTTGGGTTTGGCATAACCCTAGGGATTCAAGTTTCAGGGGTTTAATTAAGCCTCAAGCGCTATAGGGTTATAAGGTTCTAATCCTTTAGGTGTTGCCTAAGCCTTTAACCCTAAACCTTTAACTTTAAACCCTGCAGGGTTAACCCCGTGAGAAATTTAGAGATAGACCCCGAAAAGACCCTAAACCTTCTTACAGGGTGTAATGGTTTAAAAACCGATAGGGCATGTATACCTGCAGGTGCTAGATCCCTATAGGGTGCTAAGGTTCTGACCCTGAAGGGTTTAGGGTTAAGGCTTACATGCCCTCCAGGTTTACATGCCTAAGTCTTAAACCCCAAACCTTGAAACCTTCATCCTATGGGGTTTGAAGGTCAAGGGTTTAGGCTTGATTGCGGAGGGCTTTAGGGTCCTGACCCTAGAGGGTTTAGGGTTAAGGAATAGATGCCTAAACCTTAAACCCTTAAGGTTTAAACTCTATGGGCTTAGGTTTAAATGTCTAAATCTTAAACCCTAAACCTTTAAACCTTCACACTACAGAGTTTAAGGGTGTTAAGGGTGACTAATTAATTACATACTTAGGTTTAAAAAGCCCGAAACCTTTAAACCTTAGCCCAACAGGGTTTAAAGGTTAAGGGTTTTCAATTAATAGAAATCTGAGATTGTCCGTGGTTTAAATGTCTGAATCTTAAACCCTAAAACTTTAAACCTTCACCCTATAGGGTTTAAAGGTTAAGGGTTTCGGGTTAATTGCAAGCTTAGATTTAAATGTCTAAGTAAAGAATCCTAAACCTTTGAATCTTATCCCTATAGGGTTTAAGGTTAAGGGTTCAATATGAACTGCCGGCATAGGTCTAAATACCTAAACCTTAAACTTAAACCCTAAACCTTTAAATATCTTAACCCTATAGGGTTTAAAGGTTAAAGGCTTAGCGTTAATTGTCGGAATAGGTTTACATGCCTAAACCTTAAGCCCGAAACCTTTAAACCTTAGCCCAACAGGGTTTAAAGGTTAAGGGTTTAAAATTAATTGAAATCTGAGATTTACATGCTTAAATCTTAAATCCTAAACCTTTAAAAAATCTTAACCCTATAGGGTTTAAAGGTTAAGGGCTTGGCTACAGGTTTAAATGACTAAATCTTAAACCCTACTAGGGGCTAGGTTAACTCACATCTTTCCGTGTGAAGTCACATCTCCCCAGTGAAACGCGGCTGCGACTGAAGTCACATCACCCCGCGTAAAGTCGCATCACAAAGACATATGTTGAAGCCGTTCCCCCAATGTGCACGCGCCGCACGCGCATGTTCTCGACACACATGAAACATACGCATTTGTCACCGCACGCCTGGGAGGGCAGCACATTTGTGTGAGCACAAAGACAGCAATTGATGCGATTCTGCGAGTGCAAGCGCGCGAGAGAGACTTGGACCTCAAACAACCGCGCTCGGTCAGTACTCGCGCGACATGCACATGTTCCCGACACACAAGCAAAGTATGCAGTTGGCACTACACGCTCGAAAGAGAAGCGCTTGTTGTCTGCAAGGTCTATATGTGGGTAGTGACCGTATGTGCTTCTGCGCGAGTCCCGCGCGAGCCGTTGCGAGGGCCGCGCGTCCATGGGTTGAAGGGGGCGGCTTTCCGTTCAGCAGTGGCCCTCAATGAAATTAAAGCACTCTGCAGAGAGACAACAAGAACAACCATGTTGGGGCAATCAACTGACAGCACCTTACCTTTGGGGTTTCCATTCTGCCTGGCTTAGGGTTTGTGGGCTCGGAGCTTAAGTTTAGAAAGTGGCGAGCTCGTTTGGGCTGTTGTCGTGGAATGTTGCACGCCAGGAACTTTGCCCCTAAAGATGAGGGGTGTTGTCGTGAACGAGATTTCTGCTTGGTGGTGCAAGTGGGTTCTGACCAATCTTGGAATTTGCGAATCCCCAGTGTGCACGCGCCCGAGATACGACTTCACACAAGAAGATACGACTTAACCTACCCGCGGGTAAGCCTTTAAACCTTAACCTTACAGGGTTTAAAGGTTAAGGGTTTAAAATTAGTTGCAGGCTTAGTTTTAAATGCCTACATCTTAAACCCTAAACCTGTAAAAATCTTAACCCTGTAGAATTTAAAGGTTAAGGGCTTAGGGCCTAGGGTTTAATTACCGGCATAGGTTCAAATGCCTAAATCTTAAACCCTTAACCTTTAAACCTCAACCCTACAGGGTTTAAAGGTTAAGGGTTTTTTTGCAGGCTTAGGTTCAAATGCCTAAATCTTAAATTATAAACAAGAGCCAACAGAAAGAAAAACCCTCCGTGTGTGTGTGTGTGAGAGAGAGTGAATTAAGGAATACAGTCAAAAATCCGGTCACCGGAAAATCACCAGACAGCATAGGTTTTATCGGTATTTGCGGTACTTTTGCAAAGATCAAGGCCCGCGGTGGGTCCATGGGAGGGGGGGTGACCATATATATATATATATATGTACATATATATGTATATATATATATAAGCTCATCGCTTTCAAAATCATATAGGTCCCATTTAGATTCATATAAGCTCATCCCGTTCAAGATCATATGGACCCCATTGAAATTCATATAAACTCATCCCACTCATCCCTTTCAAAATCATATACAGCCAGACCACCCCCCCTCCCAGCCCCCCAAATTGCACCCTCCCCTCCACACTAAAGACGGGTATCCCTTTGTTGAGGGGGGGGGGCACACTAATCAGCAGACCACATTATGCAAACGGCATGTATTTTGTGCTTAGTGCTTTGCCGGTGCCCTTTATAAGGGAGCAGGCGTGACCTCTGCAATGGCGAAGATAGGTGCAATCTTGCTATAGCTGAGTGTTTCCCCAGCCAACGTAGCGGTTCCAGTGGGGCGAGTGGGGGGGGGGGGGGGCGGATCTGGGAAATTGGGGGGCCCGAGGCCCAAGCCGAACAACCCCGAAGCCGCCTCTCCCTAACAGCAAAGCGCCAAAAGCGAACCGCGAGACATCCGACTGGGTCGGCCACGGCTGCAAAGCATCGGAGCTCGATGCTGCCAGCCTCCGCATACTTTGCAAACAGGCGATGACTCAACCCTCTAGAGTCTCCAGAGTCTCTAGAGCACCTCACCGACGAAGACTTCGGAGGTAATTTGGGATCAAGATTCCTAGGGCGTGGCAATGCCGACAGCAACGGCAGAACCGTGACCATTACTTTAAGAAGTCTGCCCACCATGACAAGTTAAAAGCTAGCATCCCCAAGCGGCACAAGCCCGGATGGCAGAAAAGGCTTCTGCAGCTTGAGCCACTATAGACCCTGAAACGACCGGTCAAGAATGGAGTGTCAGTGTGAAGTTCATGGAGTCTCCATGAGCGCATCTTGAAAGGCCTGGGGTGCCCAAAGCTGGGTGGCTTCAAGTGTCAAGGAGCAAGGCCCACGCAGCACAACAACAAACGAAAGCGACTCCCTGGAGTTCATTCTGGCCAGCGCTGGGCACCAGGCGTAGACAGGGTTCACTGAGGAGCAATTCACTGTCTCTGCGCTGCCGCTTGTCAACTCCTGACACTCGGCCAGCTGTAGCTTTACCTTATTGTTTTTCTTGCAAAACCAGGCACGCACGAGTGTAGGCCATGCCTACAAGGTACAGCTCGTGTACAAGATGATGTTCAGTGTCTACAGGCTATAGGGCTCGAGGATAGATTGAGGGCTAGAGCCTGCCTGACAAGCCCTCCGCTAAACCCGTGCCATCAAGACCACACTATGCCTCGAGGCTGAGTCAAGTTTCGGGCGCTTGCGAATGCACGCACGCCATGCCAGCCAAAACGAAACAAAGAACACACACCCCAGCGCCCCAGAAATCACCAAACGCATCACGACACTTGACTCCTGCGAGGGCATCAGGGTTTGCGTCTGATCGTACAACGTGACACTGGCCGAACTGCTTGAAGGGCACGGCATCGCCCTAGCTGCGGATGGACTGAATGAAGCCCGACCCAACAAAGGGGACTGGAATTTGGATGGATTTGGGGCTTCAAGCCGCTTCAGTTTTCATTTTCAGCTTTAGGGACCTAATAGGACCCACACCGCAGCACTGCACTCCATCGTGTTTTTACCCCTGAAGATGTATTCAAGCACACAAGTTCCTTTGAAGCCTTGAGCCTGCCTGAATCTTTCGAGGTTCCAGGCTCTTGGGTTGGGGCTCACGCTGGTCCAGTACGTCTAATCATCTTAGCGGAGCCCTTGCCTAGCCTCCGTACTACTAGTAACACAACTACATCCAGGCCCGGCAGCCTCATTTCAATGCAAGCCTCATGATCCTACAACACGCTCTTCGCACTCCACCCCCCGAATGAAGAACGAACAATTGCCCAGCCAATGGCCCTGCGTGGGTTCTCAACCATTTCGCCCATTCAACCATGTGGAACCCTCGACACATGTAAGCCTCACATGTGCTGATGTCATGTGCTGATCCGGGCCCCCAGCGCGCAGGCTGACACCTCGGCATCACTCGAAAGGTCTCCACTTGCATTCTCCTAAAAGTGCCTCCTCATGGCCTGCGCCTTAGCACTCCGAGGTTTCAGGGGAAGCCCAAGACGTGGATGTTGAAACGAGATGCATCCGCATCGACAGCGCCGCCGTTGCATCGGACTGTAGCCTGCGGATTGTCATTTGGCTTCCCCTTCTTGCCGGAAGTAGCCCATTCTGCGCTGCGGGGCTTTGGCATTTGGGCTTTCACGAAATATAACTAGGGTGGACCTTCACAGCCTCCAGGAGGATGTGTGGGCACTGCTTATCACCCAAAGACCCCGGCTGCAGCATGGACATCTAGGCCAACAGAGGCCAACAGACAGGCTTAGCCGCTTTCTTCAGTTGAATCTTGCGACAACCCTGCTGTGAGTAGTCATTTTTTGTATAGAGAGCACAACATACATTTTCGTTGGGGAGGGGGCGGTCCGAAGGGCGTGAAACTCTGAAGAGTTTTCGTTAAACCTTTTGCCCGCACTTGCAGGTCTGCCTCGCCACCTAAAAAACCAAGTTATAAGACTTACGAGGTGCCGGGAGAGCTCAAGATATGCAGATTTCTGGAAGCGTGTAACAATGCGAACTCACGTGAACTATACACGCTAGACGTTTTCAAAAGTATGCGTGTATACGTCATGACCAGCAGGAGCATGGACCCACGCTGTTCCCGTCGCCCATCATGCCCATGTGACTCCGAGAGCTTCCGAAGTTGGGTTGGAGCCCTCCCAGGCACAACATCTGACTTCCCACCTGTTCAGAACTCCTCTGCTCAACCCTCGCGCCTGACCCGAGAAGCCCGACATCAGCAGCGAGCAGTCGAGGCCATATGGATCCTGGAAGGCCTGCTGGGATTCCGAGTGCAAAGAGCCCACTTTTTACCGTACCTCGATTAGAAGTTTTGTTCATTGTAGGTTTGCTTCACAAGAATGCGAACATAGCCCTCGAGACCCTACAGATGTTCATCTCCGCGGCGCGCCCTAGATTCAGTGAAGCGCGCATGTCCTCCATCAGCCTCGGGTCTGTTCGTTTCCGAACCCTTGAAATGCACTGGCCCCCTCATGCTTGCGAAGGACGTTGAGCTGCTCTTGCCACCGAAAGGACGCAAGCAGGCCTCGAACTCGCTCGAATGAGAGATGCTATAAACACCGGAAGCTTTTCCCTAAGGCCCTGATAGCACCTTGGAGCCTACAGGCACTCACCGTTGTCACCCACATTGCCTGTGGCGGCACGACGCTGTGCACGCTGCCTCCGAGAATAACCTCCGCACAGGTTCCAGTATTGTATGTCGTCCTTTAAACTTGGGCTTCCAGCGAGGTACCCCAACCTGCTCGAGCCTTATCCTTAGTCAGGTGCAGCAGTCATACACCGGGGGCATCTCAAACCTACAGAACGGAGTTCTGCTTTCGGGAATCGCTCAGGTGTAGCCTGTCCCGGCCGCGATGGAAGGCAGAAGAGCTCGCAGGAGGACCTCAGCAGTCATTGATGCAGTGCCTTTGCGAGCTGTGCAAGGCTTCACTCGTTCCTGGTGATTAGCCTCTGGTTTGCAGCTCAGCATCTGAGCATATGTTAGGCTCATGCTCGGATATTTTCTGGCATGTTTACAACTCGATTTCGGCAGACAGTGGAGACCTTCTCCTCGAAAACCTGAGCCCCAAACCACCCCAAAAACCCTGCACTCCTGAACTCGACACCGAAACTACGTAGAATTCGGGAAATGACCTTACAAGGCCTTAATGAACTCATTCTGTTCTTAAAAAATATCAATAAATAAACACATATAAATATAAATATAAATATATACATGAATGCATGTCTATATACATATAATACATATGAAATTGGACATTGCTTGGGGGTACTTAGGTCCGGGCGCATCGGCCAAGACGACGCCGTAGTGGCACGTCAGCCGGAGCTCCCCTTGGCGTTTCAGGCTACCGGGCGTGAGGGTTTAAGCAGGGGAGGGTTCTTCAGGGCTCAGGTTTCAGGAGTTTCGGTATGTTTCTGCGCAGGCTGTTCAGGATCAAAGATCAGGATTCAGGATGACTGATAAAGGCTGCAGCCTCCTGCGCTTGCTTGGAGGGATTGTCTCACTTGGCCTATGCCCTCACCTCAAACCCTAAGCCTTTCGAATCCCAAAACCCCCAAGTCCAATTCCCTCTTGACAAGCGTCACCCTCAACATTTAGGACTCAGGCTGCATCCCAAATCACTCCTGAGGCCGCAGCCGCGCAGCGCCTGCCCAAGACAAATCAGGCCAACGCGTAAGAGGTCTCTCGAAACTCCGGTGGCGGTTGAAGGTTGCACCCCCAGACCCCTGAACAACCGGATCCGGTCCTGCACACTTGTGAACTCAACTCAGGCCTCATTGGCACTTTCGCAGGTGGCGATCTCTGTCTGCGCGTGCGAAAGCGCCATCGACCTCGCACACTAGTTCGCTCATGCTTCTGTCTGCCTCTCTCTTTCTCTTTACCTACTTTTGATTTTGTGATACTCCCTCTCTCTGTCTCTCTGTGAGCCTGGTCGAAGTATATCTACATATATATATATCTATACATATATATATATATATAGATACATGTATACATAGATATAGATATAGATACAGATATAGATATAGGTATAGTCATTTTTTCTCTCTCTGTCTCTCTCAGCCAGTCCATGTATGCAAGGGCCTTGGCTTGACGTTCCTTGTGCTACCAGACACTTGGCCAACAACTTGCCAGCTGAGCAACTACGCACGTACCGGCGCACGCGCAGCCAGCTGCACGATTAATCTGCCTGCAATCGCCCTCCTGTATACTTAGCAGACTTTAGGCATTTGCTTTCGGGTTTAGGCAGTTTCGGGAATGCGTTAGTTTGGGTTTTCAGGCGAGCATGTACTATCCGAGCAGGCATACGTCGAAGACATCACAAGAAGACATTTCCAGCGCTTGCAACGGCACCGACCCCGAATCCTAAGCCGTATTGTAGGCAAAGCCCTAAGTTAAGCCCGGCAAATCATAAACAAGTCTACGCAGCTGCACTTGGACATTGCATGCCCTTTTTGGGAGCCGCACGTGGAAACCACCTCGAAGATGCCACCCTTTGTTACGTTTGATGGCAAGCCTGTCCGCAGGAGCACGGAAAGGTCTAAGAGAGCTTCGTGGGCTTGTTGTACATGTCTCTTGGAGGGGGCACACTTCCTGAGACAAGACTTTGGGCATTTTGGTTCCGAGGTCTAGCTTTTATGCTTCTATGTAACAGCTGCTTAGCCTTCCTAGCTCAGAACCTTGGCATGATGTGAGTCTTTGCGTGACCTTGTGCCTGCTACAAGTGGTTGATTCATAATTGTTCTTGCAGGATTCGCCGTTGTACAGATCGGTCAAAGCAGTGTAGCAGGAAGATTCGATAATGGAGAATAGGATGTTAGTATACCTGTATACAGGTTTGTTGCAGGTCAACAGGGAAGACTTTCAGGTCTCAGGGAGATCCTCCCCTCAGTGCTGCAAAGATTTGGGGCCACTCCTTGAGTCCAACTCAGTCCTCATCAGATGCGAAGATTGAGACGTACACTTGGAAGGAAAGTGCCGTGGCGGCGACGGCCCCGTACTCACAAACTAAGCCAACGATTTGCTCATCTCGCCTGCTGCACACGCTTGCGGGATGCAGTTCACCTGCAGACCTCACCAACGCATAGGGATTCCAAGACTTGAAGCCTGCAGGGCAGGCAGTTGAGGCTAGGCGGGGCCATAACAGACCCACGCGTTTTCGGCAGTTTGGCTCTGTCGCCCTCAGAATCCCTGTAAATACCGATGTTTCCTGGGTTTCGCCCATCACCTCATCCCTGCAATTTTTATCCAAAATCATCCTGCAATTTTTTGGGCATCCGTAGACTGCACTGGTATTTGTGGGGTTTTTTGCACGACTTCGCACTTTCGACGTGTCCTAAACTAAGCCCTGTCTTGCTTGCATCCGCTTCTGCCCAGCCCTGGGTCTAAATAACACGTTTGCTTCACCATAGTTAGAAGAGAGCATCCATGGTCCATGGCCCAACCATGATGACGTCCATAGTCTAATCCGTTCTGGGAAGAGAGTATCCATGGCCCAAGCATGATGACGTCCATGGTCTACTCTGTTCTGATGAGAAGAGAGCATCCATGGCCCAAGCATGATGACGTCCATGGTCTACATGTTTTCTGCACTGCCATGGCCCAACCATGATGACGTCCATGGTCTACCCCGTTCTGGGAAGAGAGCATCCAGGGTCCAAGCATGATGACGTCCATGGTCTACTCTGCTCTGATGAGAAGAGAGCATCCATGGCCCAAGCATGATGACGTCCATGGTTTACATCGTCTGATCCATTCCGAGAAGGTCAAGCCTTCTTCTGGGCAGAAATGGTTGGAAGTTCTTGCTTTGAGGCGCACTGGGCAGCAGAAAGGCGTCATTTCTCAACACTAAAGGAGGTGACCTAAGTCCTGCATCTCAGGTTTGCTGGTGGGGCCACAGTTTTGCGCGGGTCTGTTGTGGACCCGCCAGGAGTTGAGGCTTCAAACTTGAGGGCTCTACCTTTTTCGGCTTTTGGAGCTGCAGAGGCGGTTAGACTTCTCAAGGTTCGAGTCATGGAAGCTCTCCAAAGACCACTTGTCTCGACCTACACAGGGACTCATGTCTGCGACTCGAGAAGTTTGACAGAGGAGATCTTGACAGAGGATGCTTTTGGGGCACTTTGGGGCTCCTGAGGCCGCTGGCCCACATAGCTCCCCTTCGAGCCGCATGTGCCGGAAATCGTTCCGACCTCATTGATGTAGCGCTGCAAAGTACTCTGTGCTTGCTATGAGGCTTTAGGCTGTTCCGGGCTTTTCTGGCCACGGGTGTCCCCGGCGCCAGAACCAATCCAAGCCCAGCCTCTAACAACAAACCAAATTCAGCCATTCAGCAAATTAAGCAAATCAAGCAACCGCAAAAAAACGCGCTCTGACTTGCCCATGAGTCGCACTCCCTCCAGACTCTCAAAACTTTGTCTTGGGGCTCAGACCCCTCAATCCCGAAGCCCCTTGTTCCATGATGACCGAAATCCTTGCCCTCAGGCGCAGGCCCAGTTGCTATCCACCTCACTGCAGTCCTCAGGGCGCAGCGAGGATTGGCTGTCTAAGCTTGATGCCAAGGGTTTTCAGTCTCTCAGGGATTGTCGGGCTCACATGGCATCTGATGCGTGATGAGGAATGACCTAAGTCAAACTCCCCACCCCCTTCCCCCCCCTCTCAACATTTGCCATCCTGTGACGGCCTTCAGGAGATTTCAGGAGTTAAGAAGTCCAGGTCTCAGGATCCGACAACTCGGACAGTGGCATCGTCTACTCCCGTTTGATTGAGTTTGATTCTGTAGAGTGTTGTGCAGTTTCGGGGGCACAGAGTCCCAGAGACCTGGCCAACTGGCCTTCGCAGGGACATGCCTGAGCTAGGAATCTAGGAAGCCCCTAAGTGCCGACCACACGGTCGCTCGGGCGCACACCAACGTGAAAGCCTGACCCAGCGCAACGGCCGACGTGGTCCGAACCACCTTTGCTGGAAGGCGATGGAGCTTCGGAGACACCACATAGAGGCTTAATGGCTCGCATTCTTCCTGAAGCAATATTCATTTCATATAGGTCCCCCGAGCCGACCGTAACCTTCTAAATCAAACCCTGAACACCAAAACGGCATGGCATGGTGCACGACAGTTAGGTTACTATTCTAAGCCAGCTCGAGCAGTGCGCTTGCGAGTTGGTACCTCCGTCAGTGCTGCTTTCTGCTGCAAACAGGCTGCAACACTCTCGAGACCAAAGCTTCACCGCTTCAACCCCCCAAGCCCCCCGTCCACTGCACAAGAAGTGTTGCCGCCCACAGTGTCTTTGCCTGCCTTGGTGTCGTTGCCAAGCATGATTTCCGCTCCTTCACCTTGCGCAGCACAACGACGAGAATCCAAGACGACAACCGTGAAAATGGTGTCAGGCTTTGCGAAATTTCTGGACGTCCTCTCTCATTGCACTCGAATCCGAGGACACAGACTTGGCCGGCATATCTTCAAGAGCCCTGAGGTAAAGTTCCGGTCTTTGGAACATTTTGGGGCTAAATGGCATCCACTGCTGAAAAGCGGAAGCCTGAACGATCCAACTAAAAACAGCTTGATGAACACGTGCCCTCTGGCCTGTCGGAAGGCAGCCCACCTCCAGCTGAACGCAGGTCGAGGGATCGTAGCCTTGGCATCGAGGGCTCCAGCTGCTTTAGGGCATGGGGTGTATGGTTTTATGCACAGGGTTGGTGCTTGCAATAGAGTTTTTGCACTGGTGCCGAGTTTGGTGAGGTTGTCCCCCAAAACTCAACTGCCAAGATTGCCTTCGGGCCATGGCCAAGTACGCCCCTAAAACACAAACAGCTGCTTCCCTGCTCCACTCGAACATGGGGTATATGTACAGTACGTGGCGCCGCTCAGCTCCGAACCGGAGATCCTCAAGCCCAAACCTTGTCTCAAGAACTATCAGCGCCACACCCTCAAACTCCGAGTTCCAGGCGGATGTTGCCACCGACGCAAGTCCTCAACGGATCACACTCGCAGAAGGTTTTTGGGACTCAAGGGATCAACAAAGAAACTACCGTCGAAGGCTAAAGGGTCTACTCCTACGTGGGCAAGTGCATCCTCGTACCCAATATCCTGGAGATGTACATATTATCTGTGCTTGTAACCCATACTTGTACTTACTGTCCTTGCATGATATGTTGATGATTTGCTTGCAGTGAAGTGAAGATTCCGCACCCACCCACACATCCACCCACACATCCACCCACCCACCCACCCACACTCGTATACATATATGGTCAGCTCTCGAAATTAGAGGTTTTCATAGGTAGGCCTTAGATTGACGTTTGACGATCAACACGGAAGGGGGCCGCCTTGGGCAGCCTTGAGACAGCTCAAAGAGGCGCCCTGTCGTACTCTCAGCCCTGCGCAACATCATGTCGCCGCTGAACTCGCTGTTGATGCTGCCACAATCTTCCTTGGAAGTAGGGCTTGATAGGGTGTGCAGTGTACAGTTAACCAGAGGCGTCACATGCCTTGTGTGGCCCAGACCCCATAAACTCTTCACAGCCCCATGGGTTAGGCTAAGCTAATGTTTCACTTCAGGAGCATGTACTCACACATAGCAGGTTTGGATCAGAGAAAGCCCCAAAGTTCAATCAAGTCCAATGAGAGTTAAGCTGACGGACTTTGGGTTCAGCTTCAGTGTCATGCTGTTTCTCGGGCTCCCACAGTCCAGGTGGTTCCGTGCTCAACCTGTCTGGGCAAAGGCTACACAGCTTGCACCTTTCCCTCTTTGTAAGTACCACGCAGGACCACGCATGCCAGCATGCTCGACACGCATGCCAGCATGCTCGACACGCATACATCCTGACACCCAGGTTTGCAGGAGCCAGGATTGCTTGACATTCCGATGTTTAGGGTCCAGGGACGGTTGCGGGGCAACAGGTTGTTGATGCAAAAAGCGATGCAAAAAACACTCTTATTGATTGCGCCACTACATGGGACCTCTGAGCCCCTGCTGGCTGGGGATTTGAGGCGGGTCCAACGGTACAACCTTTGATGAGCAAGAACCGCATCCGAAATCTGCTTTCCACTAGTCGATCCAAGGGTTTGCCCTTACAAAGCCTGTAGGCACACTGACGCAAAACTACTCAACTGCTCATCTCGGCCTGTCCGTAAGGCGACTCCTTCACCGCACTCTGCCAGCCCACGAACGCCTGAGGAGGGCCAAATGGGCTCTGACCAGTGGAGTTCTGAGTGTTGGATTTGGACTCTAGTGGCATGCTTCGTGCAAGACAACTCCAAAAACCACAAGTCCCGGGAAATATTCGTGTAATAGGCGAAGAGGTGATCAAAGGAGGGACTGAGGGACTCCACAAGCATCGAGCAAAGAGACTGGTCCACCAACACCAAAATCAAAATCTAGAATCTGGAACCTTCTCTCAAACCTGTGTTTGTCGTGCACCTCCACGCTCGCACCGTAGAGGCACGGATCACCAATGCCTGCATGCAGTATCATACAGTGTACCGACTTCTGTGATTTCTGAATGGTTCTCGGGGGCCTTGGGGCTTTTCGGGATGAAGATCTCTTTGACACTGAACTGCATGGACGAAACATTATGGCAGCCTTGTGGGCTCTGAGGGACAGGCATGTCGAAAAGTCGCCCGTGAGATTGCCGTACTTGCACACGACCTGTCGTCGGCCAGAGCCAGATATGCTGCGTGCATGACACACACGTGCACACTACCGGTAGGGTTTGATCAAACCCCGTGCATGTGCCTCAGACTCTGAGCATCCGAAGCATCCCGAAGAGCTGCGCCAGTCCTGCACCTACACTGACTCCTGAACTGGGCCTGGAAGTCGCCGCGGAACGCCGGGTTAACAAAGGCGCACTCCAAGGTGTAGCTCGCGTTGTGTTCGCGGAAAGCCTCGGAGGTCTAGAGTCTAGTTAAGGGCTGCATGGGCTGCATGTGTTTTGTGGGCCTTGGAGGCTTGAAAGTTGGGCCTGTGTGGGCCTACGACTTGAGGTTCGAAGTTCGAGGTGCGGGCAACAAACTGAGTACTAGTTCATAGAGTTTCACACGAGTCTTAAGGTCCATAAAGATGCAAATAGTATACTCAAACAAAGGAAGCAAAGCAATGCACCTCCTTGAAGCAAGCAGGTAGGTAATCTCAATGAACGGGGAACCATAATTATTGTTGGCGTTGGAGTTGGACCTGCATTACGGTCGTCTGCCCTCCCCAATGCACAATGTAGGGGAACCTCAAAAATTAAGCCCATTGAGTCTCGGATATGAAGTGGCAATCTGCTGAACAAAGCAAGCGCCCCGATCGATATAGGTCCTCAACCGAAGCCATGCGGGTGATGTCAGCAGATGGAGCTATGAGCAGCTGGACCTGAGCCTCCTGCCTCGCTGGTGATATCGCGGCCAACGAAATCGTACCTTCGCAGGCTTGGAGCCCAGGAGGGTGCACCAGAAGCCCCCTCAGTATGTTTACAAGCTTCGCGCCAAGACTATCGGAATTTCGAAGACGTGTGCATGGGGAGAAGGGTACGCTGAAGGTGCTGCTAGATTCGGGGAGGCTGGGCTATGGCTTTGTTGGTGAGTCGTTGAGGAGTTCATGCATTCATTGCAAATGAGGCAACTGAACGACTCTACTGGGTGACATTGACGAGGGGAAGATCGGGGAACAAAGCACCTGTGGTCAACTGATGTGCTTTCGATCTCACATTGCAGATCAAAAGATGCGAGGTTCCTGGTTAACCTGACTTGTGTACTGGTATATAGGGAAACGCAGTGCAGGGTTGGACGTAGGGCCTTAGGGGACAAACCCAACTGAACAAACATACAAGTAGAAAGAATTTCAAAGACGAACGCTGCCTTGGCAGCATTGGGATGGGCGGTTGAGGCCAACCAGAAGAAGACTATCGCCTTCCTTCGACGGTTGAAGAAGCCCCGGCCCCCCTCGTTGTGCCAAGCAACTCGAGGTAGTTCGTGGTGCCCCCCGGGCACGGCAGAGGCCTCAGGGCTTTGAAGACTTGGGTGCTAATAACTAATAGCTGAATGCTTAAGAGGGGATGTTTGGCGTGTGCAAGCATGTGCTTTTGAGGTGAACGCTGGGCAAGGCGCCCAAAAACATCTCGTTGCAAGCCATGCGCGGGCACATCCAATCCGGCCCCGTTTCTGGGCTCGAGAAGGACAATATGGCTGCCTGTGCACTATTTCGCCGCCCTGACACGCTTCCACTCAGATGTTGATCAAGTCACGTCCCGGGTTTCAGACATCATTGAATACCCTGAACCCCAAGGCAGGTTGCAAGCTGTGAGTGAGACAGGATCGGGATGGATCGGGCCCAGGAGCCTGAAGGGAGGTGTGGGCCTAGGAATCATCCCCTCAAAGCACCAGTTGTGGCCAACCAAAAGCCAAAACCTCAGCAGTCCCAACAAAAAGCTATGAAGCCTGCAAGACATCAATGCTGCGAATCTACGAACCTACGCAGAGCGTAGGGAAAACCCAAATCGGCTCCAGAGAAGGCCCGAGCTCGCAAGAGGTTGGCATGTCCACGGTGGCCACGCCCGCGTCGCCTCGATGCCCACCCCGTGTCGGCACTAAACCCAAGACCGCACAAGCTGACCCCAAACACGAAACATCCAATTGAGATAACCAACACGTAAACTTGCAAAGTGCCCATCCCTCCAACAGATCAGACGACCAAGCTGAGGCTGTAAATCCAGTCGGGGCTTGGGGTTGATGGTCTCGGGAAGGAAGGTTCAGGGGTTCGGGGGGGCCTAGGGCGCAAGAGCTGCTTTTTTTAAATTGGAAGGTGGAGCTTGAAGGTCTTAGGAACTTTTTGGGAACCCTGCAAGTAGAATGAACGGCTGCTGTCAGCTGCCCACACAGTTGTAGGCCTTCTGTGAAACAATCACTTCTCCAGACACAAGGGCTCAAGGGCTGCCTTACGGGCTCGCGAAGTTTAGGAAGCTTAGATTGGCCCAACCCTCGTGACAGCAAAGCGCACGCTTTGAACAGCGATTTGCTGCTCTGAGAAATTGATAGAAGTAAGGCTCCGCAAAAGACAGTCTGCGCCTTAACTCGAAGCCCCCAAGCGGCTTGCATAGAAATCCTAGAGCAATAGGAGTCTGATCAAGCTGTGGGTTGGGTTCTTTCACCTTTGCAACTATTCGCCTTACGTTGAGCTTGCCCGAAACCAAGTCCCTCGGTCCATCGAAGCTTAGGGTGGAGCAATTGACTGTCATACTGCCGGAGAATCCGTCTGGACAGTCCTCCGCAGTCACCGGTTCCAAACGAGGCTGCACTCTCACCCTGCACACAGAGCAGCCCACAACCTGACAAACTCGCAGCCGAAGCACGAAAGCGGCGTCGACAAATGTCGACAACTCGACGCTGCATCTCTTCAAGGCATAACTGTTTATAAGAAGTCCCTAATTACGCGGCGACTTGGGACTGGAACGACTGACGGCTCTGTAACTAGGGCATTCGGGCGGTGTCTCCGGTGCCCACCCGCCAGCAGGGTGGGCTGCCCACCAAAAGGGAACGTGTCCGGACACGGCCAAAAAAACATAGCGGGTCCCCAACAGTCTTCAGGTTAGGGGCGACTTGACGCACCTCACAGTGCGCAGGTATATCATATGTGGTCCACATACTTCTACACACACAGACAGAGAGACAGACAGACAGACAGACACAGAGACACAGAGACACGGAGACACCGAGACACAGACACACAGAGACAAACACACACACACACACACACACACCCGCGAAAGCAGAGCAGCAACCTGAAGGCACCCAAATTTTCCCAAACCGAAATGCGCACACGATCTCGCAACTAGTAAGGATTCGCAGCCTGACCCTAAGCCGACCCCAATCTGTTGCGATGGACAAACAGTCGGTCCACATCCGCACTCTGCGAGTGAAGAATGACCTGAAGAAAGGGCCCGGCTTCCCCGACTCCATGCATAAAACATGCCTAGAAACGCCGATGCCAACCTATAAAACCCATCTGGAAGGTCCGACATGCGGCAAAACGTCTTCAACTTCAGAACGGCTCTGATGTCTTCAGCCCTGCCCCAATCTGACTCCCAAACAAGTCGAGATCCATAAACTGCATCCGGGTCCCACCTCCTAAACCGCCTCCTAAACCCCAGATTCAGCACCCATGGACATCACGAAGAACTGCTACACTCCCTAGGATCCCGATGGGCCTCGCATCGATTTCGCTTGCGATTTTTTGCGGGTTGAAGACATGGGCTCTTTCCGGATTCTGGTGCGTGACTGCTTCTGGTCTTGCATGACGGGAGATTGCTGAGCATTTCAGTGCAGAGTTTGCATTGTGCCCCCAGGACTTGCTCCGCTCCGTGGAACACATGAAGTCATGTACACAGGCTTTGCATTTGAATATGACATTGTTTCAGGAACCACTGTGAAGAGAGATTGCGTACAACAGGAGACACAATCCCGCAACCCCGGGAAGCCAGAATGGCTTCTCGTAGGATTAAGTTCGACGTCTCGGCTTTGTCTCGGCTTGGTCTGGTGGTGGCAAGCGTTGATGATGGTTTTGTTACATAAAGCCCGAAGCCTCATAAACGCAACTGAAACCCCTAGCCCTAGACCTTCACAGAGGCCGGTGCTTGGCCAATATCCGTCACGAACAGCTGCCAGTCGAGGTTGGCCTCGAGGTTTGCTTTGCGGCGGCCGGGTCTTGCCGAGTCTTGCAGTGTTCGGAAGCTTGAGGCTCCACTCAAAGGAAAAGATTGGCGCCGGGGTTCCATCTCCTAACTGTAAACGGATACTCCTGAACTTCCACAAGACCATGTATGCCTGAACCCAAAGTGCTAGTGCAAAAATGTGACCCAGAAGGACATCGGACAGACAACGCCTTGCAATCCTGAGACCAATACCAAGACAAAAACAGCAAAAACTCGTATGCCTGCACAATCTGCGAGGCTCCACAACCCACCAGGCAGGAGCTGTCCACAGACCTTGTCCAAACCTATCTAAACCCAAACCTAGGGGCGTGCAAGGGCGTGAAGAGTGCTGAGGCTTTGTGGATTTTGGATTATGGCTGGAGAACTTGCTTTGCGGTGTCAGCTGTCAGGACGTCAGAACCGGGCCATGTCTCTAAACTCCATAAGGTGTGAGTGCGTCCTTCAGTCGCGCCTAAGCGCACGGCGTCGGGCTGACACTACTATGGGGTTGGTGATAGTCGAAATTCTAGCTCTGGCTTTGCAGTTCTGGACTCATGGTCTAGGATTTTCGGGGAAGAAACGGAATTGAAACTTGGGATCGCAAGATCCTGCTTTGCTACAGGCTCATGATCTACTGCGAGTCATACAGCGCCGAAAAGCCCAAAATTTTCCCAAACTAAAAGCGAAACCCTCAGTCAGGTGAAGCAAGAACCGAAAGTTCACAACGAACCCTGCATCCGAAACAACGGCCGAGAGCGCTGCAGTGTGCCCAAGCCTCGGTCTCTCGGAAGAGTACTGGAAATTTCCCCAACAGGGCTTGGCGGTACAGCATCGGAGTGTGTTACAGTCTATTGGGGATCCATATCTAACCTAGTTTTCCAAGTTTTCGATGAATTTCAGCGGTTTTCGCAAGTCATGCGCGAAAGCTAAGAAGGGCGCACGGCGACCCACCCTTTACAATCGAGGCAGTATAGCATGGCAAAGTCACTCGTCTGGAACGATCTCGCACTTTCTTTAAACTGAACTCTGCAAGCCTTATAAGCGCCAGCCGCTAGCTTGAGCTCGGGACAACCGACGGACAAACTGTATGCATAGATATGAGACGGCGGCAATCCGGCACGACTGCCTGCTATTGCCTGCTAATTCTATGCCCGGATCCATTTCCAGACAATCCTTGGCAAGCGAGGAGAAAGTGCCAGGAGCAACCAAACACCCCCGTACGCCTGTTCAGGCTGTATAGTAGACTCGACTTCAGACTTTCCACAAAGACTCGGAACTGCTTGTTGCAGGACTCGGATTTTGAGTCGAAGCCTCTGCCCCAAGCCCAACCAGGCATGTACCAAGGCCCCTTTGGTAAGGCGCAGGCTGCATGTCACCTGGGACTCAGGTATCTAATCCTACTACCACCACTACGACCACAGCCATCAAAATGCTACCAGCACCGTCACACCTGCGACTACGTCAACAACTGCCACACTATTACTTGCTAGCACTACCTACTAGCGCACCTACACCCTCGAACCTACACCCTAAAATGATTTCCCTCGAAAAAAAGGCTCCGAAGAGACGGCTTCAGGTGCTTCGGATCTGACAGATCTCAAAGGATTTGGGTTCGGGCATCAGGGACTTTAGCAGGAAAATAGATTGGCATTTGAGGTTCTTGTTTAGGTTCTGAGCTTTCTGTTTGGGATTTAGGGATCCTCCATGCTTGTGGCTGGATTCCAACGGACTTTCGGCTGAGATGTCATGCTTTGACATGGGGCCCAATAAGACTATGGCATTGTAAATCAAATCTGAAATGTCCTACGACCCCGCACTCTCCAAACACCCTCGGCCGCGCTGGGCAACGGGCCAGCATTGTACCCTGATGCTGAGAACCGAAATCCTGGCAGGCATCAAGGTTGAATTTAGCAGAAGCGTAAAGTTCGTGAGGGCCAGGGGCACGCGCAGGCTTCAAGAAGGTCAAGGTGTTCTAGGACTTTGGGAGCGCGTCGTAGATGGGAGTTGAGTTGCTTCGCTTGTGTGCCAGGCTGCTTGCACTACTCGGGTGTTGGACTATGGGACTGAGGCCCTTGTGTGTCGGGAGTAAGAGTTCAGGTTCATTGTGGCGGGTGCTCAATCTGAGAAAGCCCCAGCTCACAACAGATCAAAGCAACCGCACCATCTGATGCGGAGCCCGTCAGCACCCAGAATTAAGCTGAAACACTGGTGCCCTAGCACAGGCTGGAGCGACACTGCACTGCTTCACGAAAGTGTCGCCATCTGCCATCCGGTTGTCAGGGCTGACCTGGGTAGGCTTGGCTTGCAACAGCTTTGAGCGTTTACGTTTTCGGGCACGCGAGCCCAAGTGCCCTGAGTAGACCTTTCTCACTATACATGCCTCACAATTTCTGGGGCTTAATTCAGGCCTGTTGGGCTTCTCTTTGGCTTCTTGCTCGCATCCGGGCACCGAACAGTGACATTCTCCAGGCCCATCAGAAGAGGCGTGCCATAGTCGGGCATACCTTGGTTCATTTGAGACAGGCGGGCTTGCTGCAAAATGTAAAAAAAAAGTTTCTGCCTGAAACCAGGCAGAAAATATCAGTGTGCCTCCCCTGTGGTGTGTGGTTCTTCTTCACAACCAGACCTCTTTGAGTCCCACACACGCCGGCTTGCAGTCAGAGTAGTCGGGAATGAGCGCACCCTTGATGCAAGTGACCTGCAAAGAACAGACGAAGATGCAGTTACTACGCTGACTATAGCTCCGAAGCAGCATATCCTGGTACCGAACGCCGTCAGCTCAAGAACCCTATCGAAAGCCAACTTGGCTACGGATGCAAACTCCGCAGCGCGATTCAAGAAACATGTTCTGCTCCGTAGCAAAACGTGGCAGGCTACAAAGGCTGTATGCGTCTGTAGAGCGTAGGGCTGCTGGGCCCGATGCAGCCAGCACACCCAGACACGGGCAAGCTCTCAACCCTGTGCAATCACGCGAGGCCAAAGCCTATACGTCCTGAACTGCATATGAGCCGAGGCAGATGCTGCGATCTCGTTGTCCCACTCCATGTTGACCTGCTGCCATGCTGGAGTCATTGCGCTAATGACTGCTAAGCCTTCAACGAGCTTTTCAGGTTTGGATTTCACGTTAAATGTGGATATGTGATCCATACTCTTGAGATCCGAGATTTGAAGATGTTTTAGGGCTCATTCAGAAGGTATGCATCACAATCGACTCTCTTGAGTAGGAAGGCCCATTGTGAAGACTAATGACGACCAGCTTGCCGAAACCAGGGACAGGGTCCAACGAAATCCAAGGAGGTAGGAATGAGAGCCCAACTCCTCGGCCCAACACGACAGTTCGAAACAAAGCTGCAGTCTCTACCTCTACAGGCAGCTCCCAAAAACCGACCTCGCTGCAATTCAGCGTGATGATGCCCGCGTGGTTGACCTAACCAAACAAAGGCTTGAAGGTATAAGGCTTCATAAGCTTCAGGCTTATGGCCCTCAGTTTAACGCTTTGGGCTCGCGAAGCTGAAGGCCAGACGGGCCGTCTCGACAGAGTAAGGTAAAGCCACGCACGTCGAATGACCATTAGAATCGCAGTGAACTAGCGAGACTGCACACGCAGACTCGCAAGCCCGAACTCATCTAACTAACCGCAAACGCAAATTCTGAAAGCCTCAACGCTTGAGGGCTGTAGGCTTTGAGAGGCGTAGGCTTTGGATTTAGGCTCGTGGTCTGCATTCCTGGGATGATCATTACTTCTGCATCAGTTGCTACCACAGGATCTATTCGAAGAATCCTGCCCCTTCGTTTCGGGCCTCGAAGCCTTCAGGCCTGAGGCTCTGCATATTGCAGGTTCTTTGGGCGCCCTCATGAAATCCGCATGCTGTTCACGTCCAGTGGGGCATAGGACAATGGATGACGTGCAGAAGTGTGCAGAAGACCCTGTCAGGAGGATCTTGTTGAGGTCCCGCCTCGGCATCGAGGGCCTTCGTGACCGTCATGGATCCCAAAGTCATCTGCCAGCTCAGGTCCTGCCATTTCAACCAGTTCCAAAAGCAGGCCCTAAAGGCCCTAAACCAACACCGGCCACGTTTCGGGGCTGAGACGTTGACAGTATAACGAAGAAGCCCCACAAGGAAACCATAATCAACCGAAAAGATGGGAAGCGGAGCAATGCCCAGCCGCTCTGCAATCTCAGTCTAGGGCTTAGGGCCATGAGGGCTAAAGCCCCCAAAGGGGAAGTCTACCCTCAATGTCTCAGAATGTGAAACATTCCTATAATCCCTTCCCCCCGCCCGCCCCTTGTTTCACAACCCTCCAAATATCCTGAAGGGGTTTTAGCACCAGGGGGGGGTTATTATCGTTTGTCCGAACAAACAGGCCGTCCTTCGAGCCTACAGGGTTTCCGGCTTTCAGAGTCAGGGTTTCGGGGCAACTGAGAGTTCAGGCTTCAGGTTTCTGCTTGAGGCTTCCGACCCCCCCTTAACCCCCCCCCAATTCGGTAGAGGTTTCAAGAAGGGGCGGCTACGAGATCGGTTTTCGGGCCAGGGTAGTTGCATATTTGCGGGGTATTAATTATTGAGTCAGGGGAAGGGATTAAACGACAGATCTTTCCTTGGCCCTGAAAACCGAAAAAAACAGTGGGAAGCTGCCCTCAGCGACCTCTGCGCAGCTGCGCTCTTGGCAAGACTCGGAGCTCAGCGTGGCCACACCATCACTGCAGGCAATCACCTTGGAGGGGAGCTCAAGGACGTTGAAGGTTTTGGGTGTCTAGGATTTCGGGCTTCATGTTTATGTCCAGAGACATGATGTGCTTGCTTATCTAAGTTAAGGAGACATGAACTTTTTGTTACAGTTTCCGGGCTCTGCTGAAGGCTCGTTTGCTTTGGGGCCTTGATGACTAGCTCCACCTTCAAACATGGATCCTATAAGCCCTGGCGTGCAGAGGTCCTGGACACAAACGGATGAGAAGAAGTCTGTAGTGCTACATGACCGCGGCTACCGTGAGCCGAGTCAAGCCTCTCGGGGGCTGCCGCTGAGGGTTGGGGACGGGTGGGTGTGGGCACCCCAAACGCGCAAACGCAGGAACCTCTAGGCAGAGGAAGAGGTTCAGACTTGTTCATCCCTGCCAGCTCAACACGGCCTATGCTGGGCCCGTGGCCAAATTCCCGGTGAAACCGGAATCGGCCCTGCTGCAGCCTAGATCCAACAGGTGACAGGGATCACTTTCCAAACGTATTCGGCAGTCTCACTATGTCCAGTACACCTTTTCTTACATGCTGCACCAGCTCGTGCTTAGGATTCGGTGAAAGCCGATTTAAATGTCCAGCACAAGCAGGTGAGTATGAGTCGTACCACTCTGAAATCACAGGGTTGACGAGACACTTCCGGCCTTCTATACCAGTCTGGCCATGCGGAATCTCCGAAGAGAGGGTCAAGCCCTTTGCCTGCCGATTCCGAGGAGCTTGGAAGTTGAAAGATTTTGGGTTTGCAGAGTTCCGCAGCTGCCACACTGAACAACAAAACCCGGAACCTTTTCTAACTTACTCCAACACCCTTCTGTTCTGCTTCACTCCTTGCACGGATGTAGAAGGCCCATATGCCTCGCCCGCAAAGGTCACCGAGAGGCTTTGTCCCAGGGAGCCTCGGCGTTTTTCTGTTTAACTTACCTCGAAGTGCAGGGTGCCATTGCAGCATGCAGTTTGGGGGATCGAGTTAAGGGAGTATGACATGCTTAGAACATTCAAAAGGGCAAGGAACTCAGATTGCTGGAACAGGTGATGCAAAGTCGGGTTGCTTGGCGATGTGGGAAAGTTTCCCAACGGCTTTCAAAAGGCCGTGTGGCATGACTCGGTATGGCGAGTCTTTGGGCTCAGCGTTGTCGCAAATGATATATATGCTCCATGCCAACTCCATGCGATGGGAACTCGTACTATGATGAAGAGGATCGTTGGCGGGAACGTTTAGGCATAATGCCGTTCTATCACATCAGAAAGGGATGATGATGAGTCCTCCTGCTGCTGCTTTCTTGCCTGTACAAGTAGCAAGATTCTCTAGAACAGGCTGGAGAATATGAACGTCAAAGGATCACCGCACTCTCGTCAGGTTTCAAGCGTTGACCGGGCTTTGAGGTCCCAGCAAGCTCCCATGCATGCAGAGGTGTCTGCCTCAGAAAAACAAGACGATTCTTGCATCACCCTGTGGATCCGAGGTCAGTTGCTTCATGATCACGTTTACCGCGGTTTTGCAAGACCCATGTGCTTCTAAACGGAAAGGACTTTGTAGCATCCTGTGGTGCGTCTTGAAACCTGTTGCTATGTTCTTCAAGCCCCGACATGCCCTGGACCCCCATCGAGGCCCACGAATCTAAACGTGAACCCTACTGGTAAGACCAGATTGTTAGCTGTGCAGGATGGTGCAGAAGGGGGGTGACCCCCCGGGCACAATTCTCCCAATCCTCGAAATGGCACCCGAAAGCGAGGAGAGCTGTGGACTCCGGACCCAACTCAGGGACTGATCAACTAGCCAAGCTGCTTCGCCTTCATGCCTGAAACTGAATTTCCAACGGTCCTATTGCATCCCCAACAGCAACAGAAACAAAGCTTCAGGTCTACCTCAAAACCCGAGATGTTCTATGGCATCCTTTTTTTTCCCGAGAAGGCGACCGTGATGGTACCCTCGTTGCAGGTGAGCACGACATCGCCAGTGTAGCCTCCAAAGAGTCTGAACTCCAAGCCGTGAATCAAAGAAGGTGCCGAAGACTAGATTTCCGTCTGCTGGGCCAACGAGGGCAAAAGCAGGAAGTCAAGTAAACACAAGCCCCAACCCAAGCCCCGCAATCCTGCAATACCTGCTCCAGGAGCCCTAAAAGTCCCCAACCTCAACCTCAAGAGATTCATTGAATCTCAGAACATATAGACCCATCATCCTTGAATCAGATCGTGTATTCAGCAAGCTTGGCCCTGGGTGTTGCGGACGTGTCGCCTCAAAATGGACTCTGAGGGCTATGGAACCCTAACCCCGATGGCGCCTGCGACGACGCTGCCGCACGAGACCAGACCCGTCTGCACAGGGCACAGCTTCTTGATTCGAGGCTGTTTTGGAAAAAACAACAACAAGAGAGTACCCTAGAACCTTGAACCTTTTTTTGACGGTGCCTGCGCTGTTGAATGCGACCCTTTGAGCCTGGCTCCTCAAGCTCTGCTACAAACAGTGCGAGCTGCCTGGTCGTGCTCGATTTGGGAAACAGGCGAGACCTGCTCTGCCAGGAAATCAAAACAAGTCATAAGCCCTAAACACCCCATTTGAAGATGACGGGGCCAATGGCTCGGAAAAACAGTATAAGTCATGAAGGATCGACGATTACTCGCGCCTGAGCGGTGCACAAGTTGGCCTAGCAAGGTGGCCAGAACGCAGAAATACAGGAAACCTGGGTTCCGAGCCGGGAGTACATTGCCACCGATAGAGACATCAACGCCTGAAGCTGCGGAAGTATTTTGGAGGTCGTTGCCGTGTTTCTTCGAGACGTGATGGGATCAGGGAAAACTTGGGGGGTTATAAGAGATGTGGATTAAGAGCTGTGGAACTTGTAGTAGGTTCTTTATGCTTTGGGGTGGACGACGGGCAGGCTCGGAGATCAAGATTACTAGCGGAGAAAGGACCTTGTAAGGAAGCTTAGCGAGCCTTTAGGGAGTACTAGGGACCGTGAAGGACACCCCAATGCAACTTGAGCCGCGTAAGCTAGTAGGGCGTGTCCTAAGCCAAAACAAGACTCCAAAACCATCTCTCGAAACTATACACACCTACATACTACCCTGGGATCGTTCCTACACTCCTGATATATTTTATATACTTCTCAAATACGAGGCAACCCCCACATGTCTCCACATTTTCTTCCGAGCGTCTGCTGGAGGTGAGGCAGAGCTTGTGGCAGCTGTGGCTGTCCGTGAGCCTAAGGACCACACGGAAAACAAATTTCGGGAGAGTGCAGGAGTCAGGTGTCCAAGTGGAGTAGGCTTCAGATTGTCATTTTCTTTTTGCTGTGTGCTAGGGAGGCATGATGGGACTCAGGCTTGGGGGCGGGGGGGGGGGAGTGGGGAGGACCACGCAGTATAACATAGGAGGAAGGAGTTCCCCCCTCCCACCCGCATAGTCGAAGCCGCCTCCCCCTTCCCCTCAGCCCCATCCCAACTTAAAAAGAGCTGCTCGCCTGAAGATGGCGTCGCGCAAAACATTCTCACACCCCGAAAAGAGGTCGTCAAGGTAGATGCATAGTTTGAGGCTGCATCGAGTCTGAGACGCCCAACCGGCAACCAACTGTAATGCCGTGTTTGCACACTGCATACATTGAGATTCAATTTTGCGGTGCTTTCATATTGACTGGTAGCGGTTGGTCGGTTGGTTGTGTGTCCGTTTGCCATCTCAGCCGTCTTCTCGGATTCGACACTTACAAGGATCCGCCTGTGCCACGATGACGACGTCAGACCCCTGGACCTTAATCTCAGGCCTGAGTCCCACTCCAGTAACATTCCCCCTAGGGCATGGACAGTCCGTTGGAGCACGTCAAGTTCAGAATGCCGTGATAGCCGGAGTCCAACCTCATTGACACTCACTCGGGAAACATCTGGGCCTTGAAAGAGGCTTATGGATCGACAATGGAAGGCTAGGTGATGTAGCACCCCATCATGAGAAACAAAGGTCTTCTGTACACAAGACTCGAAATGGCTTACACTGCATGATTTATGATGTATGATGATGTATGTCATGCTCTGCCATGGCGGCATGCCGCTCTTACGCAGCGTCTTTTGCTTTTTGTTGGTCTGGATGGCCGTGCACGATGAAGGTGGCTACAGGCTTTTTCTGCTGTTCCTATCCAGCCGCTGCACTGAAGGCAACGACTCTTAGATCTGCGGCCGCTCGCGTGGAAGAACCCATGATCTTCCATGGTACACATGGCACGCAGGCCATCATTCGGAACCGACGTTGAATGTCAGCCTTATAGCGAACTTCCACAGCCCTGTCTCGAAACCCGCGTTCGTCGCAAGCATCCAGCCCCCGAACTCCTGAAATCCTCAGCTCCAAGACCTGCACAGTTGTACGAGAAGATGCAACGTTGAGTACTCGGCACCTTTGCCAGTCTCCCCCCTTGGGCTCCATGCAGGCTGCAGTTCCTCTGTTCAACGACTCCGGAGCTGAGGCGGTCAGTGACCGTCACGTCGTCGTAAACTGGGGCGGAGGTATTTGCAGGTAATTGGGGTTGCGTGTGCTGCGAAGTGAAGGTTTGGTGCGCTTCGCTGCTGTAGACTACACGTGCAGTTCAGATATTTGGGCTTGGTGAACTTCATTGCAGATCAAGGACTATGCTCAAGAATGGTTCTGAACACATACACACACACACACACTACCTACACTCCCTACACGGACCTTGACCTCAATCCCAGGGATGTGTGCTTCAAGAGATACCCAAAATGGACCAAACAGGAGTTAGGAAACTGGAAAACGCTCCAACGTGAACATCGAAGGCAGGGGGGCTTCAGGGTGAGGGAGTTCGGAGCGTTCGAAGGCCTCTGCCCTAAGCAGTTGGCGCACTTTGGCTCACATGGGCGCTTACGAGGGTTTGCTGTCCTGCGGCCTTAGGAGCCTTTGTGTTGCTGGGTGTATGGTGGGGTCATGTCTAGGGTTTAGTTTAGGGAAGCCCTCTGTAGCCACCAAAGCCTCCCTAAACTCTCAGGGCAAATTCAGGGCAAATCGATGACTCCTGTGCAGCGGCGACCCCGCAACATCTCGCAACCTTCAGAACCTCGTGAGTTCGCTCACCCCAACAGCCTTCGACCTCAATTGGGCAGAACTCAGGCGGCGGCCATCCCCAGCAACGACCACGGTGGTCATCTCTCCGGGCAGGCAAGCCCTCTGGCAGCCCGTGATGTTGGGCTTGTACACCTCGAAAAGGCTTCGTTTGAGAAAAAATAAGCGCGGGGCCACACATAGCTGCAACTCCCGCAACTAGCTCCCAAAATGCAGCGGGTTTGGGCTGACTGGGTTAATTGCGCTCTCTTCAGGCTCTTGGCATCGTCTGGAATACCAAAAAAGGGCTAATGTGAAGGCAAGTAGAATAAAGTGGAACATGCTAGAACTCTCCTCGCCGATTCCATGTACAAGTACGCTGAACTTTCATAGCCTTCGGCTGTCGCATTGCGGGGGTCAATGCAGAGTCCCGGGTGCTTGGGTCAGCTCTCGCACAGTTTGTTGGCTTCTTCACGCCGCGGTTTTTCGACAGATGTTCTTCAAAAAGCGTTGGCAAATACTACGGAATACTACGGGGCCGGTCTCTTCTCTTGGCGAAGATCGTCGAAGGTTCGGACTCTGCAGGGAATTCCCCATGTTATGCGACATTCCAATCGACTCAGGAGGCCCAGTTCAGGATGAGCACATAACAGCCTAATCGTCTCTTCAACGGTTCATCAATGTCGTATGATGGGGTTTGATATGAACGGAAGCAGTTCCTTAAACATCCGGACCAGTTGGATGAGCACGGCGCACAGGACATTGATATCAATGTGCCAGTGCATTCGTGCATGTTTGCATTCTCTGTCAGTGTGTACTGTCCACTATACTGATTGGAGTGCAACCCTTCCCCCCTCCCACTCCACCACCCTCCAACAGACAGCAAAACCACGAATTGACTTTCCTGGGCTTCTGGCGCCATCATCGCACGAGAGGAAAGCATTGCCATCGTACATGCCTCAGCAGCACTCCCCTATGGATTTCTAAGATCTAAATTGCAACCATATAACTTATATAACCACTTAGGGGTTATGTAAACAAGTTGCTAGATTGTGCACTGATCTTCAGCATTTGCTTGTTGGACAAGGGACACGCCCAATGATGTATTTAGATGCGTTTTGAAGGAACGCGAACCAGTCAGCTGCAGCAATGTCACAACCGTTCTGCATTCGAAGGCAGGAAGCTATACATATAAACTTCTATCTGACGAGCAGTCTGAATGCTCCATTTTGCGAAGAGGCGGCGCTTTGGCTCAAGTTACGCAGTCAAGGCGTTCGGTTTGCGCCGCTTTGGACATCACGGACAGACCCCCGCATGCAAATGCCTGCTGAGAAAGTGCGGCCCTCGGCCTGCAACTCAGACGGAAACCCTTTTAACTTAACAGTTTCTGTTTGGCTTCATGGATTTGCAGATTCAGGGTTTCAGACTTCAGTTGAAACGTTTGTTTTCAGGCTTCGTCGTGACAAAAAGATGTATACCTCGCACAGGGCAGTCGATTTGGGAGGCCCTGTCCTGCGGCTATAACACCTGAAGCAATGAAGCAATGACGGCCATGTCCTGTCAAACCCACAAGACAAACTAACACCCTGAACCCGAAGGCGACAATGTAGGACCAACACCTGTGCAAAAACTTCGGACCTGCGAGAGCACCACGCCTTAAGCTCAACGAGACTGCTCTCAGGGGTCGAGGCTGCTGATGAATGTGTAGCAGGGGATGACTGCCTCGCTGCCATGGAGGTCCGGATCCTGGCAACGGCCATGTCTTAAGCATCATCGGGGGTCGGGTTTGGTGACGAGCTTCATGACGACTCGGGTGGCAGATCAACGATCATTGTCGCCTCTGAGGATTGCTGTGCGTTACACTGTCCAGTGCGGACGCAGAATGACGGTGGGGCGGAAGTGGGGGCATGTGCATGTAGATGTCCTGGGTGCAACTGGATGATTGCCCCAAGTGGAGATGTCAAGAGGACTCCCTGTTCGGAGCCATTTGGCTCAAGGACACTCGTCTGCGTGAGTGTAGTAAAGAGTACATTTGGCATTGATCCAGAGGCGAGAGGGGCGCTCTACAACTCTCTCTGTCTGCTAGGTGGATTTCAAGAAAAATTGGCCGCTCTTCGAGTCATCCACGTCTACGACAAAGCCTAAACTGCAGGGATCCTGAATATTTGAAAGCGGCGCCGGTCAGATGTAGAGTCTTAGAGATGTCTTAGAGTGGCCGAAAGACCCCTGACGCTGTGCCATGGCGCGCCTGTTCGGACGCGTTGCACGGGGCGCCACAGGCCTCAGGCTGAACACTCACACGCATAGGAGAAAAGACAGCAATTGCGGTAATTATATAGGGTTGGGAGCAATTAGCTTTCGACCAGTTTTGGAAAGAATACTCCCAGCCAAGTACATTTGAATGCTCCCCACTTCCCACCGCCCTACACCAACCATGGCATGCCCTTTCACAACATACCTCTAGCCCGATAAACTCTTAAGTGCGCAAGCCGTCAAACCCACAAAGCCACACAATACCGCCTACATCAACGTCCGCATACCCGGCATAGTTGCCACAGGATCTCCAAGAACCGCTGACAAAACCCCGAGGACCCGAGGGGGCTGCGGAGACGTTGGGTCGGACCTGCCCTCCGAGGCAGGTGTACTTGATCTGGGCAGGGCTGACAGGATCAAAACATGCCCAAGATTGAGGCTTAAGGCTTAAGTGCTTATAAGCACCAGGAGTGGCAAACAGAGACCTGGAGCGTGGGCCTCGCCCACCAGCTCTTCGCGGATGGTGGAGCAGTTGTCGAAGTACACTGGGCAGGGACTCAACATGCTACGCTTGTTGCTACGTTTGTATGGCATAACAAGGAGTTGAAGCTCAGCAGATCGACGAAGGAGCCTGTGAATCCAATGCAGAGCTGATAAAGAAGGGCATATTCAACAAGCCGCTGTTGTGGTGAGGAGAACCATGGATTCAACTAGCCTGGGCTGGAAAGCTTATCCTTGCACGATGCCCGGCAGCCACGACAAGTCCGGAGCCGCTGCCGCAATCCTAGGGAGGCCATGAAGCCCTGGCGGGTCTGAGGCCAAAGCCAGAATATGGTGGCAGAGTTCGCTCCGTTTCGGTGTAGTTCTCCTTTGACGACAGCGCATGCTGTGGGTGTTGGGGGACTTTTGTTCGCGGGAATTTCAGTCAAGCTTTCTGTCACATTCGTCGGACTATGCACAACATGCAGCCCAATGCAGCGAAGGGCACACGCACCAAACATGGAGGGTTTAGGGTTCGCGCAGTTCCGTCAACTCCTTTGGTGTTGTAGCTGCACTATGGCTTCAAAGCGCTGAGCTCTAAATTCGAAAAGTAGTTGGAGAATGGTAAGCAGTGGCTACCGGACCATGGCCCGCCCAGCTTTTGACCGCAGCCAGGAGAGGAATCAGTCTAGTCATCCAGTCGCACCTGTGCCACTGTAGGTGGAATAAAAAGCCCATGAACCTCTTAAGAGAGCCAACTGTCTCAATCAACCACGCCTACGACCCTAAGTCCATGCCACCCCCTCCACATGAGGCGAGGGCATCGTCCATTCTTGGATCTGGGCCTTAGTGCTTAAATGATGCACAATATCATCATCATCATCATCATCATCATCATTGTTATTGTTGTATTTCATGTATTGCTAGTCTTCTGAAGCTGTTATGTTGCCATGCTTGCTGGCCATGTCGATTGAGACTTGCCACAGGATCTGTGAGGTTCTCACGAACTTCCAAGCAAGTGTCTTGAGGCTGCTGCGACCCTAACACAAACCCATACCAAAACCTTGAAGCGCCACCCTTGGGCTTGAAAAGTCGGAGCTTTGCATTCCAGAACAGATTTCGGCATCGTATCGCAGCTTTGGCTTTGCTTGGGAATGCTCTGCAGTTGGAGGCACGCTCCGATTCCGATTCCGACTTGCTTTCTCTGGACCGAGCAAGGTGATCAGTACTTGTACAACTCCATTCCTTCACCTTGCGGATGTTAAGCGCGAGGCATGGCAAAGGAATGCAGGCTTGGTCCACAACCTGCAGGGCAGATGCAACTCATGGCTCAATGACCGCAAGCCGTCAAAAATCAAGCCACCTTAGCCGTTATACTTAAACAACCTTACAACCTTGTACCCTTGCACTCGCCCCTCCGAGCCTAAACCAATGCGGGGCTTGAGTGTCGCGTGCATTGCTTCTACAGGGCTGAGGCTCAGGGCATTATCCAGGGTTTGGCAATTTAGAATTTGGGTCTTTGCTCGAAGAGAGGTCTATGCTTAAAGACGTTACCGGGGTTTTCTCGCTATGGGAAGACGCAAGACAAGGAGACAAGGCATTTTGCGATCTGAGGTGCCGAGGCTACGTCGTCAATGCACTGCATGTCGATGGTGCCCTCGTAGCCAGGCCAGAAGGCACCTCTCCCACCCACAGGCTCTCGCAATCCCCACACTTGCTGAATCCACGGACGTCCTGCTGCCAAGATCTCAGTCTTCTTGGCTTTGAACGAGCAGCGTTTTTCAAGCATCCGAGGTAACATAGGCTTTAGGGTTCGAAACCTCAACCTACGGTGAGTCTCGATAAACAGCACAACCTGACTCGGAACCACTTCAACAGTTCCGAAGCCTAAAGTATCCTAAAGTCTTGCAGCGTATTCCTGAGGCGGCGGCTGCAATTTTGAGTATGCGATCTGTTGTGCCTCAGAACTTCTGCACAAACGACAACTCAGCAAACCGAGGCCGCAGTCGTCCAGGTCCTACTGTGTTGACTACTGAACCTAGCAGCATATCCAGAAACAAACCCTCCATGGGCTCTTGAAACATCTACAGCCGGAGGTCGTTGAAAGGTCCGTGGCAATCGAAGCCTTTGCTTGTGTAAAGAGAGGTTTCTGCAAAGATGTCAGCATTCGGCCTTGAGACCCCAAAAGACCGCAAAGGCTTGATGAGCGAAGCCCAGAAAGATCATCAAACTCATCCTCAGTGGTGCTTTAAGCGAATCCTGCACTGCAAGCCAATCTGAGAGCTGGGCGGTATAGTGCCGACTGGGAGGACGGTGTAGTCATAGCCATCGATCTGTCGGGTTTCGTAGGATTTTACATGCATTTACACTTGACCTCATGCATTGCTACGGGCCTGCAGAGTCGCTGGCGAGGTGTCTGTGCACGACCTGCAAGGCTTGACTGAGCATCGAGGCATTGTCGGGCTTGCTGGCCAGGCCAGAAAGCAAACCACAACCATCGCTCCACACACACACACACGCACACCTACCCACCCACCCACCCACCCAAGCACCCACCCACGATCACACGCAAGCAGGCACGCAGACACATAGACACACCCTTTTGATGATGCCGTCAGATGTGCCAGCTGACAAATGTTGACGGTATGGTGCACTTCAGCTTAACTTGCACTTATGCATCGACGTCTGCAGATGCTGCAGAGTGCTCACCATCAAGCTCCAGATGCTCCGAACAGGCAACAAGCTTCATCCACATTGCTGGGGCCCTGGACTTGCGGCAAGCGGTTTCAGAGACCAGGGTCAGCGTCCTGGCCAGGCCTCGGCGGAATTATTAGCATTTTGCTAGTATGCCGAGTGCCCAAGAGGTGTGTGCTTCCGGCTTCAAGTGTGAAGCATGCAAGAAACCAGAAGCATTTTGACGGTGGAACCGCAACCGACTCTGCAACTCGAATTCAGTTAGAAACCCATTGCAAAGCAGGATTGGCGAGGGCCTAGAACTGGTTTGGGAAAAATTTCAGCTGTATGCAAACACGACACCTTCTTCGATTCAAAGCATGGCTACCTAAAGGACCTAAACCACTTCTGAACTCTGAAGTTCTGAAGCCTCGACTCGCCAGTCTTTGTCATGGCTTGGGGCCCAGCACGTGGCCTCAAACCATCCGGTCGTCTCCGGGTTGATGCCTGCGGTTTCATTGGCGGGGGAAATGAGGGCTGGGGGGCGGTGTGTCTTCTGAGCGTTTCATGCTTCGGGATCTCTCGTCAGTGATAGCTGTTGCAGCTCACGGAGGCCAGGGTCTTAAAAACCGCTCCCTCAAAGAATCATGGACTGATCACTACCCTGACGTGATGACACCCACGAGTTTCCACCACGCTAGCGAAACGCAGCAACTCGAGGAACCTGCATTGACGGCCGATGCCGATTCTCATCCTAGGTCCCAGCCATATGCTAACCCTGAGCACATTTCAGGGCCCCGGCTGTAGCAGTTGACAAGACCCGTGCCGAGGTGGGGCGTCGAGGTCATGAGAGGGGCGATCTGAGCGGCGAGGACGAGAATACGTCGTAGCTTCTCACATGGGATGCTTTGCTGTAGCTGTTGGGTAATTCCATGCGGGACTATTCTCGGCCAAGCTTCTAAGTATGCAGCTCGTGTACCATTTCACGAAGATCTCCGGGCAGAATGGGGAGCGTGTCTTGGCCTAGCCTCCAACATCGACAACATCGAAACGGATCCTCCCTATCGCCAAACAACGTCCCACAGCACTGAATCTTCCCCCACTCGAAAAACCTGACAAAACAAGCAGGCAGCGACACTTGTAGGGCCCCAGCACCAGTGACTCCATAGATGGTCGTTTGGATCAAGAGACCGGCCTGAAAAGAGTCGCCAGCGTAACAGGGCCTTCACTAGGGATTTTTAGGTTTTCCGGGGCCTTCAAAAAGGATGGGTGCTCCAGGGACTCTGGGCCGCACGGCGTGCGTTGAGGGAATTGAAGCGCAATTGATACGACTCTGGGGATGTGTCTTTGGATCGATTTCTTGAAGCTTGTCGGGCATTTGGGTGCAGCTTGCCGAACGAGGACTTGCCACGGGGCCGTGCGAGAGTCTGTTTGCTTCACCATGAAACAACAAATCGAGAGTCTGTTGCTTCACCGTTGAAAAGGGCCAGAATCCTGAACAACTGCCACCAGCAACCCAGGATATCCCAAGGCTCCCGACTTCGCACGGCTCCGGTTGGCAGTTGTGGGAAAGCACCGTCAAAGTGCCATCATCGCCTGGGCTCGGCGAACATAAAGAGTCAAAGCTGTTAACTTAAAGAACCATGGGGACAAACATGGCGCTCAAGCTGTTGAGGCAGGGTGGCACCCAGGCCCCAACCCGGGGGGCTACATTCAACAATCAACCAAATTTTCAAAACAAGATACCAGTATTACATACGCGGTATAAGCCCTTACAAGTATTTTCCCAAGCATTCCAAGCAATAATCTCGACTTGTTGCAAGCACTCATGATTCATGGAGCCCCGCCTGCTATGTCAAAACATGCTTAGCAACTACAATGTGCCCTCTCAACCCTCTCAAAGCCTGTCGGTAGCCTTGTGCAACTTACCCTGGCATTGCCCCGGAGGTCGCAGCAGTTAAATTCTCAGCAGACTCCTCAACTTTCATCCCGCAGCCCTAGGGCGTTAGAGTTCCGAACGCACCCTGAACTCAGCTCAGGCAAGGGCATGCCATTTCCACCTCTCCTCCAAAGCCGAAAAGGACGTTTCCGCAGGCCTCCACGGAAAGGATTCTGCGCTTTGTCCAAATTCGCTGTCTCTGTTCTCAGGATTACCCTTGTTGTCTGTTGTTTATAGTTGTATGGGTGTGAAGTGGAGCTGTCATGGAAGAGTGTATGCACTTGCGAGCCACTCTGGGGACTTAGGGTCTTCAGGTCCCGGCCCGAGGCATTTGAAGCAGGCTCTAAACTTTGGATGGAGACCGGCTGGTCTCTCAGCCTTTTATCGAGGACCCTTAAGCTCCTACTGCAAGTAACCCTACACCCCAAGAGCCCACAAGTTTAGTATTGGGGTTTAGGGCTTCGGGTTACGGTCTCTCGGAATTTGGGGGGGGGGGGGGCATAGCTTGAGGCTCCATCATTCAAGTGGACTACCTAGATGCCCAATCCGATGTCAACAAAGGTCGGAGTCGAGACTTGCAAGTTCGCACGGTCCTTCACACCAGACTGCAGCGCGACACGCGCTCTCGGATTCTACATTTGACAATAGCAGGTCCTTCTGCAGAAGCATGAACCTTCGCTTTCACCATGGGAGAGAACATGCAGAATGTTGATTATTTTCGGCTTTGACTTTGGTGATTATGGTACATGAGCTTGGCTGCACGACCTAGCAAGGGTTGAACATGTATCTACTTACGACAGGTCCAACGGCGAGCCACAACCAAACGCCCAAGGTACTTGTGAACATGATTACCTGAGTGGCCTAATGAGGTGCTGCAACTTTGAAGCACATGTGTCTCAAAGAGTTGACAACCTTGTAGATTGAAATCTAAAGCGCATAGTCTCATGATTTCCACTGTGCCTGCACGCCGGTGCCCAAATGTGGAATGCGCCGGATGGGCCTCGAAATTCACACCATTGGACTGCCTCTTACTCGTCTGTCCAGAGGCCATCAGACTCTTGCAGCATCCCGACATGCACGCAAAAGGTAATCAGTAAATTCGCACCAATGTGCAATATGAGTCTGCATAGACGAACGACCGGCAAAACATGGGCAAGGCTTTGCAAGCTGCAGGAAGCTCAGATGGGTCTCGGACCAGACGACGTACACCTCACCCTCCACCGTCACCTGGGTGTCACAAGATGTGCGCATCAACAGCAGGTCGGAACCCAAAACCCCAAAATGTTAGAACGTGTTTTCCAAGCAATTAATGCACATCCATGCTTCACGGGGGAAAGCCCGCAAGCCGTACAGTCTTCTATAAAGCTGAGAGAGCCCAAGCTCTGCTGCTCGAATTTCACGTCTCCTGGAACATCGCCCCTGAAGCCTAACTGACCCCGTCTGGAACGAACCGACGAGGACTTCTGCCATGGCGCAGTGGTGTTGGACCCGTACGGCGAACCTCGATGGCATCAGACAATATGCTGAGGGACGGATAGGGATCGACATGAGTGGAAAGACTTTGAACTGCAAATGGCAAGCTTCGAGTCGGAGCTTTATTGGAAAGCTATAGGGGCTACTGCGCGCCAGAGTTAAGGCAACCTCTGGTCACGTCTGACGCCCGCCATGTTTATGCGCAGCAGGCAAAGCTTGGGCAGCTTGAAGGGTCTTGGCGCTGGGGCAGATGCAGATTGAACTGCCAAGGAGCTCGACCCTTGCCTACATGCTACAAAACCCAACCGACCTGAATCTGCAACTGCGGGCAAAGATAGCCTGGCTAGCCAGGACCCCACATACCCCACATACCTCCAGAAAACCTGTCAAATTGTCGGAAGCTGCCGCGAGGTGAGATCCGGGCATGTCCGGCGGCAGGCGGAGGAGTCGCCAGCCTGCGCTGCACTTAGAAGCCGTGGCCTCTGTGCCCTCTGTGCCCTCTGTGCCCTCTGTGCCCTCTGTAGGTTTGTGCTTCTGTGGGCTCACTATGGAAGATGCAGGCGGCAGGCGCAGGCCTCCAGCACGCCGAGGTTGCAGGTCATCCTCACATTCCGCCGCAAGGAATGCAGAGCTTCCAGCCCAGAGTCAAATAGAATCAAGCCTTGAGCCGCCTGAGGGCCCAAGGAACAAACATGCTTGAGGATGCTTGAGGCGTCTGCGCCTAGCAAACTGAGCATCGGGCGTGAAATCTCCACTGTACTCGATGTTGACGTTTCCACACTCGCCAATACCTCGGGGGCTGAAGGGTGAATGGACATGGCCTTCTGGGTCAAGACGCTGGTGAGAAACTCGTAGGATCATGTAGCATCAGTCAAAACACACCGTCCACATCAGAACGAACCTCAGAACACGCCACACACCAAACGATCTCCAACATTCGAGAATTGCAGGCCTAGCCCTGAAAACACGACATCTCCCAACTCTCATATTCTGACCAGCCCTGTGACATGAGCCCTTAACACCTCCAAAGATCCTCAAGACACCGCAAGCACTGGCGAAGGCAAACTCACCACGCATTCACATCGGCGGCCCGCGCAAATCAAGCCCGAAACGTTCGCAACACCCACAAAATGCCGACATCTGACCCCGCCGAACCTTTAAACAAAAACATCAACGCCAGCAAATTCCCAAGACCTCTCAGACTCTTAGACGATATCAACAACCTGGCGGTCTTGTCTACCTGGCGGCGATCGTGGATCCGGGGCCAAAACCCGACTCGCCACTCAAGATTTGCTCGCGGGGTTGGAGCAAGCCAGAGGCCTGCGACCAATTTCAGGTGTCTGGTGTTCGGCGTTGAAGGGCCCGAAACGAATCGGGCGTTCATAGCATGGAGGCTTGTCGGGGTGTTTGCTGTAAGCGTGTTGTGCAGCTGTAGTGGTCCGCCTCTTTGCCAGCATAGCCTAGAACGTGCCTACATTATGTTTTCCAGTGATGGGTTATACTACAATTGACATCTCTCTCTCTCTCTCTCTCTCTCTCTCTCTTGTTCTCGCGTTGATCGCCTACATGCCCTTTCATGTTGCTGTTCACGCAGTGTCAGCTACAGAAAAATCAAGAGTGACAAGTACCGAAAAGAAGGCTCGAATCCTTAAACCGGCTCTTCGACAAAGCGGCCCCGTGCAACGATGCCGCCACAAAGTCCCAAGGCTCGCAGGGCTTGACCTTTACATGGAGACGGGCAAGTGTTGTGTTGTAAGCCTTGTAAACTTCAAGTTCTCAGGTCAAGTGAGCCTTCTCCCAGGTCAGAGTGGGGCACCGAATTGGCTTTGATGGTAAGGTCATGATTATCACACAAACCATGCCGGAACAGAACTGTATGGTGGTTCTGCCAGATACAAGCATATGTCAACTTTACACGACCCTATGAAAGCCACATGATGCCTGCATGTGAAACCATTCAATGAATGGATCTGCTTGAATTGAAAACGATGATGCCCCTACTCAAGGAGTTCTCTCTTCTGAGCTGGAGGCAGCGCAGGTCTGCGATGCAAGCGAGGCTGTGCCGAAGGCGCAATCGATGGAGAGCGTGCCAGTATACCTTACAGGGTGGTTGTTCTCCTATGTGTACGTGGTTGTTGAGAACGTTGCTTGTCTTTGCCCGGCAGGCAAGGGGTATATCATGGTACATCCAAGTCGGGTTCGTCAAAGTAGGACTTTGAGGTCCAAGGTTTGGGGCTTTTTTTCATTCTCTCATTGCCTGGACCGCTCTCTAGATGAATCATTTCGGGCTTCATGGCTTCAGCGTGTTGGGCATCTCAGAATCTCTGAGCGAATGGAGGTCATGTTTTCTGCGAAGGCCTGTGGTCTAAACTTCCCTAAGCTCTCCGAGAATGCTGGGCTCGCTGGCTGTGGGTTGACCTCTTCGCAGAGTTGGTCGATGGATTCTGCGCGCCGGATGTGGGGTCAGTGGTGATAGGCTTCAACGGAAGCTAAGTGATTACGTTTTACACATCTATAGGGTCCAGGATCAAGGATTTTGAACTGCCAGAGGCCAGAGGGCCTTCAGGCGGCCTGGAGGGTCCAGAGTTGCCTAGAAGGCCTGTAGAATTTTGAAGTCGGATTCACGATGTTGCAGTTTTAGGGTTGGCCCACAGCCCTTCCCTTACATCCTCAAACCATGGGGGTCTAAGCCTGAAGCTTCCAATCCTGGTAGATCTGGAGTTTCATGGCATGTAACGGAATGCAACGTTTGATTGAAGATGATAAGATGCAATCAACACCGCCCTACTATTCCTGCATCGCAAGCGACGCGATGACAAGACCTTGTCGTCCTGCAGCTGCTGCCAAAACAGGGTCTGAGTGGACCCTAAAACACCGACTACTCTCTCTCTCACACACACTCACATGACCTATCACATCCCTACAACTTTCCTCCTCCCGTGACAGCCAGTGATGAAACGAGACACGCTCTCGCGCCTCCATGCAGAAGAGTGGCGCCGGTAGCAACAACCGAGGTCGCCCCACCCACATCGACCTTGCATTCTTTCAGAACTTAGAACCTTTCTTCTTTCTGGCCCCTGGTCTTTTTCTATCGGCTTTAGACGCTTCAATTAATACAATCCTCAACCCGCAAGCTAAAAAAGCTCGCTGGGAGCTTCAAGACGAAAGCACCGGTAGTTCTGGAGTGGGCTAAGTACTTCTCACTGTACTTCTGAACTTGGGATGGGCGGTTTCCACAGAACGGGCTCAGGTCAGGTCCAACTGGATGATCTTGCTTCTTAGCCTTTTGATGTGCAAATTTGTTCTGTTGAACCTCCGCAGCTGGGGCTTAGCACCTTTAGAGAGATAATTACATCTTCTCAAGCAGTCTCTTAAGGAGGGCCACGAGAAACACCCAACTTGAACACCTAAGCCGTGAACCCACCGAACGGGTTCTTAACTTCCTTTAGCGTTTGACCCTGAATCCTGAATCAGTGTCGGTGTCTGTGTCAAAGAACGCTCTATCCCAAACACGGCTGTAGGCTCTGAGCTTGGGCCCACACATTGACGGTGGCCGTGTCAGAGCAGCCCTTTGCTTCACAGAAGGAGGTGTCGGCACTCAAGACGCCCAGCTGGCAGAAGCTTCGAGGCAGGAGTCTTGAGAAAGGCTTCAAGCAAATGGCTGGGGTTGCAGCTGGGGGCTGCAGTGCATCGGGGCGAGTTCAATTTGGTTCTTGCGCTTTGCAATTCCCAGTGTAGGTTGATCACAATCATCTTTAATTGGGCATTGGGTGCACGAGGCTTGGGTTCAGGGATGAGAGGGCAAGAAGAGTGTCGAACCCAAGCGTCAAAATCAATATCCACTGCCCAGGAACTTGACACTCGATCCTCAAACCCGCCGGCAGCACGTTGCAGAACATGGTGTAGGTGCCCTGGTAGCCAGAGTTCAGCTCACTGCAAGCCCGGTTGTACCTGAGTCAGCTCTCAGTTTTGAGAAACCACCAACGGCCCGGGTCGAAGGAACTGGCCAGGACCTAGCTGCGCAGATGTCTAATCTTATGCAACCCAAACATGCCCCAGCTTGTATCCTCAAGTCCACAGCGGCATACCCCAAGTGCGCTTTGTGTGGGATCCCGCGTGATTACCCGGGCGAGCCTTGCGATGTTCGAACTAGTGAGTGACACCTGATCTGGGACCTCTTGGAATTCTCGGGTTTATTGCGGCCTCATGGAATCCCTTCCCCCCAGTATCCCCCCCCCCCCCCCCCCAACATGGAAATCCGGATCCAGTGCCAGAATTTCTGAAATTGAGGGGGGGGGGGGGGGTTGGGAAGCGGCAGTCTTTTCAGAATTATTGAATTTCAATGGAACTTGAGTTTGTGCGTTGGAACCAGGTCTTGGAAGCCGCTCAAACTCAAAACCGCCCTCGAAAATCTTCGTGATCTTGCAGGCCCCTCAGTCCCCGAAAGTGGGGGGGGGGGGGGGGTCCCGGGGGTCCTGCCAAGCATTTCTTACATTAGGGTTTTGGGGTTCAATCACTCATGTGAAGGGATGAGGCGATACCCGCACCACGCTGTGCAATCCTGTTGTTGTCTTGATCGAAACAAAAAGGGAATTACCACCAAATGCCGCTGTGTCGTGAATGCAGCAATGCCACTCTGCTGCTCCACTAGCGATTGTAGCTGCTGGGTTGACCTGAGCTGCCGTGACATCCGAATGAAACCAATCCAGAGCTCTCTATGATTCCTAGCACGGAACTTAGAATGAACCAGCCTCCGAATACCAATGGGCACTCGCTCTTTCTGACAAAAATGCTCTTCACCGGGGGCGGCGCAGTCTGCGTGGACCCATCCACAGTGATGTCCTTAGAATTCTGTAAGTTGAGAGCCTGACTGGACCAATTGGGCGTTTTGAGCTCATGGTGTGGCTGCAGAGGGGTCACGGCAAGGGCTGGAGTTTTGAGGGTTTCAAGAGGGGCTCAAACGCCTTCATTACGCTTAAGACTTGAGAGAAGACCTCCCCCCAGCATAATATCATAGCCCAGTGGCGAGGCTGTCAGAAGCCGAGCAGGCTTTGAGACACGAGGTCACATCTGAACCTGAGCTTGACGTATTGATCCATGTTGCTCCACGTTTTGGCATACTTGAATGACTGAAAAACCGCATGAGGGAATTACAGAGCAAGACCTTCACTAAAGTGAGCCCTATTCTTTCGAGACGCCGTGAATGCTTCATGCTTGTCTGCTGAAGAACAAAAGGAGGTCATTGTGACGTCCACTGTGGAGTTCAGCAGGAACTTCTAACAGCCAGCCCAGCCCTAGAAACCACCAGAATAACCACCAGAATTCTCAGGACAGTTCCCCTGTAACATCCCCTGCCGGTCCACCTCCCAATCTTCAATCTCTCGGCCCGAGGGCACAAGCAATGTAGAAGTAAGAACCCCTCGTTTCAATACTGCGGCAGGTGGTGAGGTGGGCAGAAGGCCGCAACAGCCCGTTAACCCACTAAACCCACCTAAGCTCGTCTGCCCCCAAAAGCCCTTTAGAAATTTTGAACGGAAGTGACCGATCGGAGATGGGAATCTCTTGGTGCCCCGGCTCAGGGTTCCCAGGTTGCAACTCAGCGTGAGGTCGGCTCCCCAGGCCTCGGTCGCTGGCTTTGGGCTTTTTGAGGGGTTAATCGGGTTGAGGGGGGAGTAGGGCTTAGGGTTCCTGGTTGTCCTCTTGGTTCAGCTTTGCCTTCGGGACTTTGGGAGGACAGCATCGGGTGTAGTTGCGCAGCTTCAAAAAGGACTCTCGGAGTCTAAGGGGGGCTTTCGTGCTCCAAGCTTCGAGTGGGTCGCGCTTAGGGCTCAGGTTGCTTTTCAAGGCGTCGGAGTTTAGAACTTGGACTTTCGAAGCAAGGCAGCCATTAGCTGCCCTGACAGGCAAAGGTCAGGTGTGACGTCAGGAGTGGATTGCGTACACACAATCTCAAAAGAGACCAAACCCTCCACCTCAAAACCTAGAAACCCCTGTCGATTCCCCCAGAGCTCGAGGCATCGTTGACATCAGAGCAGGAGCGGGTTGCTGTCAAGCCAGACCTGCGATAGCTGGGCGTCTGGAGTATCAGGCTCTGAGAGGACGACTATAGATAGACCATACGGGGGGGGGATGAAGGCGAACGTTCAAGGCCCGTCCCAGCTTTCAGAGCACGAAGCCAAGGCCCATCATCCAGTTCGCCCCTTGTGGAACACGTTGGGCTCAGCGCTTTGCATAGTTTAGAGTCCTAAACCGGACGCGAAACGCGGTGAAGGATCCTGTGCACCTTCCTGCAAAAATGAGGCTCCAGGCTGGATGGCTCTTGCCAGTGCCAGGGTGGCTGTGACCTCACCAGGAGACCCGAAAAAGTTCAGGAAGGGTTGAGGCTTTCATGGTTGGATTTTGCGTGGGTTTTGGGTCTGGGTTAGCACAATACTCTCCGATTTAACGCAAGATCTTGGCTAAGGGGCATGCACAGGAGTCAGAACCCAGAAAAATACGGGCAAACGCCCAGCCCTGAACCAAGATCTTGCGGCCAGGCTCTGGCCTACGTACCCGAGAAGGATTTTCATGAAAGAAACGAGTTGCAACGCGCAAAGCCCGCTGCGCACGAAATGCCCTGATTCCGACCCATCACTGGCCGTCGATGCCAGAGAACAATTCAACAGTCAGAATGCAAAGGGTGACACAGAGTGTCTGAAGAAAACACAGCTCCATTTCCCTAATTAAGCTCCTCGATCTCTAGGCCCTCGGTTGCAAAGAAACTGCATCGAATTGCATGTAATGGAAACACTTCAACTCTGAAACCCGCAATGCCGCACCTTTTGATAACATAGTCACCATGTTCCAACATCGAATCAGTCAGGAGCCCCGTTACCTCAAGGTTGGGATGCATGTACTGTATGGCCTGGGGTTTTGGGGTTTTTTGTTCGGGCCCAGGCATCCTTTAAGCTTTAAGTTTAAGGCTGTTTAAGGCTGGTTTGGAACCGTGAGGCTCAAATCACACCATTTCGAACCAAGTCCTCGTTGCGACACGCATGCGTGGCGAGTAGCTCCATCCAGTGTCACACTGACCACATCACCAACGTCGCATTGCTTCGGACCTGTTCCAGGTGCAGGATGCATGCTGGTATAGCGATTGTGGAGATGTAGGGCTTGTGGCCAGACACTTTGGCTTTTTGCAGCTTGTTCACACATCCAATGCTAGTTGAAACGCGATGTCTTGCCAAAAGTGTCCGGAACATTCGGTTCATGGTATGCTTACGTGCGGTGAATTTAGAGAACTGAACTCCGTCTAGACACGCTTTGTTAACAAGCTTTGTTCACGTCACATTCGGCAAACCTGCACGCAGAGACCCTCGCAACAATTTGGCCGAGGCGAAACAGATCTTTAGAGGAAAGGCGCACAGTTCACTTAACTTGTCCTTTCCATTCCATTCTCATACGTGGCCAAAGGTTGAATCATCAACCATTGCACAACATGTGTATGCAGAGGGCGAGAAGCCGGGAAGGCGAGAGAGTGGGAGAGATGGAGACAGGGAGGGACAGAGCGGGAGAGAGAGGGAGAGAAAAAGGGCAGACCTTGTTCACCAAAGCCTGCTGCACAAGATAATTACCGTAATCCCAAGCCGCAGGAACAAACAAGCGCAAGCCCAATCCCAGTTATTAGAGTTTAGACCAGATCGCTCTGGGTGACCCACCGCAGCCCGCCGGGTTGGCAGAGAGGACCCCGAAGAAACAGCTGATCCTAGGGACTTGAGTTTAGGCGCCTTGACACTTCCAAGTCTTTTGGGTCTAGGCTTTGAGGGGCCTGTCAGCGAAATCTGTGCGCTGTCTCGATGCCTAAAGACATGCTCCTGACGCTTGTTTCTTCAACATGCGACAATGCGCAGAGGCCCGAGCTGGATGGTGCCAGAGTAGCCGCTGTTGATGGGTTCGCAAGACCTCGCGCCAAGAACAACGGCAATTAAGACAAGGAACCCAAACGAGAAACGCAAAGCACAAGTGACGGCTCCACCTTGAGTCCACTTCATGCACATAAGGTAGAAGAGTGCGGGCGGGTTCAAGAACATCCCTTCTTAACAACAAAAACGCCTACTGAGGCCTACTGAAAACAGTCAGCAAACAGCCGGAGAGACCGCCTACACCTGGCCCTGAGCAATTCCGTCCGAGAACTGTAAACAGCCTGAAACACCAACTCACAATTTAAACCCAAAGCCGTAAACGTCTTAAACAAGACCCCAAAGAGCAAACGCCTTGACTTCCCTAAGCCCTACACTCCTGAAACCTACACCCCGCCAAGGTTCGGGCACCGAGGAAGTCTCCCCAGAACCCATGGCGGCACTGGGACCTGGGTGCGTTCCGGGGGCGCGCGAGGTGTCTGAAATGGATTTTGAGAGTTCAATGCAGTACAGAAATTGTAGTTAGCCCTGACGCTCGTTGCGCGGTACACCAGACCTACGAGCTTTCAACACTGAATCCCAGTGTTTTCGGCAGAAGAACCACTACAATTTCCAACATTAAACTGAGGTCGACACTCCACGATGTTGAAGAGCCAGCCACGGTCACGGCCACACCTTCATTGTGAGAAACGGGCTGCAAGGTTCAGTGGATTCGGATGACTACGACTTGTTTGGGTTCAGCGTCTAGATCGGTTTGCCCCGATGCGTCGCCAAAGAACAGCTTGAATTGCGGGTCCTATACTTGAGGCTTCGGCATTCGCACATCTTTAACCCCCGAATCCGAGAGCCCCAAAAGAGCCCCTAAGACTGCTTACGGCGAGGAGGCCCCAACCCCGAAACCTGAAACTTGCGGATAACCAAAACCTTGTGCCCCTCTCCAAGCTTGAGGCAGCCCGAACTCCAATTGCAAATATATGGCTTCAGTTCTATAATGTTCTAGGTCAGGTGGGGATTCCAAAGCCTATTTTGGGACCCCGAAGGACAAAAGGCTTGTCTGTCTCAGAACCCTTACACACACTCGCTGGGCTTCCCTGGCTCTGGCTGGCATTGCAGCCCGGGCTGCAGGTCCTCCGAGACAGTGCCCAGGTGGCTTCGGGTGGTGAGTAAGGGAAGCCCTGCGAAGCCTTGGGCGAACATGCAAAGCTGCCCAATACGAGGTCACGATGGCTAACAGGGAAATGCAATGAAGTCATGTCAACCCCCTTTGAACAAACCGTGTGTCCTGAGAATAGATATCAATATAAACAAGAGAATACAAGTACATATACAAAACTATACTATTATATATATATATATATACATATGTATGGCAATGATCTTTGCGACTCCTTTGGAAAGATGCTTTTTTGGACATTCGCAAGACCATATCTTGACCACGGCTTCTAGGCAATCACTGGCTATTCATAGCAGAGGCTCACGTCATTCAGACTTGGTGTTCTGGGAGCTCCTGGAATGTCGAGCACCTACTAGTGAGGTTTGTAGGATGCAGGCATACCCTCAACATCAAGAATGGGCTCAGCACGCGGCGATGCGTCATACGTGAGGACACCCATGCTGCAGTACCTGTCGTGGAATTGGGACCAGCACGACTTGATCACTGAACTGCTCAGATTCGCGAAACCGACTGCGCGTACTGCTCGGACCTGCTCAATGAAATGCACTGCTTGTGCATGGACATTGCTTAAGTTAGATTTCTGGGATTTATGGGAGTTATGATAGAGTTGTGGAAAAAAGGTCTGAATACCAAGCCTGCGGGATGACATGTGATGTATATTCTGTTGAGCTGCAGGGGGCTTCTGGACTTTCTGCGGCCTCCAATTTCCTGGAAAAGTCGGGCTCGTGAAGTATTTTGCAGGATTTCTAATGAGTATCTGTAATGGTTGACTGGTTGAAGTTGTTTAGGTCCCAACAGAAAGTAAAAACCATGTGAAACCCTAAGCCCTATACCCGAACTCGCCAACCTGGACCACCCGGCTCACAGCTCGTAGCTGCCAGTGAAACCCGCGCTGACATCGGTGCAGGCCTAGCACTGCTGCTCAGTGGGGGTCCATTATAGAGGTCATTCGAGGTCATTAGGGGCCCTGGAGGCCCCAAACATCTAAGAGAGGCTTCCAGGGTTTAGCGGCCTTAGGGTCCAAAGAGGGTCCGAAGAGGATCTTCGAGGCTTCTACAACCAAACGATGCCCAAAGCTTGGGCGGGGATGTGGGTTCTCTATGGGGTTCCGAAAACTTTGTGAGGTTGTCCTTACAAATTTGGGCTTCAACGGAAGAACATCTTGAGGGCAGCTACGATTCTGGAGCACACGCAAAACTAGCACAAAAACCTGAAAGAGTGTGACAGAAAGTGCCCATACAATAAACCATCCCAACAAACAATCCCAAATAAAAATTGTAGCCGTGTAACCCAACGCATCCTTCGCAGACCACTTGCAAGGAAGTACGAAAGAGGAGGTTTTCAGTCCCGGCAAAGAGAAAGAACACCAAGCCCGAGAATAGCAAAGCTCCCGGACAATTCCTACGGCCTGAAACGCCCATGTGTGCACACAAAAAGAAGAAAGGAAAGCCGGTCCTGTGTCGAGACCACGCCAGAGGCCATGTTTGCCTGGGGGGAGATGGAGGTCGTGGCGGAGCCCACCTGGGTGCTTCAAGTAGCGCGATGATTTTTGCTGATTTTACGTTGTTGTTGAGGGGAGGGGGGTGAGTTGGGGTTGGGTCGTTGGGGCGCGCATTCAGGATTTGCAAGGTTTTGGCTCTACGACACGGCACCCGAGACCGGCTTTCGCGTGGGCTTGCTGTAAAGCTGTAATAGCTAAGCTACGGTAGGCTGATTCCCTTGCTAGCTTGAAGCACCTGCCAACAGTGAAAAAATGGAGCTCCCAAGGCAGATCCAGACTCGAAACTGGACTCAATGTCCGCCAGTTTCTGCCTTCACTTACTTTTGCTCGTGGATCCATGGTGTTTCCGCGGCGTGCTGAATTGCACACACACACACACACACCCGGACCTGAGCCCTCTACCAGCCCATCCTCAACCCCTGAAGTCCGTAAAGGTCTGATCCTTTACATGCCTGCCCTCCTTTTTCATATCTGCAAGGGCGGCGAAGAGCAAGATTGCGAGCTGAGAGCTGGAGCACTGTAGCTGCTAAGCTTGAAGATTTTAAGCTTGCATGGTTCGGGTGTACTCGGGTGAATAGAAGACCAGGTACCAAGGTACCAAGCAGCCTCTTGTGGTGGCCTCCCATCTAGCGCACAATTTTGCTAGTCTGGCAGGAATCATATCCGGCCGACACCCCGCCGATTCTCACAACCTGTACCGTCTTCGTTGTCGTGCGATAGGATCTCTGCTGCGTCGACTTCCTTCTCAAAGGTGCAGAGATACGAAGTTAGTCTAAGTGATCTAAGTTATCTAGTATGAAGTTCAGACTACAAACTTAAAGCAAAATTGAAAAAATGCCGAGACGAACGCCTATTGAATAAGCAAGGCACTTTTGTTTACCAAAGGGCCACCAGGAAGACAGATCCGGGAACTGAACCAGTGTCCTTGCTGTGAGCTGGCAGGTCTCCTGGACGGTTCTGGAGGTGTTTCGGAGGCTAGGGCGGCTAGGGGGCCAAACAAAGCATCCCCGAAACCCCAAGCGCCCGAAGCGCGATTCGTCTGAAAGTAGCTCCGAGCCAAAATGCCTAAACTAAACTTTTGGATTAGTACCCTGGAGTGCTCACTTCAGGAAAGCCCGGTACCAAAGGACATGCTATCATGTGGCCTGCCACCACAGACCTCCAGCCTCAACAACCCCGCGACACGTCGCCAATCTCCACCCCCCCCAAGGGCGACTCTCCCAACCGGTCCTGGCAGAAGTAAGTGCCGTCTTTTCTCACGGATTGAGGTCTGCCCATTTTGACCTCGAAGTTGGCTCCGGGCACTGAAGACATGGCTTCGACATGCTTTGGCATCCCATGCGGGGGCCCTCTGTCGGAGCTTTCTCTCGACTGGCTTTTCGCCCCTTCTCTCGGTGGGTGTGTGCAGGGAGGGGGACGGGGGGAGGGGGGGGGGGGATTTGTTAGATTGAAACTCAGCTTACGCCGTCACATGGATGGGCTGAGGTGTTTGGCACTAATGTGGCACTGCTTTTGGTATATGCAAGGCCTATAATCACAAGTTTCGAAAATTTACTCTGCGACGCCAGTTTGTTGGGGTGACCCGCTATTGCATAAGTTGTTTTGATGTTTTTCCGGATGGTCTTTTTTTGGTTTTGTTTCAGGGTTTGTGTTTAAGGTTCAGGGCTTATGCAGTAAGGCTTGAGGCCCTGAGGGCCTTGGGCTCCAGGCATCTTAAAGAGCAGAATCCAGAAAGCTAAGCCCGGCCAGTTCCATGTAAAGCCTTGTTGAGTTTCATTCTGAAACGAGGCCCCCAACAAATTTTGTGATAGGTAGTCCACGGGCCAGCCCGATTCGCTTTATATAGTAGGTTTGTTTGGGTACTCGCTATAATCACAAGTTCATTCCAGGCCTTAATACCCTAAAAACTTAAGGTTTTAAGGGCGGTGGCTTCAGCCCAGGAAAGCGGGAAACCTTCAGGCCTGAAGCCTGAACAGCTTCTGGGTAAAAGGGCCGTGGCTTCAGCCGTGGAAGGTTAGCTGAAAAGCTTTAGGCCTGAAGGTCCTGAAGGCTTGAGGCCCTGAAGGCAGTTCCCCTCGCCCCCCCAAATTTGTTTGGGGGGGTCGCCGCGCCATGCGTTTACAATGACAAAGGGTCTACTTTTTTGCTTTTTTTTTGGGGGGGGGGGGGGGGGGGCCCTTATGTTTTGGCACCCAAGCAACTTCTGCAATCCGCAGACAAGATACGTTACGAAGCCTGTTTAGCGGTCTCTTGGCTCAACGCTACTGAGAGACCTTGGCTTGCAGTGCAGGGACACAACAGGGAGCCAAACAATAACAGCGTTCTATAGATGGGCTTCATACAGTTTGTCATGTCACTTGCCCAAAGGAAGAGCATAAACTACCAAAGCAAACAATCCCCAGCATACCAACTGACCCCTTACTATTGATCGTCTTCTGCATGTGCGACAACCCGCCACTTTCATCGCATACCGCTGCACTGACAACCTCCAGCCTTGCTGCGCCTTGTGTTCGTCTTGAATGTCTTGATTCATGCTCCTACCGTTGTCTGGACTGAAACTCAAGACCCAAGCGCTTCAAGCGGGGATTCAAGTCCTGAACCCGAAGATCAGCACGTGCTCGACCAGCCCTGAGCTTACTTTAGAACACTTTACAACACTTGAGGTTAAAGGCTGGGGTTGTGGCCTCGCAGTGGGAGAACTTGCCCTCGTACAGTGCGTCACTCTGTCCGCTGCACCTCACTTTACCGTAAGCTTACAGTTCTTTGTAATGCAGGCTTTGGGATTCAGTGGCTGTGATCTCCCTAGAACCAGCGTACTACTGTGGAATCTCCTAGACACCAAAACAAGTATTCTGAAGCAAAGCCATGGCACTTGGAGGTGCAGCATTGCCCGAAACTCCCCAGCAACGGAACTTCAGTGCATCCGCCAGTGTTGTTTTGGAAAAGGCTCCCCGCCTCCGTACTCAGACAAGGAAAGATCCCCTAACCTGTACTCGGGGACAGCACGTTGCCAGCTGAGCCCTCATGCAACCCTTACTTGCTAGTGTAAAACCTCCGTTATCTTGATGCAAGTCTCCTATGATCATGAACAGGACAAGTCGGACAAGTTCTGTGGACTGTACAACATGTGGTTTGGTCGGGGTCGTGCTCCCAAGTCCACCTCTTCCTCCTGCTGCCGGGTGCGCACGGCATCCACAGTGGCCGAGAGCACCAGGAGATTAAGAAAGGTCCAAGGCAGCATTGCGAAGCTCAACGAATGGCGCCAGAGAACACGCTATTTGGCCAACAACTTGATACTGGAGATTGAAGCAAAAGCGGCTTCGGCAATGTATCGTGGATGGAATGGTCAACTTGACTCAGGATCTAGGTAGCCTGACCCCTTCGCTGAGTAGATGAACTTACGTCTATTGCAATAGCAAGCCGGCCCTATCAAGTCTCAAAATTAGCGGGCTTGGCTTTAGAGTTTGATACGGTTTGAGATTCTGGGAGACTTAAGCTTTGAGAAAGTGCGCTCTTCGGCCCCCGGCCGTAACGTCCACAGGGTCACTGCAGCCTTTGGGCCTCGTCTTGTGGCATAATGCATGGATTGTAATCTGGGCTCGAGACATCATAGTGTGCGTTCTCGTCCGAAGTGTCGGGGAGGGGGGGGGGACAAAGGCTCATGGATCGACCAACATCAAGAACCTCTGAAGAAGGATCCTCTAGGTGGCAAATGCGGCGCCGTTGCTTCAGGGGCTTGTGCCTCATGCGAGCTTAAAGTTCTCAAGGTCTCAAGGGCGACTGCTGCCATCAAGAAGCCGAGAGCAAACCAACCCGCAAACTCCAAGCATTTCCGAAGCCACCCGGTAAAGGAGCCACATCACAATCTGGTAGCCTTCTTATGTATAAGAACTTGCAAATCAGGCGGCAGCTATCTACCCTGCAGCAGAACCCTGATGCCCTGATGCACTACCCTGAACTATCCCTGAACTTCAGAAGATTTCAGAAGCATTCTGAACCCTGAAGTGCCTGAAGCCAATACAGGCTGTGAGCCCAGGTCCGCGGCACACAACTGCCAGAGTTCGCCTTCAGCACGCCCGAGTTGCACCTGAAGCTGCACGAGGAAATCGGTGAACTTGAGCTCAGTTGAGCTGTTTTTGTCTCAAAGAGGGTGGGGAGATCCCCAACAAAACCTTCAAGGTGGTCAGGAACCCTGGAATACCATGACTCGAAAGGGCTTTAAGGGGGTAGCTTTGGGAGGCTTGGAGTCTGGGCGTTGACGCCTGCAGGGCTTGCAGGGTTTAAGATTTAGAGGGAGGTTTAGGGTGGAGCGCCCCATTAAACTCGCCGACGCAACCAACGAAACGCCAAGTCATGATGGCGGGTGCCTCCAGGAATGCAACTGCGTGCGAGCCCCATGGTTTCTAGGATTCTGGCCCTACGCTTATTCTTCGCATGGACCTAATTTCATGACTCCTGACCGAACTCGTTCTTCAAAACCAATTCCAGGCCCCCTGGCGAAAGGAGGATCGAGCCCTCGAAGCCCGAGTCGACATTGGCACAAAGCCTTGGGCCGCGCGCGTGCGTCTCAAGACTGCCTATGTGCTCTTTCTTTTTGTGGAGCGGAAGGGTTCAGCTTGCTAACATGACTATTAAGCTATTATACTATTGAAACACTATACTTGGGTTGCATTGCCGTTCTCTGCATACCACCTGGTATGCACAATCTGCACAGCGTCCGGTCCCTAACTCAAAACTCCAGAAACATCTATCTTCTAAACCTTCCCCATTGACGCCCCATCTTGGGGCACGTGCGACGTCTCCGTGTTTCCTGTCGCCAGCTCCGCCTTAGACTCAGTCCGAGTCATCAACCCTGACCCCTAATTATACCTATCACTTTAACACCACCCTGAAGCTACAAGGACAAATCTGACAGCTAAGAAACAGTGGAGTTCGCTAGAGAATGCAGCGAAAGGCCTCGCGTTGAAGCCCGAAAGCTATGAAAGGCGCGACGGTGACGTTCTCTTCAGAACGATTTCATGCATTTTTCATGTTTCGGGAAATATTCCAATCAACATCATCACATTATTGGTTTATTTCATGCAGTGAAACACTTTTCATCAATTAATCAAAAAACAACACATGAATGTGTGTTTAGTAACGAAATAACAATAAATACAGTCGAATTGCTATGAGTAATCGCAGGCTCGTCGAAGGTGCCTAGAATCTGACTATGATCATTGGGCTTTACAAGAAAGGCAGGGCCCCGCGGGCTCAGGCCGCACTTCCGTTGTGGCATGTTTGGTGGATGTCTGCGTTACGAGGCTCAGATGATAAAAGAAGGTCTGAGGATTAAGGCTTCGGGTGGTCTCTGTAAGTCACGAAGCACGTACAGTAGGGCTCAGAGCTGGTTCCCAGGCCGTCCCTCTGCTCAATATACCAGGCACTCCCTGAAAAGCTCCTGCTGTTTGAAGGGCCAAACACCTGCACCCAAAAACCATGGTCAGAGCCTCGGCCTAGGGCCCTTCACTCTCAGATCTTCCGTGGGCTTCATGGGCTTGTCGAGAGCTCAGATGGTCTCAGGAGGGCACAGAGGGGTACACGATGCCCTGGCTGAAGCCGACCGTGACCTGGGTGCACAAAGTTGGGGGGTTCAATTACGAGTCTTCTGGAATGCCGGCAACCGTGATGTGCAAAAAACCATACCTTCCTAAACCCCGTGCTCGAAAACCTCGATGCCTCGAAAGCTCAGAGCCCCAGCTCCCAACAGCAAGAGCTCGCCCTCAACAGCCCCTCAACAGCCCAAGCCCTACTTGCTTAAGTGAACCTTCAGGCATCAGGCGGCTTCAGCGGCCCTCAACATCCCAAACGAAATTCGCAGCCCAGACGCCAGGATGCCAAAGTTGGTGGGGCACGAAGCCTGGGACCCCGGGTGTCCCCCATGTGGTTGGGACTTGCTAGTGATGAGTGAAGACCCCCAACGAAAAACATTACATGGACATCATTGCATATGACATGGGCTATTGTTTTTTTGTCCTGGAGGAGGTTTGGGGCATCGGTTCTGGGATTCACGTTGTGCAGGACTTGAGGCTCAGCGCCGGGAGTTGCGCGTGGCTTCCCGCACCCCCCACCCCACCCCCATGCGTTGAAAATCGTCGATGGGCTTGAAGGACTGAATGTGAGTTCATCTTTGAGCAGCTCTCCTCCCACAGGCCTACGCATCCCCCAAGTGAATCGTGAACCCTGAAGACAAAAAAACACTTTAGTCCTGCACATCCCTGCCGCTTCATGGTGCCATCCCTGCCTCAGCGGACACCTCCGCTGCGGCGGTTGACTCTGCCACAGCGGTGATGTCGATGACCTGCTGTGCAGCTTTTCGGGGGGATACTCTCATGTTTATCATTCTTCGGACTTTCAGAGGTGTGTGGCCGCGACAAAAGTGCAGTCTGACCATGCCCTACCGAAAAATCGAGAAAAACGGGTAACTTCCAAGAGCGCCAGTTGTTCAACCTCGGAACCCTGAAGCTTGTCACTCAAAAAGAGAAGCAAAGCTCCAAGTTCGCTCTTTAGCTCTGCTTCTCACCATTAGAGCCGCAAAGCCTGGGGCTGCTCCCAGATATACGATGTGTAGCATCCGCTTAGGCCCGATGACGTGCTGTGACCTTGAAAGCGTTCTCCCACACCCTCTGCAAGCGAATGGAAAGGAAGCAGCTCATTTCGCAGGAGGAACAAACTTGAACAAGAACTATATAGGACCATCTATCGGACCCCACTCTGCCTGAGCTTCCGTCGTCTCCTCCAGGCTCGGAACCTGTTCGTTGTTGGCCTTGCGCTGGCAATGATGGGGCCATGACATCCTCCTGGTTACACGATTCGGTGCTGAAGCTAAACCTACGGTTATGGTCAGGACTGTTTCTCGGCTGGTTGGCTGTGCAACATTTCAATTGCTGAGGTTCGTGATACTACCTTGAAGTTGGTTTGGGGGCGTAGCGACAGCTCGATCATGAGTGCCAATGGAAAGGGCAGCACGTTCATAGTGAGACAAGCAAATGTCCAGGTGCCTGGGTTGCCAAGTCGGTCGCATGCCTCAGTCTGCCTTTCTGGTGCCTTGCCGACCGCAAAAGAAAAGCTGCCCTGAGCTGCAGCGAACTGCAGTTAGCTGAAAAGTTCCAAAAAAAAACTCCCAGACCCCCCAACGTTCCAGACTTGTGGGCCTCGTCCGGCTCTGCGGGGGTCTGCACTTCCGTGATGGACACCTGTGACCGCTTCACGCCATTTTCTTTGGTGCGCTGATGCTGGCAGGCCCTCGTTTCTACTGTCGCAGCATCTAATGTTGGACCCTCTTTAGTGTGTTCCCCCCCCCCCCCCCCCGAACAGTTGAGGCGTGGATGGGAGCCTGATTACACGGCCCCGGGGGCTTATATGATTTCAATAGGGAGGAGTTTAGATAGGTTTAAAAGGGGCAGCGATGCCCGGTTATCTTTTTTAAAGGCGCGCCACGTGGAATTTTCTTACGGCGCCCGGACGGTTTGACTTTAAAGGAGACCCCGCAAACAGTCAGGGGGTCCTGAATAATTTGGCCAAATTGACTTTAAAGGGGAGGCCCCTACTAAAGAGGGTCTAACATTACTCTGCAAAATCAGAACATCCCTATAGACGTAGCAGAATCATGCTGCCAGCCCTGCGGCCCTCTGAGCCAGGTGCAAGTTTATATGGGGCATATAAGGCTCAACCCCAAAATGCTCCCACAAGCACGCTCCAAACCTCCAAAACCCATGCAACTAACCCCAATTAACCCACAATTGGTCACGTGAGCCCTGCACGCTTCCTCTGCCCGGTCTGCGCAGTTCGATGCCAAGCCATTGCAGCCCCACTCCACAGACCCCGTGCCCACAATTTACAAGACACTTGCAGGCGAAACCCAAGTCGTCATCTCAAGTCCGTCTGAAGCGAATCCGCCCGGAGAACTCCCATGCACCACTGACGTGCCACACTGCTCGACAAACATCAAAAAGCAAACGACTGCCCTTGCTGCTTGTGACGAAGCCTCACCGCCGGCCGCCGATGCCAGGTCCGTCCCACCGAGGGCCTGTAGGTTGGTGGAGACCTGGCTCGTTTTGGGTTGGATCGATTTGAAACTTAGAGAAAAACCCACGCAGTATGTGAACACTGCTCGGCTGTTCATGCAGTTCGTGGGGGGGACGGTGTAGACATGACTAGTACGGCTTAAGGCTTGGATGGCTTCGGGCTGGGGGCTTCGAGGGGCTTCGTGCGTGGAGTTCAGGACTTGCTATTGAAGTCGACTGTCAAGCGCAGCGCAGCTTTGTTGCCTCAAGTTGTGGGGGCTCAAGGTGCGCTGGGTCCAGGAAACAAGCGGGATGTCGCTGTAGGGCTTGCACATGTGCTTCTTGGGCTCTGGGTCTTTTCTGTCGCAACTCTGAAGCCCTCAGCCACACAACCCTGAATCCGTGGTCATTTTGCGATTTCCAATTGCGTCTGCTGAACTACTCCAGCTAAATTATGGGCTTGATGGCGAAGATGTGTAAACATCCCACTCACCCAACTGGCCTGGCCCGAACCGTGGGAATACAAAGATTGCCCTCCAAATGCCAGGCAACTACCTGACTCCACTTATTTCCTAAACCCTCCCGCCCGGACCCCCCCCCCAAAGCTCCTAAAGAGACACGAATGACTCAAGAACCCCAAGCAGCGCAGCAAGGCAACTTCCAAACAGATGCCACCCTCCCCAAACTCCATAGAACCCCAAGATCGACAACCTCACAGCTCACAGCCCAAACGGATCAGAATTTCAGCTAAAAGACATCGTAAGTAGCATGCACCATCAACTCTCCCAAGAAGCAGACAAGTGTACTCGCACTACCTCGGGAAAACCAAAATCGTCAGGCCTGGTTCAGCTCGGACGCCTGGGCGTTGAGCGCATCCGATCCTGTCAACAGGGCTTAAGCTCAATCCACAACCAGTGAAGCTGCAACGAACCCATGCAACCAAAATCGCCATTGGCCTCCGAAGCGTGAACCCCCAAGTTAGCACAAAAACCCCCTAGAGTCCTGAAGCCCGTGCAGGTCGTTCTGAGCATGCCCACCCCTTCCCCTTTCCCCCTACTGAATTGAGTTCTCCCTCCCATTCACAGGCTTATACCTCTCTCGCTCTCACACCTTGAGACCCTAACTCGCATATCTTGGTCTTGCATTGGAATCCCCCTTTCACTCAGGGCCCCAACCGCCTGTCTAACCTTCCGAAATCTCCCTGTCAAACCTTGAGATGCAAACTCCCCCCTTTCAGACGGGCTCATTTGTTCCTTGTTCACCAGTCTCACCATCATACTTTTACCACCTTGAGACCCTGACTCTCATATCAACTCATATCTCTCTCCTCTAGTACACCTATCATCCAAGCACTGGGTCTTTTGTCCACCAGTTTTACCTTGAGACCCAACCTCTGTTTCCAAGCCACTAAAAAGAACCCACCCTCGTGACCCCAACATCACACCTGTCACCCAAGAAGCGGACTCACTCACACCGGACAAGGAGGGCACCCATAAGATGTACCCTCCAAGATGAAGCAACAAACAACTGCAGCACATTGAAAATGTTAGAATCGTATCAAGCAACATTCACGCTTAGAAACTACAAAAGACATAATACAAAAAAAAACAAAACAAATGAAACAAAGTTGCTACTGGGTAGCTGGGGCGGGCCGGGCCTGTGCTCGCGGAGTCTCCTCCAGAAGCCGCCGCAGCCTTTCTTGTTGGATGTTGTTGGGGGGGCTTTGGTAGCTGAGGCCTTCTAAACAAGCAGTGAAGTTCATGCATAAATTACGCAGCATAATGCATAGATTCCTACATGTGCCTCCCGGAAGCCCAACATGGTGGACTTTTCGGGCTACAAGGGGCAGAATTCGGATATTTCGGCGTTGAGGATTCGACCTTTGGAATTCCCCTTATAAGTTCCTTGCATGCAAGCCGGCCCGTCTTGCGCTCCCCTCGTCTGCAGGATTAATGCGATATATCATATATATATATATGACAATGAATGTATGTGTTTGTAAATATATCTGTAGAACTGTTTGATCAGGGCAAACCCCAAGCACCACATCAAAACCTTCAGCCGCTTCCCTTCAAACACAAATGCGTCCCGTGGAAAAACGCCACCGCACCTTACGCTTCCAGAACCATACATTCCTGCCAAAACTGTATATATATATATATATATACTTCATGTCATGAACCCCAACAGCCAAAGATCTGCAAACCTGTGACGGCTCAATCACGTTCCAGAACCCTGAGCGTGACATCGCGACGAAACCAGCGGCTTGCTCTAACATGCCAGATCACATTGTCACGATGTTAGGCCCCGTGCGGCATCTGGCGAAGGCTCGATAGACACGTCCAGTGCAGTCGACGACACCACAGCGAGGCGACGTCCTTTCCGGCTTGTGCCATAAGACCAGGCCACAAATCTTCCTTTCCGGCTGTCATGCACACTATTTTTTGTGAGTAGTAGTGCTAGCACTTGGAGAAGAGCTCTAACAAGGATTGGACCTCAAGGGAAGCATACGGCGGGTCATAGTTTACAGTTCAGCCGGCTTCTTTCCACAGGGTTTGGCGTGGGTTTATAGTATTCTACATGCACCTTCTTTGTATCCTGCCTGTTTGCACAGCCCCGGACCCCAATTGCAGAAGCCTCGTCCCAGCTTGCATTCGAAAACCGGACGTAGCAAACTTCAGCCGAAACACAAGCCTCCTCAACCCGACGCCGCCCTCACCCTCTCTGAAACTGTGTTGATGAAGAAGCTACAGCGGATCCTGGCGTCTGGCAGCCGGTAGTGGGGCACATCCTCAGCGTGGGAGATTCTGTGCTACGCATTGGACAAGTAATTAGATGGGCCTTGTGGCTGTGACGCGGCCTGCATTTCAATCCTTCAGTTCGGGAGTGCAATTTGGAAGACTCCAACCCCTCAAACCCCCCCTGAGGTTCTAGACTCTGAGCACTCTACAACAGCCATCTACAGGTCGTACAATCCTACAACCTGAACGAAGAGCTACAAGGCCCGACCTCCAAGACCTGTCACAAGGCTGTCTAAACCCTGCCCCGGAAAAGTTGCCGGAATGTGCCAGTTTCTGGGTCATCGGGCTCGTCTGAGTCCTGTGACATCTCGAGGTCGGCCTTCCGAGCCGGTCTTTAAGCTGTACGGGGAGGCTGTGTAGGGAGCTCCTGAACGATAATGTACATATATGTAACTTGCATTCTGAAGGACTGGCACTTAGAAGATGAAATCGCGGAATCAAATCGCTGCGATTTAAACACGCAGGCCCAAATCGCTTCTTATTTGGTCGTATTCAACCATTGGAAACGCAAATCGTGCGATTCGGGTTTCCAATGCCAAATCGCAGCTTGTGCTGCTTTCAAGAAGCACTCGTGAGAAGTGGGTTCAATGATTTTTGCGGGTTTGGGAAAAATCATTTAGCCAGCTTGGGCCCAAGGACTTTGTCACGATTTCAGAAGTTCAAGTTCAGGGGCGCTTTTAGGAAGCCTTGAATAACCGGAAATTTAGATTCAGAGAGGTGCTGGAAAGCCTTCAGTTGTTTGGAAATTCAGTTTACGGAGCCATTCGAAGGCCCTCATTGGTCTCGAAACTCGCACGTAGCGAAGTACAGATTTTCTTTCATGTATTTTTGAGTAAGAGTTTAGAGTTTAGGGAAGCTAAACACTCTCTCGCACAACCCAAACTAGGCTTTTCAATGTATGAAACAATCAGGTTGAGGATTTTATCTAGAAAAGTACCATGTTCAACGACTTATTTCCGAGAGCACTGTGTGCTTTTTTGGTTTGTACGGAATCTGGTCCTTCTGATGTGGGGGTGGGGTTGGGGGGGAGGGGGGGTGAGCACGAAATGATTTTTGCAGGCCCTGGCAAAAATCATTTCTGATGTTTTCCCTTCAAGGTTTTTGGGTTTAGGGCTAACAGGCCTTAAGATGAGGGTTTCTTAGCAAACTTGTGGGCATGGTCCTTTGACTTCCAAGTTGCCCTACGATTTGCAGCGATTTGTTGGCGATTTGAAGCGATCCAAGCACAATTCAGATTCCAGGTTTCTGTCTTCCGCGACGTGTGACAGTCTTCAGGCCTGCCGAAGCTGAACCCGTTGAGATGCAGGATTTGGTTTCTTTTGAGTTTCACGACCATGTAGGAGTGTCGGCTTTAGGTTTTACAGGGCTCCATCCATGGCACTTGTGTCTTCGTTGTGGCAGTATCATTTATGTTCGAGCTGGGTGTTTTTTTGCACGGTTTTGGGTTTAGGGGCTAGGATTGAGAGTTTAGCCTTGAGAATCTAGGCTCTAGGCTCTAAGCTAGGCTTTTCCATGTATGAACAGTCAGGTTGAGGAATCTATCCAGAAAAGTAGCATGTTCAACGACTTACTTCCGAGAGCACTGTGTGCTTTTTGGTTTGTACCGAATCTGGTCCTTCTGATGTAGGGGTGGGGTGGGAGGGGGGGGTGAGCACGAAATGATTTTTGCAGGCCCTGGCAAAAATCATTTCTGATGTTTTCCCTTCAAGGTTTATGGGTTTAAGACTTAGGATAAGTGTTTAGAACCTGGTTCTTCTGAAGGGTGGGGGGGGGGTCGAGCACCAAATAACCCTCAACCCTCAACCCTCCACCCTCGACCCTCAACCCTCAATCCTAAACTCTAAACCCTAAACCCTCAACCCTCAGCCTTAAACCGGAGTCGAGGGTAGGGAAATAACGAGAGGTTTAAGCAACGGAGCTGTTCGAAAGATCTTTAATGAACCCAGAAAAATCATTTAGCTTCCCCCTTCAAGCTCTCCTTGAAGCCTCTTTCTCAACCCTCATACATACCCATTCAAATCGCGCGATTCGGGCTTTCCCTAAACGCGGCGATTTCAAAACGCTGCGATTCTAACATCTAAGGACTGGCAGGCAACAAAGATGGTGCCGCCTGAAACATCACAACGGACTCCAGATTATACAGGCTTGGCACCAAACGCTGGAAAAGAACAGGTGCCGAGAGCTGGCCTCAGCAACTTCACAGTCACTGCATCTCGCGCTATGCACACAAAAATTATACGGGGCCAACAGAGCTGGCAGGGCTGAGTGACCGAAGAACTTGACCTTACACCCGAATGCCCTGGAGCCAAAACACCGGCCCCTCGGCCTCCGTCGTGTCTACCAGTGCAAGCCGACGTCGGACCTGCACCGCAGCCACCTGAGTGCTTCATTGAGAAATCGGTTTGGGGCCTTGCAGGTTCGTTCAGGGACTTCTAAAGTGGGAGATCTGGACCCTGACGCACACCCGGCGCCGTCAATGCACAGCCTGGGCACCCCCCTCAAGCCGAAGAGAGACCGTGACTCCACGAGGCTGTCCCCGGAACCCCTGAGCCGCCGGCAACGATACGCTCGGGTGGAATCCCCAAGAGGATGGCCAGGTTTGTCTGGAACTGCTCGGCATTGAACTCCTCGATACTGATCCTGGCATGCAGGGCTCAGGGCCTCTAAACAATGCAGGCCTAGGGGTTTCGGCAAAAAACTATGCAGTATAGGTATGAGGGATCGTTTTTCCTGGTTGATGGCCTTCGGGGATTGGGGAGCTCCATCGTTGCAACAGCAAGTGTCAGGAAAAAGCAGAAGTCCTACAAGAACCCCTATTTTTACAGGAGTTTTGGAGAGGGTGTCCCTGGACCCCAGTGACCATGTCAGCATCGTGCCGGGGGTTCGGGATGCGCCGGTTTATGGATCCATTCGGGTTAACGATCAGGATTGATAGGGCTTAGGACTTTTGAAGAACCATCGAAGCCACAGGTCTAAGACAGTGTACGCGTGTATCTCTTGCAAAAACACACGTTCCGTCTCTGGTACATGCAAAAGAACCCTGCCGGAGTGAGCAAACACAGGCAAAAGAGACACTAGCCAGGGGAAACCAGAAAACATGAAACTTTCGTGTACGCTTCTAGGCCCAGATGCAGATGCATGAAGCGTTGGTGTTTGATCTTTTCGGGGTGCAACATCAGATTCCAATCTGAAAAACATTGTGTATCCAGCTGCGCTTCCCATCCCTGATCCTTGAGCCCATCCCAAATCGGACCCTGAGTGCTCAGACATCCGAAGCCAAAGTCACCTTGCGCCGGACGCGGCCACCAGGAAAACACAGTCCAAGGACCAGGCTCAATGTTCATCTTCAGCTTCACTGTGGGTGTGCGGCGGACGACAAGGTCGCGTTGAGCCTTGCTTGCAGGTACAAAGTCCAAGGACTACTCAATGCGGCGCGGAACACCCGGGGTTGCACCCCTCCTTAGCCGATGGACCTGAGACGAGAAGAGGATGGACACACCCAACGCCTCAAACATTCTCAACCCTCAGCACCCGTACCTGACACTGAGCCACTCCACTTAGGAAGCGGCATTGAAGCCTGCCGTTGATCCCCGCAGGGTGATGTACAAGCCTCGGCATGGGATTCTTGTGACAGGCTTTCAATGTGGAGTTTTCTGGTTCTGGCGGGGGGACGGGAGGGGGGGAGGCGTGAGGGTCTCTCTTGGAAGCTCTTAAGACGACTGACTTTCCGAGCGCCCTGCGCAGCGCTTGAGCGTCCACCACGTGCGCACCGTGCCTGGCAACGCTAAGTCTTGCGGCTTGAGGACTCTTAAGCTCTTTAGCATCCTGAAGCAAATCCAACAATATCTACCCTCCAGGGAGTTAAGGGCATCAGCTGCGGACACCCAGTACCCAACCGGTAGAGTTGAAGAAAGGATTTCCACTCGTGAATCATGGTGCAATTGATGAACCTGGAAAAGCATGACACAGTATAAGGACCAAGAGGAGAGAGCCTATAAAGCCCATGGAACCGACGAGAGCTACGGCAACACAGCCCGGGCTGCTCGTCATCGAGAGTTGGCTTTCGGCCCTCGGTGTTGTCGGGTCCGGTTAGAGGCACGGGCATCGGAGTGCAAACTTCAGGATCTTCTTTCAATAACACGAAAATCACACCCCCAAGTCGAGTGGATGGTTGAGCGGGGGAGGCTTTCGTCGCAAAGGGCTTCGGGCTTGTGGTTGTGGATGGTTGGCTTGCATGCGGCGTCAGGTGATCTTTGAAATCTGAAAGCATTTTTTCGGGCCACGGGCTGAGGCGGGATTCAGGGCTTTGGAAGTGGAGTCCCTGGTCGAAGCTGGGTCCATGGAGTCGAAAGCAGCACTTGGTCAGCAAAGCCTAGGACAGGAGGATATATGTATAAGTATGCGCGGTGCGCTGCAGAAGCGTATCTCAGACTCGCATTCAGAAGCTTCCCTTCGCCGAACCTGATAACTGGAAAGCAAGTCCAAAGCCAGTTCTACGGATCGCTGCTCAGTGCAAGGCCAATTTCAGGGCCATGTCGGGCTCTTTGGCACCTGGACCAGCAGCGTCGAGATGAGATCTGTTCCGGCTTCAGGGTTTGTAGTCCGTTTAAGACTTAAGAAATATACCGGCTAGTCGATGCGATGCTCTCTTTCGGGACTATAGCGCCCCACATCCAACGACAAGACACTACACACAACATATCAAGAAAGCAAAGAACCGAGTAGCTTCAGTACGTGTGCCCGGTTCTTCCATCCACGTCTGGAAGGTAGGAAGTTTCTGGTTGCTGGCCTAGCAAATGGGCATTCCAGAATCCTCGAACTGGAGACTTGGGAGACTTCGTCAGCGTTTAACTTGCCCTTGTCGCCAAAGCACCGCCCACGAAGACGTTGACGCCCCGACTGTCGGGATAGAAGATCTCCAACAGCACAGACTCAGCGGCGCAGGCTGCGTTTAATGTTGCGAAACTAAGAACCTGAGGCGAGAAACTTAAACCCAACATCTCCCATCTCCCTATATCCTATTTGCTTCTAGTTGGCCCTCAGCAGTTCTACGGAATTCAGGCTTGAAGTCATTGACATTGACTAAGTTGGGGAACTGGCGGTGATGTCGAGGCTAATGTGCATGTCCTGTTGGGCTTAAAAATAGGGTGTAGAGCAACTTGCCAGCGGATCTCGTCGGAGCTCAGAGTCCCGAAAAGATTCAGAACCTTGGAGAAAAGTGTCAGGATCCTGAGTACAAGAGCCTTCTGAGGTGTTTGCCGCAATGTGAACTCATTTCACCTGGGGGGGGGGGGGAGTAGCCCATACCTCATCTGGAAGATTCTGGAAGCCAAAGCAGACAAGTGGTGGAGGTAGTTGCCTCCAGCATTGAAAACGTGTTGAAGGTCCTCTGTGATCGGAATCGCCCACCGAATTAAAGCGGCCTAGCCCAGGTCCAGCACAGCAGCTGTCTTTAGCCAACAACTCACATGCATTAGAATGTCTACGTGAAAGAAGTAACTGGGTTCCTCCTAAACCGCTGAACCCTCAGGCCATCCATCCCTAACTTTTTCAGGTAGAGCTCAGCACTGTAAACCTCAAAGGCCAAACAAATTGCTCACACACCTGTGTCCCTAAGCCCCACACGTCATCCGGGCGAGGTGACCAGTATCGGAGCCTGCACGCCAGAACTCAGCCGAACACACCCAGCGCCACCCCCAACAGTGTGACCCTAAACATGTGCTATAGAGGCTTCGGGACTATCAAACTTGGCCAACTTCTAATTCTAATCTTCACAAGAGACTGTGGTTCAGAGTCATCATGGCATCGATCATCGAGCTCGCCGGGCTTCATCCACCCTCCACTTTTTGAGGCCCTTGAGTCCGCAGCGTACAGGCTTCGGTGGGAAGCTCAAATAGGTCTAGGGGCTTCATGGGGCTTGAGGTAGGCACCTGAAGTTCTCTGGCAGCGACATGACCTCCGCGTAGTAGGTGGTGTCCTGGCAGGGGTGGAGACAAGGATGTGCAGGGTGCGAGAGAAAGGGTTTCTCACTGAAGACCAAGAGGCCGATGGCATGCTTTTGGCTTTTGGAAAGTAAGAAACTCCACAGAGCCCATTCCAGGAAGCCTGTCAAGCCCCCTAAGCCCTCGCTGTAACATGCTGAAGCCCAACATGCCTCGAAACACAATGTCGCAACCGCCAAGAAACTTTCCGCAGTTTGCCAGCTAGACCACGAAACACCTCTGCACCTCCACCATAGATGAACCCAGCCATATGAAACCTCCTAAGAAGCCCGTGACACCGAAGAATAAACAGTAGGGATGCCGAACGGGGCCCGGGCAGGCTTGATCAAAATGTGATAGAAGGAGAAGTCCCAACCTCACTAGGGCTTGAGGGTGCTCTGTGGTGAGTCTAATGAGTCGTCTAGTGGAGCCTAGCTGTCACTGTGCTGTGGTTTCGGGCGAATTTCAGGCGTAGGGCCTCGGTACGTAGTTCAACGGCAATAGATGAGGATGCACTGATGCTAGCCTTCGATGCGCAAACGACGCGCTCCCCCAACCTTACACTAGACATTGCACTCTCAGCACTGCAAGCCTCATTTTGGACCCCAGAATGACAAGCAATAAGCAGGAAACCCACATGATAGAGCTTCCCCCTTGAGGGACCAGCTAACCATGTCAACAAGACCTATGCACTGTCATGCATTGTGGATCACCTGGGTCAGACGGCTCCCAACACCCGCAGTCGCGAAACCCTGTAGCTGCCGACAGACCCTCACCTCCCCCTCCACCTCCGAACACTCCGAACACCACTCCAAACACGCAACGAAGCCTATGAATACTATACAACGGCTGATATGATAGTGTGCGAGTGGCCACAGGGGCAAGAGGCGTAGAAAGGTCCGACACCTCAGCTGTCGGACTTTGGCTTGGGGGCTTGGAACTTGTGAGGTTCCGCTTATGGAGGGCCCAATGCAAGTTGCAGCTTTCTCAAGAATGAGGCTGGAGGACTGGAGTTAAAAATCTGCCGAAGGAGGTGCTGGCCTTGTAAGTAGGCCATTTAGGGCACTGAAGATTGCATTATCTTGCATGGGCAATTGAAACTTTACCCGGAACAGCTTTCAGATGCTGTTCCTTCAGATGCAATGAGACAAGGTTGTTGAAGATGTTTGTCAATTGTCGTGAATCCACTGTAGGGCTAGTTTTTGCCGCCCGACATCTTTAAAAGAAAACACGAGATGCAAGCATGAGTTCCCGATGTCACGCTAGCTGAGCAACCTCATAGAGACTGTGGCTTGCAGCCCGTACCGCACTAGGCGGAGCCCTCTAGAACCAAACCCCGAAGTTCTCATCGAGCGAAGCGCTGCTCAACACGCCGCCCTCGAAGCCGTTGTCCTTCCGTTGCCACTGGGCGGGTCGAGGGACTCAAAAGATCCGAGAGCGTAACACAAGCACCTGGTCGCCCGAAGGTGCATTTGTAGGGTACAAATGGGTACAGCATGTTCGGGTCCCTGCGTGCTATACAAATCGCCGGCAAAGGAGAGGTCTGTGTGCCTCCCAACCTTTCAGTCTTTAGAGATCAGAGCCAAATAATCATGCCGAAGTAACTTCGAGATATCCCCTGCCCGGTAAACAACGTTCACACGGCCGAACGCGCGCCTCCTCCACATCGGGCGTGAGCACCTCAACTCGGGCGACTTCTAAGGGCCTGTCGGTCTTCAGGTTTCAGGGGCCCCCTTTGGACCCCTTGTGTATTCCGAAACAACGGCCGCTACTCACTAGAGTCAGCAGGTTTGCAAATCCGAAAGCCCGAAGTCCGAAACCAGTGAGATGCAGCGGCGCAGGAGACCAAACAAATCCTGGGGCTCCCGCCAGTGGCCCGAACTTGATATCTTTGGCACCACCTGACAGCAAAAGACCAGACTCCCAACACGATGCTGATTTTGAAGCCCAAACCCACGGAATCCCAAACTGTTTTCTAAGCTCCCGCGTCTCTGAGGCTCAAGCGGTCCAGGTTCACCATCTCCAGGAGGTCCACCGTCAGATTGCCGCAGACCTGGGGTTCTGGCAAGTTCCCTTGAAGTTCGGTGGATTGGTGAGATGGGTCCTGGGAACTTGGAAATCCTACCCACCCCGAACCACCCGAAGCCAAACGAAAATGACCCTAAGCTCACTACAAGTACAAGTCGAAGGGGATACCCGCCCCGGTGCCTGCACTCCCACATTCACGTCGAAGAGCTGGGTCTCGCAGAAGGGCGCCCACCTAGACAGTCGATACAAGTAACGCTTCTAGTCTGAGGAATCAATTTAATCAAAGGTTGAAGATGAACTCCGATTCAAAATTTCTGGCAGGGCTTTCAGATTCTTGAGGTCATCGGACTCCTTTTGTCTGTTGGGTTAGGAACCTTGATTCATTGGGGCTTTTGGGGCTTCTACCTGCCCCAAACTCGGGTGCAGAGCTGAGGGTTTGGGGTTGTGCGGTCTGCAGCTTTTAGGCAAGCAATTTCAGATGACTTCTTGATGGCTGTGTACTATAAATTCGACTCGGCCCTTGAAATTGAAACCCCGTATAGCCTACCAGTACCCTCAACCGAACATAGTTTGCACTTGGTTTTTGCTCTATCTGGTGTCCCAAAGACTCGAATATCGCATCCGCAAAGCCCAGGCCGCGCTTAGGGCTGGACACGATGTCCGTGCGCGGGGTCAGAGGCAACACAGTGGCGTTTGGTGCATCGACCCCTGAGCACAGAACTTCGGATATCTTCAAATGGCCCTAGGAAGCGCTGAATCATAGACTTCCCTATGCACAGTTCACTTTAGAGTGACCAAACCCAAAAACCTTGTTTTTAAGTGTATATATATATATATATTATATTGATTTATTTATTTCGCTATTTATGCGTGTACAAAATAGTTCGACAGACAGAGAAACTAGATGTGCTACCTTTGGCAAACTCTGACCTCTATAGTCCGATCCCCAAGTGTTGCAAGCTACGGTTGCAAGCTGTGTTCTCAAGAAGGGGCCAATTGCTGGATTGCTCGTTGCCTCAGGAATCCAAGGATCTGCATGGTCAGCTCTCCAAATCATGGTCCCTTTGAACTAACTCCCTGCTACTAGTCGGCCTCTTCTACTTAGGCTACTGCCGAAGAGGGCCATTATTGAGAGAGCCGAATGGCATGTTCCAGGAGGTGCAAAGATGCAGCGAATTATCTCTGATGTTTGCTGGTCATTGCAGCGGTCTCACAAAAAGAAAAGGAGAGGCAGAGACCGTTTCTTCCAAACCAACCCTTGACCGGAATCCAACAGCACAAGCCTAAGCGACACGAGCTTTACTTAGCTTGAAAGCTTCCTCCACAACCGCGTGAACAGCCGCACTGGAATAAGTCTTCCGTGAACGGCCTGTGAGTGTACCATCAGTGTCTTGGAAGAGCAGCTGGTCCAGACCTGTGTTGGTTTGATCAAAAATACCGCGCAGCAGATCTGCTCACCTTACAGCTAATAGTTATTACTGGGATGAGCTGCTGCAACAGTACCACGTCACCGCAGACATCCTTCGCTAGGCGTGACGATGTCATGAGCTGCAGTACGGACAACTTTCGCGGTGATGGGAGTCGCAATGAGGCGTATGATGTGCAAGCGGAAGGGTCCGCAGCAACACAAGTTGCACACCTTCCACACCGAAATCGCCTAGCATGCACATTTGACACTGGCCTTGACATGGTTGTAGCCCTACACTTGTGCTTCAAAGCTCCTTTGGACGCCGGCTGCTGAGATCTATAAGCATCGAGTCTTAACCGACCGCGAAGCCAAGTTGCCGCTTTGCAGTCACTTCAGTATGAAGTCTCTGGGGTGCCAGGGCCCCTGGCCCATGCAGCCGCCACCGCTGCTTTTGCAAGGGCTGGCTCGAGCCGCGTAGGCCTTGGCGACTTCAGGGGCTTGACTGCCCTGGACTGCAACCGACTTGCAGGAAGACCTCGACTTGCCGAGAGGACCCTGCTACGAAACAAATAGGCATGCCATGTCATGGTGATTATCTGCCTTCCTAATGTGGAGGCCCCGGGCCCCGGGCCATACCGGTGTAGTTCTTCTGGGTTCAGGGCCGCAGGAGTCTGCAGGATTTATCATTTGCGGTACTTCCACATATCACGGTCTCAGTTGAAAAGGCCCCAGGCCTGAAGCTCCAGGCCCCAACCGTGGAGGTCCCAAGGAAAAACAAAATTTGCCACCTGCCTTCCGACTCTTCTTGGACCAAACCAGCAAAGCCGCAGCTAATGAGGCTGGAAAGTGAAACCAGGAACAAAGACTGAGGGCTTACGGTTGGGGCTTTGTACAAAGTGCCTGGGAAGTGCTGCGCCCGGGTGCCAGGCAGAGTCCAGTGCGTCAGTGCTCAATTCGAAGCGGGCGCCGGGGTCAGACTGCGCAAGCGGACACGGTTCCCCTACACCCTCAACGTCAAAGCCCTGACGGTCCCAAACACAGCATGGTGTGACTTGAGGTCCAGGGTTCTGAGCTTCGCATCTACATTACCAACACGTTTTACCCGCAGCACAGTTCAGGCTGGAAATACTAGCATGAATGGTTTACGAAAAGAGACATTCTTGGTTGAAGGAGACATTCCGAACACCACCACACCTCGTACCAGGTGGTGCGAGTGAACGTTGCGGGGAAATTCACCTGACTGCCAGCGGTGCTTCCAGACATTGGCAAGAGAGGCTGTTAAAACACGCTTGGAAATGCAGGACTCTGGAAGCAAAGCAATGTCAATACATGAAGAGCACTTGCTAGATCTTGCTAGAGCTGCGGAACTTGAGATCGGCAAGACACGAGTGCTTCGGATGCTGGAGACTGTAGTGAATCTGGATAATATACAGTCACATTGAGCAAAGGCCTGCACTTCCAATCAACCCTCAACTGTCAAGCGTGCATGCAAGCACAAGTCAAATTGCTGGCCTCAAACTGCATGCCTACTGTGACTCATCGGAAGCTCCCTTTATGGCTGCTCGCTTTTCAGAATCCATGTTTCTAACTGCTGAACTTTAAAGCCAGCATATATTGATTCTCTGGATGAAGCTTGAGCTAAATTGTGCAGCGGGCTTCAGCCCCGCTTGAGGACCATCAGCTTGAACCTCTGCAAACCTGCCGTGCCTGCGTTGCCCTACCAACCCTGATGCGAGGAACTCCGTTAGCCCTTGCGACCTCTGAGCCCCCTGAAGACGTCCGTACAGTCGCTCCTGGTCTACTAAAGGCCCTAAAGAAAGCACGGTCTCAAAGTCGAAAGGCCCCCCACCTCTGCTCCCCACAGGTTCGGCGCGATCGCGCGATCCCTCAGGGCTCAACGATGTTGAGTTGAGGAGTTCGTGATGGCTCTTTGGCTTCTTTAGGGTTTGTCGGCCGCAAGGGCTTGAAATAAACTCCCAGTCCCACAAGCAGCCTGCATCCGAAGGTTTTGAGCTTGTGGGTGGCGTGCCTACACTCCCGGCAAGAAGAAACTCGGGCCTTGTTTCCCCGAAGCCGAACCCTAGACTCAACCTCCAAGCACATATTCTTCCGCCCGAAAGGCCACTCTACCTCCACAGCAGCAGCCCCTAAACGCAAGATTGGTCAATAAGTTCATTCCCGCAAAGCCCAAACCTACCAACCGAGCAAAACCAGATGCACAACCTGACCAACGTCAAATGCTCCAAAGCTTCGCTCCGTCGTTTAGCAGAAACACGTCAAGAACCTCAAAACTTTCAAACCTGCTGGGCTTCCAACGACATGCCGCAGTCAGAGCTCTTCCAGTGGGCGAAGGTCGTATCCTCAAAGTAGGTCCAGCCTGTTAAAAATCTGCCGAAGTCAGGCCTTCGGGTATCGGGGTGCGAGTCTAACGACACGGAGGTAACGTCTTCAATGTTCAGTGGAGGCTTCAGGATGGAGTATACGACGTATACGAGGCTTATACAGAACTCTTTAAGGCTGAAGCTTTGGGTTGCGGGATGTCTTTATTGTGGAAGATGAGGATTTAGGGCATCTAGGGCCGCCGCAACTCGACACACTCTCGGACCCCGTGGTTTTCGAAATCTTGTGGGAGTGGGCGGGGCAATTTACTGTTTGTGGTTGCATACGGTTTAAGGACTCCTCGTAGAGCTTGCAATCTAAAGGTCGGATCCATGAATCCCGACTCTTTTTTTCTGCCTAGGCTTGGGAGGTCCCGGACCGCACTCCGCTTAATTACAAAGCCTGGTGCCCTAAAGCAGAGCGCAAAGATCTCAAAGCCTAGATCCTGTAAAGATCTCAAAGCCTAGGTCCTGTCTCCAAGCAAATCAAGCCGTCAACGCAAGCCTAAAGCCGCTGAAGGGTCCTAAACCCCCTCAAGCTCCAAAACCCCAACCCGAATCCCCTTCTCCGGGGCCCTAGCCTAGGCCCTTCTGCATGTGGATATCCTGCGAGCGCTTGGAACTTAGGCTTTTGGAGGAACTGTCCGTCGTTGTTACAACTTCGATAGTTTCAAGGTTTATGTGATCTGAGCTCGCATGCCTGTAAGGTCTGAGGCCCTCCCCTACAGAATAGTCGGCCCTTCTCCCCCAAGCCTGAATCCAGGACTCCAACCCCTCATGCCGGGGCAGGGCTCTCCATTCGACATCCATGCCCAGGCTAAACCCTCAGTTGCTAGCACAGCACCCAATAAACCACGTTGAAGCTTGCACTACTTAACCGGCAGGAAATGATGTCCAAGCACTTCAAACTGCCCTCAAACATTGCGGGGCAGAACAAATTCTCCCCCCAAACAGATCAGACTGTAAGAAGCGTCATAGAAAAAACGCAATAAAGATTCTAAAACGGCGAACACCAACAACTCACTTGGAGCCGCCTTCTCCCAGGGCTGGTGGCAGGGGGTCAGCGTGGGCTGCCTGTCGGACGGGCTCCAAGAGTCCAAACAACTCGCTCCTGAAGTCGGTCCCGAAACCCACGCCCCCGACACGGCCCTGAGTCTTGAAGCCTTTTTGAAGCAATTTTTGAAGGAAGCAAGCTCAACAGCCAGAACCGGCAGCTCTCCAATGCTCCCTATCATGCTAGTTATACTCTTCCACCCCCAACAACCGCTCGCACCAGAAGGCAGCTGAGCTTCTTCAAGCGTTGAGGCTCGAGGTGTAGCATCTGGGACTCAAGTGGTTTAGATATCTCTGCAATCAGATGCTGCGGAGAGACGGCGAGATACCCAAAGCCCAAGACGTTCAACAAAAGAAGGGCTCCGCAGAGCCCCCGCCACGTCCTGTTTTTGGGAGTGGGATCCAGGGCATCGGATCCACATCCTCAAGCCTGATTTAGCCAGATGACCCGAGGAGAATGCCTTAACAGAGCCCTCTAGCAGAGCCCTCTCCGGGAGCTCTCAAAAACGCATCCAACGCTCTGACCCGTCAAGTTAAGCCAAGGCTGCGCTGGCGACATCAGCCGACACTGGTAAGCGGGCTTCGTCGTCCAGCAGCTCCTTTCAGGTGCAGAGGCTTCGACAGAATTCCTCTTAGGAGTTTCAAGTCTCTAACCGACTCTAACCTGTGCACCCTGAGCCCCTAACTGCCAGCACCTACCAAGTCGCCGGGCCCTCCGGCCCGAGCCTCGAGATTCCGAACCCAAACCGCTGAACCTCAAATCCCGAAGCCAGAACCCCCGAGCGGAGTCTTGCGATTCTTCGTCTGGATCGGCGTCACAAACCTTCGATCGGCTCTTTTCCATCGAAGGGCCAGGCTTCTGAGAGCTGGTGGCGATCACTGGTTTAGATGAAACAGGATAACAGGATTCAGAAAGCCGCCTCGAGTGAAAGGAACTTTGTTGGGTCCAGCTCCCACCCTTCCCATTGATAGACTGCTGCATCTGAAGAAAGGCCTTTTGCTCTCGTTGAAGTTAACCCCCCAAAACCACCCGAACAAAGTCGTCAGGATCACACGCCCCCGGGACCCTATCAAACAGCAGTAGAAACTTTTGTTAAACCCGGATAGACTCAACGGAGCTAACAGCCTCCAAATCCTGACACTTCTGCAAAGGTCGAAAACCGGAAGGCCCATGCCCAATAATTTACAAGGCAGCAGCCGCTTAAGTCCTTAAACCCGACAGCCCTACGGGGCCACGGCCCGACCCGTCGGAATCCGGCTCCAGTGTACATGGAAGAGCCTAAGGGTTCAGGCAGGGGAAGGTCATCGGGTATAGGTTAGGTCGAGGCTTTGGAGTTTAGGGAGTTTAGGGGGTTTAGATGATCAGATAGATCTGTCAGTGGTGTAGGTACCTGGTGATTTTCGGAGGCTGAGCGGGACTTGGGACCACGAGGCTGCGGTACGTAGTAATTAGGTTGGGTCCTTAACCTGCTGAGATGAACGTGTGCGTGTCTGAGTCTGTCTGTGTGTGTTGTGTGCCTCCGTGTCTGTGTGTGTGTGTGTGTGTGTGTGGGTGGGAGTCTGTCTGTCTGTCTGTCTGTCTGTCTGTCTGTCTGTCTGTCTGTCTGTCTGTCTGTCTGTCTGTCTGTCTGTCTGTGTCTCTGTGCCTCTGTGTCTCTGTGTCTCCGTGTCTCTGTGGGGGGGTTGGGTGCGGGTGGGTGTAGGGTGAGGGGTGGGTGTGTCTGTGTGTCTGCGTGTCTGTCTGAGCAGGCAGACAAAGACTAACACACATACGGACAGACGGACCGAGAGACGGACGGACGGAGGGACGGACAGACACACAGACACAAAGACACACATACAGACGGACGGACGTCTGTCGGTGTCTGTGTCTGCGTGCCTGTCTGTGTCTTGTCTGTCTGTCTGTCTGTCCGTCTGTCTGTCTCTGTGTGTGTGTGTGTATAGCGCTGTTGTGAGTGGAACGGCTTTGCTTGTGCCTGAGCTTTTGACGGCTGTGCGAGGCACTTCTTAAATTGCAAATTTGCTGAGCGTGGCATCAGGGCAAAAGATGTGCCCGAAGATTTGCTAGCTTCACTAGAGGGAAACGATTCCGTTGCTACGCCCCACTCCATTCCCACGTCTAAACCCGTCTGAGACCCAAGCCAGTAATTTATCCACTGGCAATTTTCAAGAATCCTACTGTACTGGTAACAACTGGATGCCCTCAACCTGACTTCGAACTTTAAACTCAGTCCATATTGGAGATCCCTGATGATTGAGTTCTGCCCCGTGGCAGCCATTGGCATAGGGATCCGTGAGGGTCTGCGTTCGGCAGTGGTTTGAGACGCTGCCTCGGCGGAGGGACTTGGAGCTTTGGGATTTGACCTAGACTTGTGCCTGCCAAAAGAAAGCCAATGCTCAACTTGCTAAGGCACACTGGTTCCCGAGCACGCCTTAAACTTTATGCGGCTTTTCGATGCGTCGGATGCATGTCATGGTGCAGTGGAATATTGGAATTGAAGTTTGGGGCTTACTAAGCGAGGTCAATTGCATGTCGTGTTTTAAGATGCAGGCTTTGGGATGTGATGTTTCACGTTGCAGGGCCTTGGGTTGGGTCAACGGATATCTCAGTAAGCAGATCGGACCTTAAGTTGGCCACATCAGCGCGCTAGGGTGTTCTGGGCTCAGTGATTATGTCCGAATGGATTTCGTAATTGGCGTCCTCAGCAAGCACCTAGGCAAATCGAGCCACCAGCACAAGTTGCACCACGCTTCAACATCAGGGCAACCACGTTCCATTGTCAAAACTGTGCAGCAGTGTAGCGTCGCAGTCGTTCCGTCGCCGCCAAGAACTAGCCAACTTAAGGAGCCAGCTGTGAATTGGAGGCCCACGAAAGCCCGACCGCTGAGGGCTGAGGAGCCTCATGTACCCCTTGCTTAGCATCTGGCAGTCTGTGCCGGCTGGTGATGTTCCAATGAAGGTGACGTTGCGCAGGTACAGGCGCCTGCGATGGGTCTGCACTCGTCGGGCCTCGTAGAACCTGCCTATGCACAACTTTTATGGGATGCGGCTTTGAGTTGAGGGTTCTGGACTTTATATACTGAAAACACTGTTGTCAAACTTTTGCTACTTTACATCGACCTGCAAGGCAAGACATTCAAGACCTGGCATGCAGGGAATGGGACAGACATCGAAGAAGCTTTCAACTTCTTTCTGGTGTTTGGAGGGGGTGCAGGATTGGCTGGGATCAAGATGAGAATGGGCAAGTCCGTGTTCAGTGCTCATCCGGTTCGTTATAGGCAAGCCTGATAGTGGGTAAGACGTAAGTAAGAACTGTACTCGACCTGGTCAGGGGACGGGGAGGCAAGGGAGCGAAGAGCCGGTTACTTCACAACGCTATCCACTGGGCCTGAACGCCGAGCCGACGCTCATGTATGGAATGATGCCTCGCAGTTGGCGCAGAAGTCTGCTCCATAAATAAAGGGGCGCTTGTACCAAGAGGTACACTATGTACTAGTATGTATGGAGGTAGGCGTTCTATTTTGTTGCTTCTCTTCTTCTTATTTTATTTTTTTTTTTTTGGGGGGGGGGGGGGGGGGGGGGGGGGGGGGGCCCCGTCGGAGGGGGAGGGTGGTGGTTGCGAGGCTTAAATATTCAACTTCTCTTTGTCGATCTCGCAACATCGATTCACAACTCCCAGTGCCCAGTGCCACACGAACAAGTAGACAGGTGTGACAGCAAATTTGTGTTTCGGCCAGGCGGCGCGAATGAGTGAATGGGGGGGGGGTGGGGGGGGGGGCTGTTTCGACTAGGTAAGTCTTCCATATCCCCAGCCCCCACGCGGCCTTGCACCCTGCAGTAAGTCATGACGTTCACACCTTTCATTCAGTCGCCCCTTCATAGACTGTCCTCGGACCCTCCACTTTCGCCTTCCCGACTGCATTTAGCCACCGAGGCAGCTGGAACCAAAATCGGAATGGTAGCAAGTCGGCCATAATCAGCCCGTTATGTCTACCTGCCTCAGCATTAGCCGCTCGCGACCGTCAATGCCCTCTTGGGCTCTCAGCACTGCAGACTGATCGTTCTTGGTAAGCTTCTGGCCGATGTGAGAATCCGCAATCACCTCAGCCAGCAATCAGTGAGATCAGGGGGTTTAGCAGTGGTGTTGGAGGTCGAAGTCTTCGAGGCCTCCGAGATGAACAGGCTAAGAGTGCGTGAACGAAGGTCGTTCAATGAGGACGACGAGCTGAAGTCGACAAAGCCGGGCGCTGCAGCACGATGCAGCACGTACAACGAATGTAGACACGCACATACAACTCTGAGTGACTTCTCGGAAGATCGAGTTGGCTTCCCTGGGCTTCTCGCTCCAAGACACCCCTCCCCGCAGTGAAGCATAGGGCATAGGGCATAATTAGGGCTCTGCTGAGGGCTCTGGTACTCTGGTTGGGCCCCTGGCAATGTTCGACAGCATCGTCTGCGGTGGGATCACATCAGAGAGGTACAGGGCGACATGGGCCGTCTTCCAGATCTGGGCCGCAAGGCTTCTCGCAAGGCTTCTCGCAAGGTTTCTGCTTCACACCCCGAAAATAACCCTTAAGCCCTCGAGCGGAGACTGAGGAATCCAGACGCCGAAAGTAAAGCGCCCTGAAATCAAAGGGCTTGCCGTGGAGGGGTCCCGAGGCTGCCACACGATCTTGGGTTTCGGGTCCAGCATGGTCCAGCACAAAATTAGGATCTATAGGGTGTGAGGCCCCAAATTCATAAATCCGCTGAAGCCGGATCAGCGTTCACAAACTGATCGTTTTAGCATCTGTCAAGCACGTTTGAGCTGGCTTCGCTGTTGCACACATGCACCAATCCTCAATCGATGACTTCTGAAACGCTAGACCAACGCCACCAAACACCCCCCTAAAGTCCGAGCACTGTACCACCAGGCCGAGACCGAGGCCGTGTACAGGTTGATGGTCTGGCACACGCCGGACTTTTGTGTGTGGAGGAACACCTCAGAGCGGCTCTCAGGGCTTCGGGTCGGGGCTCGGGATGTTGTGGGTGGGGCTTCGGGGGGTGCGTTTGACCTGTGATCGGGAAGGCCGGAGGAAAGCTAAAGGAAATTCCCAGGAAGGGTTTACATGTTGCCGGCCATGCCAGGTAAGTGAACAACAGTTCGGGGTCAAAGGGTTCGGCCACTGGAAGGGGCAATTCGGGTTCCGGATCGCGCGTCACTGCTGCAGTTCCTAACAGCACTCCTTGCAGAAAACGATTCTGATGAGGATCCGTCCCTCGAGTCGCAAAACCAAGCTCGGCATTCAAACCAGTGATGCCAACCAGCGATCGCTAACTCATGTTTTGAAGCATCTTGAAGCCGTAGCACTCTACCGTAAATGGCCCCAAAGTCAATGGGTGTCCGGCTCCAGTGATCGTGCCCACTGCCTCGTTGTTAAAGATGGCCCGTGGCGGGCAGGACTCTGCCTGGCCAAAAATGCGCAAAGGGTAGAAAAGAGCAGTTTAAAATTCGCAGATGTTCACTGACAGCAAGGGTTTGCAAAACAAGACACATCGGAAAGCAATACTAACATGAAGCGAAAGTTGCTGCAATGCCATCCTGACACTGATCAATGATCGGTGCAGATTGCACGTGACACACATGTGAGAAAAGGGGTAAGCTGTGGCAACTCTGACCCTCCCAGGAACCAGCTTAGTGGTATCGGAGATTGAATGAAGCGCAAAACCTCAGAAACAACTTTTTTTTACATCAACAGTAGAGTCTGAGTGGAGCTTTCTTGCACCACCTATGCTGTGCTGTATGCCTCCCATGAAGTAGCTCACACTGCATTCCCAGGAGTGCATTGTTTTAGAAATGTCATGCAACATGTACGGAATGTCAAGAGTTTCGTTTTTCGCATAAAGACTATAGCTATAAGCTTGGCATTTGCTTCGGTGCACCCACTGCTGTATGTGCAGTTCCTCGCCATTGCAGAGCACGCAGACATGTTGCTAGGCCAGGTAGCCTTTCCGAGTGTCCAATGCTATATCGCTAGGGCCCCAGGAGTTCTGGCTGCTTGGGATCGAGGTCCCGGCCGGATTTCACATGATTCAAAACAACATTCCCGGCCCCCTCCCATTGCTCGCGGCGCGTTCCTTCTTAGACTCGCGTGTCGCCCTTGAATCTTTCAGGTCTCCTGTATGCTCGACGCCCAACTCCCCAAAAACGATCAACTCTTTGAAAGTCACGGCGCAAAGCCGCGCTCCCAGGATAGCCTACTCTCCAAGTGATTCGGCCCGTGCCACTCTGCGACCCGCACCTTTCCGACTTTTTTTGAAGTTGAGACACCCATGCTGGGACCTCTAGATGTAGAGAAGGTGGTCTTAAATATTGCTGAATGAATCTGAGTGGTCTTGACCGCGAAGGTGCCGTTCTTTTCTGGGGCATCTCCCAAAGTGGATCCACATGCTGAAGGGACACATATCGGGCTTCAGGATCAAGGGTCATCAAGGCAACGCAAACTTTGCCCTCAACAACCAAGCCCAGGTACCGGATGCATGAAGCCCATGTCATTGGAGCCGGACACGATGTTGCCGATCATGCGCACCGGCCTGGGTTCTTCACGTGCTTCCTTCCTTGCAGGCTCCGATAGACTCGGAGTCAGGGTCTCGTCCGGGTGTGTACTCAATCAGGACACCCAACAAAAGCACCCCGACTCCGGTTCAAGAGTTCAAGAACCCCATGGAGACCCCAAAACTCCAAATGAAGGTGTACATGGTTGCTAGAAGCTTGGCACCCGACATCACATCGGCACGGATGCCGGCATATTGTATGACCTGGACGGGGGAGAGGGCATGACATGGGTGAGATGATAGTGAAAACTCCTCTTGCAGATTTTAGGAGCTTCTTTGAAAGGAGGTTCAAGGCTGTACCCAGAGATTCAGCTCCAGGTCGGAGTTGCGAGGGATTGTGGCCAGCCCCAAACCGTGCAACCCTGAAGACTGTTCGCGCGTTTGCAGCTTAAAATGTTAGCTGGTTTTGGGGCTTCGGTGTAGGCCGTACGAGACTTTCGGACTTCTTCTCAATACCTTAAGTGCTACAAGGACCAGAAGGCTTAAGGGTGCAGGGTTTCGGGGTTTTGGAGGGTGTATCGGGGCTGCTCTGCAAGCACCTTCGGGTCTCTCTTTGTGCCTTGGAGTTGTGGGGCTGTAGGGCCTGAGAAATTCCGACTCCGTACCTTCTCGGCCTTTTTCAAGTCTCACCCCCCACAAAAAACTACAGACCCAGAAAAAACAAATCTCAAGCACACCCAAACGTCCGAGTAACCAAGAACCGGCACCCGTTCCCCAAATAGATCTTACAGATCCTTTTTAAGCACACCGTGCGTCAGCCATGCTGACCCCAGCTCAAGCTCCGGGCAATGACCTGGTCCTCGTCCTCGGCAATCCTTGGGCAAAACATAGCTCAATTAAGTTCCGGGGCTTGCAGCTGAGGTGCTTCTGGGCTGAAAGGTCGATCAGGGTCGTTCATGCAGTGAAGGCCTCGTTTGCGCCACACTCGGAGCTCCGAACGCCCATCGTTGCTAAAGGCTTCTCTTCCACGACCTCTTGCGCAACTGCCGAGAGATCGATGTCTTAAATACAATCGACTATGTTGCCGGGCGCACACGTGCGTGTGTGTGTGTGTCTATAGATATACATATATTGAGAGATATACGTACATACATACATACATACATACATACATACATACAGACATACCTATTACACATTGGTATTTATACATCTTACTCATGACTGCGTATGCGTTCGCTTAAAGCTCCTCTGGAAGCTGCAAGACAACCCCAAATCTTCGTAGCTCGCTGGCGAACACTTGTGCGCTCATTGCGTGCCATACTCGATTCGGCCGTCGCCGGTTCGGGTTGACATAGTCAAGGAAACTCAACAGTTAACAAACTCCACTTCTGCCTGATGTATAGACTGCCTGGGCGCCGAGGCCCGGAGAGAGGCTTGACCAACATCACAACGAAGTTAAGACGTACACGAACATGTCTCAGCCAGGCTGAGAAAAAAAACAACTGAACTGCGACCTGAACGTACAAACCTGTACAGACCTAGTAGACTATTGAGTATCGAGACCCGCAAACCTGTGAAGACATTCTTTCGCAGCCCGGGTTCGCTCTTGGTGCCGTGTCCGCCATTTTGATACCTCTCAGGACACGATGGCTCTGAAACGATTCAAACGGGATGCGCACACTATAGAACTCTAATTATAGATATACGGCTTTGGGGCCTTGAGCTCCGGGCTGTAGTACTGTACAGTAGGGGTTTTGTTGGGATGATCACAACAACAACAACTCAAATTCAATCCGAAATTCTGCTCATGTAGTTGGATAACACAGTCGAAAGAGTGGACAAAACACATTACGCCTGGCTTGCATGCCGCACCGCAGGCTACAGCCTCTTAACAGAAACCCTGTCAGAAACTCCCTCAGAAGTAGGAGTGGTCGTGTTTCAGCTTTGCCCGACATCTTGTTGAGTCTCATTCCCCTGCAACTGTCGCGTGCATCTTCTGCGCTACTATACCCTTCAGCGATCTTTTTTCAGCTTGAAGTAGATGACCTTGCCAGCTCACTGTGTCGCGAAGTTCTTTGCTGTTGGACACTAAGGGACCGCTTCCAACACGTTTTTCTGCATCCTCAACGACCGACTCACGCCCCCAGCCTGAAGACTCTACAACGCCCACAAAACCCCAAAGAATCCCTTGCAGTTGATTGTAGCACAGGCTCAAGGGTGCATAACCACAAATGGCCAAAGCATTGATAGGTGCGGGGAACGGGGCTTCAGCTTTTCGAGGCAGCAAGCACGCAAGCACCCCGCATAAGAGTTACGAGAGTATCAGTATCGGGAGTCGAGAAACCTTACAAGGCCTGCAAGTCTACAAAAGGTATGGCAGGTACGGGGACCCCAAACCCTAGAAATCCCACCGCGCAGTTCCCTTGTCGCATTGCCTAAGATGGCGTTGTCCTTCATCTGGACGCCCGCGCCCTGGACCAAGGTGTGGCATGTTACGATGAGAACGGCCTCTAAAAGCACAGCACTTGGCCTCCCGATCCTCCGACCCCTCCCCCTTGCCCGAATCACTGCTACTCAGGGCTTCAAGGACTGCAAATTCTCAGCATCACTGTTGTCACCATCAGCATCATCAGATCCACCAGAAAATCTTGAACAGATTAGGAGTGCCCATGGTCTCGATCGAAACACAAATCCTGAAAGACAATAGGCATTCAGTTGTTGCATGATTTCTGACAGATGCCGACAATCATAGAGAAATTACAATGGCGAGAGCGGTGCGAGTGCAGGACCGCCTGAACCGAGGGGATTGAGGTTCGATTGCGGTTCGTAGGAGTTCAGAGAATGGAGATGTGCGGCGGCTGGTGGCCGGAGGTTCAGGGTGCGAAGCTCGACAATCCGAAGAAAGTAAAAGGCGCGATGCTTTTGTTTGGGATGCTTCTGGTTGTGACTTGGAGTTGTGGGATTGAGGCTTCAAGCTTTAGGCTTACTAAAGGTTGTCAAGAATTACTATTGGCACTGTCGCCTCTAGGACTCTAGGGTTCCAGACTTCGACCAGTTACCAGGCTGCTTTATCCAACAACAAAGTTCAGGTGCATAATGAGACCTCTCCACGGTTTAGCGGCCTGTCGGCCTTCATCATCGTTAGGCATTCCAGCTTCAAGACGTAAGCACATTGAAAGCTCTTCGGCAACAGCAACATCTACCTGAATCTACCTGACCCTCCTGCACTCTCAGCACCGACCTCCTGCAGGAAGATTCCGCCATTCAAGGACTGCACAATCACCTGAGCTGGAAGAACCATGTATGAAACGGGTTTCAGGACCTGGAGCCATAAACACACGCAGGCCGACCTCTGAAACAAAACCATGCAACAATGGATGTAGGTTTCCAAGGTAGTTTTACACACATCCCGCTCATCTGGCCTGTACATGCTGCTCGGAATCACATTTTCGTCAGTTCCGGAGCTCTGGCTTCGTGGACTACATCCCCATGCAAACAACACTTCAAATGGCGGTTGCGAGTTGAGAAGGGAAACGCTGCAAAAACCTTGTGGCCTTGCAGAATAACCGCCAAAGACAAAGAACGCGCGCTTCAACTCTGCACTTTCAACGCCTGGGCCCCAACAAAACGCCGAGTGGTCAATGAATTTGTTTGGGATGGCAATACGACGCAGATCTCCTCACAAGTCCTCAGCGACCTCCAGGACAAGCTCCAAGCACTAAGGGGCCCTTCCCCACATCCTCTTAAGAACCCTCACAAATCCTTTTCAAGAAGCCTCAGAATGACAATTGGGTGTGAGAGCTGGAAAAGGGGCTACGGCCATACCTACTACATCTCATCTAGATGCCGCCTTAGATGCCACCCTGAGAAGCTGATACGCAAACCGTAACAGTACTAAGACCCGCAAGCTCAGACCTACAAAGTTGCACATAGAACCCTAGAGCTGTTTCATCCCATGGCAAAACTAGGTGCAGGACAACTGTTAATGGCTTCTGTACAGGGTCCGGCGCCAATCAATAGAGAGAGTGCCCGCCATGCAAAAGCACTGGGCCAGAGGACTGCCCTCGAGTCTGCCCTGCCAACCCGAATGCGTCCATGGCTTATGCCAGGATGCTTCAGGGTTGCTTTGCGAGGCTAAGAAAGAAATGGGCAAGGAGTCAATCGGGTCTAGCCGGGTCATCCCGAACCACTCGACCCTATTCGTGCCACCCGCCACCCTGCAAGAACCGCAACACAGTAAGCGCGAAGCGTTGTTCGTGATGAGCACCGGGACGTTCGATGACTCCAAGTGAAGGGCGTACTCCTGGCGGTCAGAAGGCTTCAAGTTGAGAACATGCAGAGATTGTACGCGGCTTCCCGTTCTTTCTTCCAAGTCTGACAGCTAAGGTGGTTTATCGGAGTCATGGGAAGCTGTGCGTTTGGGGATTCTGGGCCCCACCCTCTAGTTTTAGAAGGAGCGACTTCCCCGAGGGTTTTGCTTGTTGTGCCAAAGACTCTGCAAACCTCAGAAGACTCGGATGAAGCTGGAACTGGGCATTGGGCAAACGAGAGAGCTTAGGGTGTCTTTGGATGCTGAATATTAACCTGGGTTGGGAATCCTAACCGTCTGAATACCAATCTCCTGAGTCTTCAACCCTCAGCCCCATCCACAAGCATTGGCAACCGCAGACTGTCCTAAACGATCGAGTTTTCGTCTCTCTCTCTCTCTCAAGCGCCATGAGGCTGACTGACGGTGAGGACTGTCCCGTGTGGCAGGTTTCGCATTCGCGCGCAGCCATGCTGCAGTGTCTGAAGGACCCCTTCACTTCCACACGTAGGGATCGGCAGCCAGATTTCGTGCGACGTTGCGCAGTGCAGGCACTCTGCGCCTCAAGAAGAACATTGGCTGTAATCAGGCCATGGGGCCTTATGCTACAGGGCACTTTCAGGGCGTTGGTTCTGTGCCTGGCGATTGGGATCTCACGAGGCAGCCCACGGGCCCAAACCTTCAAAGGAATGTTGGCTCGTGCAGTGTACGGTTCGTGCGCTTCGTGCAAGCTCAGTTCGAGGCGGCTTAAAGCGTACGAATCTAGGAATCTTGAGACTATCAGTCTGAGAAATAGTTTATGTTTACCGTTCTCTAGCACCTGTCCCCATGCAAGGCAAAACGCGCCGGAAGCGGCCACGGACGACGTCCAGGAGCACCCGTGGAAGATCAAAACGGGAGGTGGCTCCTTGCAGCACAAAAGCTATGACTCCAGCACCCTTTTCTTCGGGGTTGCCAGGTGGCTTCAGGCTTTCCGGGCTGTGGTTGCAAGATTCCCAAACGCCCTTGCACACCCTCAAGTATCCCAGGGCGTTGACAAGTCTCGGATTTCACAAGCTTCTAGGGCTTGAAAGCCTCTGCCCTCTTGTTTCTTGATGACTACGAACTGTGCATGGTACAGCCCTCCGGAAACTAGGCCAAGCAACTCGAGGTACTGAACAGATCAGTCAACGGGCGAAAGCAGAATGAATCATCGGTGCCTCGTGCCGACCTATAACACGCAACCAAAGTGGCAAGAAATAACAAAAGAACTTGAAGAAGCCCTGGACCCCAAGGTCCAGGTGCCTGCGACCCCATAGGTCGTAGATTAACCGCCCAACCACGATTCCAAACCCGTTGAAGTTCCGAGGAACGATGCTATGCCGAAGATACTTGAGGGACTGAACAAACGAACCCATACCTTTACATTCATACCCTGGAAGCCCTATCGTCATCAGGGGCATGCGTGTGCAGGCGAGCATCGAAGCTGGACGCGAAGGTCACCTTCACTGCCTCTGCGTGTCAATGGCATGCTAGAGGGTAATTAGCAGGTAACTGTTGGCGAATTTAAACCTCGGGGCCAAAGACACATCATGACACATCATAACGTGATGATCTGACTTCGATGTGGATTCTGGTGAGTTTAGGTGTTGATGGCCTTGGGATGCCCAAGAACATGCAAGTGGGGAAAAGGTTCAGGATGGCTACAGTACTCGGATTATACCTAAAACGACTAAAACATCCAAGCTTCACAAGCCTGAGGCCTTAGGTGCTTAGTTACTGTAGGGTTCTGGCATGTGTGGCTACACGAGCGCATAAAGTCAGTTGTATCTAAATCCTGGCCCCTGTGTTCCGAAATCTCTAAGGCCGTGGCCGCTGAGAGGGCTCCCTTGCCGAGGTTGTGGAAGCGAGTGTACCTTCGGACAGGGTCTACATGTCTGGCCTTTTGCTAGTATTGTCCGTGAGCAGACGGACCCGAGCCGGTTCTATTGTCTTGGGCTCTGTAGGGAGAGTGGCGAGATTCAGGTTGCGGCATCCACAACACCTTCACCATCCTGGACCGTTGCTTGTGGAACCTTCTGGCCGAGTTGCTGAACCACTAGCCCTAGCAAACCAAAACGGTTTAACCCCTCAGTCCAAAACCCCAACCCACATTGACAATGCCTTGGGCTTAGGGCTCTGGAGCAGGGCTTTGGGCTTGGTGTCCTGAGGTGCAAGGCAGTGCAAGGCGCTTAGATTGGAAGGACCTGTGCGATCAGGGCTACGCCAACTGCCCCTTAAGCCTTTAATAATTCCAAATTCTAACTCTTGTAAGCCCTGAACAGCAGAAGCAAAACCCTGTGAATGCGAGTTCAACTGGCAGAGTTGAGAGCTAATGGGAGCACTTCATATCCACCTCGCCGACCACAGAAGAGCCGGCAAGATCGCCCAGTGCCCTGGATACGAGTTGGGTAGACAAAGAGGCAAGGCTCTTTGCACAGCTACACACCTACTTGGAATGATACCAGGGCTGCTTTCATTTGAGCTGGACTAGGGCTGTGCGAATACATCTTCCCAGCTGCCTGAATTGCCAGCCCTTTGTGTTCCTACGTCTTACGAATACTTCCCGCAACATTGCGAGGACAGCCAGCAAGCCCTTCTCAAAAGTTAGCTGGGCCTGTATGCGTAGATAGCTCTGCCTGCGCTAGTCAGCTTGCGCCCCGAACCACCAGAAAGCTGTCTGAGCATTGCGCACATCGAAGATCTCCATGTGCCCGCCATAAGCGCTTCCGCCAGTCGTGTCAATGTAGGCTGACGTGAACACGACCTGGGCTTGCCCGGTTGCGGGGTACAAGGAATACCTATCTCAACTGTCATCCTCATTGAACAAAGGAGTCTCAACTGCTTCCAACCCTTTAAACCCTGACATGCATTAAAACCCTGAACCAAAAATTGCACCTTAAACTCCTAGGCAAAGCATGGCAAAACCCTTGCCTAACCCCTAAACTCCGTAACCAGGCCTATCAGGGCCGTGCAACGTTTTCTGTTGAGAAGTGGGCTGGGTGCCAGGCAGGTTCAGGGCCTTCAGGGTTTAACTTCCAGGGCCGGGCCAGGAAGCGCTTGGAGTGTTCTACACGTCTTCAAAAATGGCTTCTCAAGAACCTTCGCAAGACGTCCGTGCTTTCCAAGGCCCATGAAGTAAGCTTTGGCTAAGCACAGGAGGCCAGAATTCAGGCAACTTAGGGCCAATAATTTGGCTGGACAGACAATCTCAGATCAAGCGGCCGATCGGTCTATGCGCGCGACCACTGCTCGCAGGGAGACCTGCCCGGGTAAGAAGGCTTGCTTCGGTGAAACCAGATTCTAATCGGTTTTGTGGGTTGGGCGTATTGGGGCAAAATATAGGCTTTTGCAGCGGAGTTTTGGCTGGGCAGAGCCATCTAGTGGTAAGCATGTCTCGGAAGGAGCCACGCCCAACATCAACGGACAGATCACCCCCAAAAGCCACAACCACCCTGCTCCACCAAGGCTGCGCCACGTCCCACTGACTCCAACCCGCTGAACCACAGTGTCCTGACTGCATCGGCAGCTTGCTGAGTCCGAAGCCGTCTTCGTGTCACTAACAGGCACGTCGCCGGCAAAGCGCCTTTCCTTAAGTGAGCTTTAAGTGAGCCCAGTGCCCAAAACAAAGCCCCCCCCCCACATGCCCAACAGGAAGCCCCTGACAAGTGCAAATGCCAAGTGCAGAAGCATCCGAGTCCTGTATCGGCTTTCAAAAGCATGCCTTGAGGCATTGGTTTTTCTTCCCAGCATACATGCCAAGCCTTTCCTTGTGAGCTACTGATTGCGGGGCCGGCTGGACTCAAGGATTTGGCCAAGCTATGTCGCTGCTTTACACAGCTTTACACAGCCAGCGGCTTCCAGAGTTGGGGATTTACGGCATGTCGCCGCAAATCCGGCAATTTGCAGGCAAGACTCGTTCAGATTGCCACTCCAGTGGATCCTAGCGGCAAGAAAACGTTCACGTCAGGCGTTGCATAAGGACACAAGCCTTCCATATTTGGGGGGTTGCAATTGTCAGGCTGCTGAATATTCACTCCCCGAAGGAAGACCGCCCCAAGGGCACGCATGTGAAAAGTGTGAAAGGTGGGAGTAGGGAAGGAAGAAGGCGAACAAAGAAACAAATCGACTCTCTCTTCCTCCCTCTCTCTCTCTCTCTCTCTCTCTCTCTCTCTTCCGTCCTTCCTTCAAGAGCACGTAACCGACTTAACCCCCGAAGGGGCTGCCCCAAGGGGCGCGCTTAACAGGGTCTGTCCGCGTAAAACTCATGTTTTGCGGCTCCCCCTTCCCGGGCAAACAGGAACTAACACCGACTCAAGCCCACTCGAACAGTACCACGGGTCCTCCTTCGAGTCCCTCACTCTCTCTTTCTCCATACATACATCCATACATCCAGACATCCATACATCCATACATACATACGTACATACATATATACTTACACACAGGTCTGGTTCGATTCTTGGCTGTCAAACCCAAGCCCGACTCCTCAAGCCTACAGGGGCTCGGGATTCCCCTCGACCGTCTCAATGCCAAGGAGAAAGCTGAGAACGTCACGGAACCCTATACTTGCTCGAAGCGCCACCCTGAAAGCACTAACCCCCATAAAGCCTCAAGTCCTCGTCCTAGTGAAACCCCAGCAGGCCTCCAGCAATCGTTGTCTTCGTCATATGCCTGGGCATGCAGGCAGACAGGCGTGAAGGAAATGTCATTTTGGACAGGTTGAGATGCCGAGCTCGGAAACAAGACTCTTTGCAGACTCTGTGTATGCTTTGCGGAGAAGCTGTAGCAACTTACAGCGCAGCCTCAACCGCCTAAAAACCCCCCCAACAAACTTAAGACACATCTCCAAGTACAGCTCCACCCTGGGAGCCCGTAACTCGAAAGAAGAAAGCTCCCGAGCCCGGGCTTCTACCCCTCGTTTCCGCTGTCACTGCGTTCCCATGTCCGTGCGCTGCCATGGGCCGTTGAGCTCGAGCTCACGCGCGAGGCCCCCGATCCACACGTCAACATTCTCAGGTTGGGGTGTCTTGAAGAGCGGCTTCTACGGGCTCGAGGGGTGTTGGGCGGATGTTTGAGGCTGTAAAAGGCTCAAACCAGAACTTGTGGGGGGGGGGGCGGGCGGAGGGGGGGGAGAAGGGAGGGGGGAAATCCCAGACTTGGGGGACCTATTCCGGAACCGAAGCTAAGCCCCAAAAACTATCTGAAATGAAGCTATAGGCCACAAGTCGACGATTGCGGGATCTTTCGGCTCATGCCCCAGGGCCAAGGTTTATGGCTGTCTAGGCCATGGTGCTTCGCGAGGAAAAGGCTGCAACCACTTTGAGGTGGGGGATTTCGCATGGGGCTCAGGGCCCGCGAAGCTCATCTTAAAGGCAAACTTACAATTCACAGACCTCATGACTCAAAACAAAGCCCTATAGAGCCCCGCCACCTGCCTATGCCCGCGAAGGCCCCGGAGGGGTAAGTTGCTGTAAGTTGCTCTGCTTCCCGCTTCAAAGCGGGAGCAGAGCAAAGCCCACGCCGTTCTCAAAGCGATGCGGGCCGCTTTCCTTTTTTCACATGCTCCTTTAGACATAGTCGGGCCCGGAATTACAACCTATAAACATGTGTCTATACATTACGTATGTATATATATATATATACATATTTTGTATAGATGGATCGATAGATGGGCAGGTGGATAGATAGCGTCTCGGAATCGGATGCTTAACTCCAGCTTAATTGAAACATCAAGCAAAATAGGATTCCTGAGGAATGGGGCCATTGGCGTAGTGCTTCAGGAAAATGAAGTAGGAGCAGTTTGGGACTTTGTGTGTTGGCTTTTCTTCTTGGACCTCCGGGGATGGAAAAGATCGTGCTCTGGCTCGAGAGAAGCAAACGCAAGTTGCACGACACCGCTCATGGTATTGTCTAGCGCAACTCCGCACAACTCCGCGCAACTCGAGAGCATCATTTCCCTGACAATGTCGGGTGATGAAAGCTACTGGCGTCATGCAGATCTAAGCGATAGAAAACTATTGAAACAGTAGCTTGGAGAACGACGGCAGTGCACAGTGCACGAGGTGTTGCGCAAGGTCGTCCCAAGCTCTGTGGAGCAAGGCGACTTCAGACTTTATGACATCTTGGTATCGTTTTTAAAGAACCGGGTGCTCGCGGCTAGTGGCTTCACATTGCTAAAGGCAGTTTAAAGTTGCTCCCAACCCTCAACTCAAACATCGTGAAACTTGAGACGCGGTGACATACTGAGCAAAATCATCAAGATCACGAATCCTCCGGAGCACGTAGCAACTAAAGAACCCGCTCTAGCAATTCAAAGCCAACATGGCGCCGACCGAATCCCCCCCCCCCCCCCCGCCTATGCAAACTCAAGCCCAGGGCCCCGGGGTTGAAATCTGCAGTTCAGAGCCGATAAAAGCCGTACCTTGCTTGCCCCACTGCCTTTGCAAAACGGCAAGGCAGTCGAATTCAGCGAGAGGTGACAGCGTTTTGGGTGGATGTATTGGCTTAGGCTGCCTGCCAAGATTGACGACCATGAAAAGACATGTAACACTCAGAAAGGCTGTCCGGTCGATGCAAGGAATGCTTCCACATCCACGCAACACCTGTGTATGTGCGAACTTGGCACAGACCAGGTACCGCACCGTAATCAGCCTAATCATCTGAGGCAACAAGTTTCGAAATGAAGCGTGAGCCATCGGGTTGAAAAGTTCCAGGCTCGAAAGCGGAGGAAGTGGATCAGTTGCGACGTCCTTCTCTGAGCCGATGCTCCGTGCAGATGCGCTCCTCCGTCTCCTAGGTGTCTTTCTTGGCTGCTCAGAGCAATGCTCATGGATCGAGGACATAGAAAGATGGTACTGGGCAGTCTTCAAACCAGCCCCAAGTCTCCACTGCAAACAATATGGACTCAAAGGTATCCCTGCAGAGCAAGGTCCTGCCTAATGACCCGAAACGCTGGCACTCTAACCACCGGCATCTAGCAGAAGAAGCTATGCCAACACGCTGCTGCATTGCAGGATTGGGAACCTGGACAATTAAGTGTCAGACTTCATTGCAGGGCATCAACCTACATGATCCTAGGCCCTAGGCATAAGTGCTGTGCAAAGCTCTGGCGTGTAAACCCAATTTGGAAGTGCCATGTAAAAACGAGCTGAGGATCTAGTTAACCTGCCGTGCTACTTGTTTTCCGGCAAGCGGTCCTAAATCCTTGGGAGTTTGGAGACTACCCTGTAAGATCGAAAGAATTTCTTCAGCTGCGCACTCCGCGCCAAGGTCCGAGCTGCTGCTCTGCCCATGCACCGAATGAAAAACCTCTGGCAATCTGAAAATGAACTCCCCTCTGTTTATGTAGTACAGTACGCTGGGGGTGTTCGCAGGATGGATTGGGGCCAGACGAACAGCGACCATATCCGAACCCTGTGCTAACGACAGGTTCCTAGGTTTTGTGCGGGGCATGCAGAGCTGCAGCAACCTCAAATGGCCAGGTTCACCAGCTGGTCTCGCACGTCGCTGCTGTCGCCACCTGAAAGGAACTTGACTGAATTCTCTGCTTGGGATTTCGGATGTTAGCCCTGTGCAATCTGGAGAACGAACGCAGCAACCCTGAATCCTAAACTTCAACGGCCCTGCAACCAGAGATCTTGACCCTTCAAAGCTCCAACAAACAAAAAACTTGCACCTCGTACCCACGGGCACAAGGAATTCAGAGGGTTTCACGCTTTCACGCTTGAGGCACCCTTGAGACACTCTAGGCCCGCACAAGCCAAAAACGTGTTAGGGCCACACACGCCACAAACATGTGTTGATAATCTATATGCGGCTGTGTATGAGCCCCAGCTGAAACTGTTAACTCGGTGGCAGCAAAGAAGCCCCAAAGGGGATGGCCCCAGGTCACGGCCGTGCCATCCTCGGCTGGACTGCGTGTCTTCGGAGAGACAGGCTTGGAAACCTGTACATCCTTGCGGTGGGAAAAATACGAGGCCTGCGATGTCGGGACTCTGATAGCGATTGTTGCTGTGACGCCAAACCTTACAGGCTGCGACTGAACCTGACACGCCAAACCTTACAGGCTCCGCAGCCGGTCAAGATAAAAAGCTTGCACCAAGCTTAAACACAGAAGCCCGACCGGAAGGGTCGGCAGAAACAGATACAGTATATAAGAGAGGGCTTCGCACCTCAAAAGACCAGAATGCAACACCTGAGCCTGCAAATCTCAACCCCAAGCCTTGGAACCCTCAGGCCCAAAAGTTTTCCACCTAATTACCATTAGTCTACCACAGCCCTACAACAAAAACTTGGAGCTCGCCGAGCCACGGCCTTCACGGCCACAAATGCACCGCAACTCGCGCGGATGTCCTCGGCAGGGCTACAGAGGTCGAAAAATCAAGCCATGGCTTTAAGAAGATGTGAAGGTGATCAGAGATCCGAGGCCAAGCGCGTTTGAATGCACCACCGAGATTCGCCGAGTTGAGCTGCTACGGTTTGAGCCGTAGGTTAGGGGATTCCGGGGTTTGTGGCAATGGTTGGAGGCTTCAAAGGTGGGGCTATCGGGTTTGCGGACAGCTTCAAGGACTTCAGGGACATTGGGAGGGTACTGTCAGAGCCTTTGTCACCCCAAAAAATCCCCTCAAGGAACCTCTTGATCCTGAAACGTCTGACGCCATTGGAACCTCAAGGTTGCGAACGCCGCCATGAAGGACATGTGGTTAAGCAGAGAAGCGCAAACGCCAACCAAACGCTCCTGGACGGAGCGGCTGTCGCCTGGGCGACACCCGGGCTCAATGGCTCTTCCTTTTTAATCGGAGCAGGTTGGCTGATGTTCAGATTCTGGATAGTTACAGGGTTGACATGGTCATGTTCCGCTCATGAAGGGGCCTCGACACGCTAAAGCCCTTCGATAACATGTATAAACGCAGTGCATGATTCCAATGGGGCTTTGTGTGAACGAAAGAACGTGAATAAACGAGCGAGCGGTTAAAGCCAATGTATTTTATAAGGCGCGTGCATGGGTAAGACGTGGACTCCAGGGTCTAAAAGTGAACCAAGAAGCCGTTGATCGAAAGGTTGTTCAGGAAATAGACCAGTATATCAAGGAAAATATACGGGTGCACCCGTGATCAGGCTGATGGAACAGTCTGGCTCGTCGCAGACTTCAGCTTCTTCGGGAGGACTCCCCTAGAGTTGAAGGAGCCGGATTAGACCCTGGGTGTGGCGAATCTCCGAGTCGCACAGCCTTTGGCTTCCCACTAGGCTCACAACTTCCTCATGCAAAAGTTGGTTTCTTTTGGGGCCTACAGAACCTACACACTCAACATCGCTTTACAGGAAAACCCACACTTTAACAGGACCGAATCTTTGGCATTCTCGAAGCAAGGGAGCGGTAGGTGTCACGAGTACTCTTTGCAAACACCATTGAAAGTTCGGAATGTGAAAACAACTGTTGGTACTGTGGAGCTTGAGAGTTTGAAGCTTTGAAGAATGAAAGAGACGAACGACATGGAGCTCGGAAGTTCGGAGCTTGAAAGATTGACAGATTTCCCGAGCTCGAGCGTGTGAAGCGAGAGGGACTCTAAAAGTTTGACACTTCTAGATCAACCACATGCGGATGAGAGCAAACACCGCGGGACCGGCTTTCGGAAAAAGTCAGTCAGGAGTTTAAAAGTTGAGACCTTCTG